AAGATTTAGTTTGTTACAGGAAAAAGCATTAATTCAGGCAGTGTGCCTGAGGACTCAGACAGTTAGTATTAAAGCCCGGTTTTAGGCCTAAAGTGAGGGATTTGGGTATGTAGGAAAAGTCAGAAAATTTGAACAGCATCAGACCAATACTTTTTGAGTCTTGTAAAAAAAAAACTACAGGGGGGGGCAAATTGACCCCCCCCCCCAGCAGGAACAGGGTTAATGATTTTTTTAAATTATTCATTTAAGTCTAGCTGTTTGGTAACTGAGCTTCGAACTTCTGTGTAAGTATAATTGCTCTCGATATCCATATCTTGATTGGAAAATTATTCGAGGCCTTGATCGCGACCCATGAAAGTTCTATCTGATTCTGATGTTCCTGTCTCAAGAGAAATTGATGTAAAACTATGTCAAATTTATACAAAAATTCATGTATATAAAAATTTCAAAATCTGAAACTTAAATCACGTGACCAGAACTCCCACCAATGGCAGTGCAGTATATTGGTCACGTGATACAGACAGAGACACGTGGCCAGTATACTGCACTCTCATTGGCGGAAGTTCTGCTGCATAAATATGAATTTTCGTAAAAATTTGGCACAGTTTTATATCAATTTCTCGAGACAGGAACATCAGATAGAACTTTTATGGGTTCAGAACAAGCCCCTGTATAATAGGAGAAAACCTAAGTTACAATTAGGCTTCTCTGGGATATCGTCGTTTTCAGATTGTTTGCATATTTGCTGAATATGATCTGTTTGAACTTACTACTTTTATACAAAATTGTATATTTATGAATTTTCGTAAAAATTTGGCACAGTTTTATATCAATTTCTCGAGACAGGAACATCAGATAGAACTTTTATGGGTTCAGAACAAGCCCCTGTTTAGGTTTCTGCTTGTATCTCCCTTTCATTTTTCCTTTACAGTCCCTTTAAATGAAAATTTCTTTAAAAATTGTGCAAAAATTTATCCAAAATGTTTAAACGATTTTTCCAAAATATTTTGAATTTTTTTTAAAAATGCTTCGAAGATTTCTTCAAAATCTTTAAAAACTATTTAAAAATTTCTTAAAAACTGTTAAGGAGATTTTTCAAAAATGCTTCAAATTTGAGAAATTAGGCAGAAATGAGGACTACGGTGAAACCCTGCCCCTTGTATTAAAAGACCCTTAAACCCCAAGATAATCTCATTTTTTGGTTGAGTAAACTTGAATTGAGTGACCCATGGACTCCTTTACTCGTTATATCAGTGGTACACTATACATCACACAGGAGACACATATATATCATCATCTTAGACATCCTTGTCAACATTTCAAAGGAACTAAACAGTAAACACTTCCAACAAACTCTAATTTTCATATGCCTATATACTTGCAACCTGATAACCTTTGAGGTTTCAAACAGGAATTAAGTCTTTGTTATTTTCTATTACTTTTATTGTTTTGCAATCTAATGGTTTAAACCTTTGATATTTTAAATTTCAATTATTTGATCTAACAGAATTCAATATTCATAGTTTGAAATATCTAACCTAAACTGGGTTGCAAAGATATAGAGATTAGAAAAACACAGTTTGCGGCAAGACTCAATTTTCTTTAAAGGCAGTGCACATAAATACATTATGAAAATAGAATCAAATGTTAGGATTGGGTCGGCCTTAATGTGTCGCAACCCCTTGGCCTTTGATTTTACTCCACTAGCACGTTTATACATTGTTGTAGTCTTAGACTCCTAGTTTTTATGCAGTAGTTGGCAACATTTTCCTCTCTATTTACGGAAAAGATTGAAAGCTTTGGCTCAATGTAAGTGGCGACAGTTCACTTTTCAGTTCCTTTATTTCATTTTTACCATTTAACAATTAGAACAGGGATTTTTTCCTGTAAAATATGTGATCACGGTGGATTAAAACTATTCCTATGTTCTTGATTTTAACAGCTTGACAATTATATTGTAAAAAGCTTCACTAGAATCTATCGAAGATTTTTCTGATTACATAAAATTTGTATCAGATTCACGTCAAACTAAAGTGTAAATCAGATTCGCGTCAAAACTACAGTTAATCAGATTCACGTCAAACTTAAGTAAATCAGATTCACGTCAAACTAAAGTAAATCAGATTCACGTCGAACTAAAGTAAATCAGATTCACGTCAAAACTACAGTTAATCAGATTCACGTCAAACTTAAGTAAATCAGATTCACGTCAAACTTAAGTAAATCAGATTCACGTCAAACTAAAGTAAATCAGATTCACGTCAAACCAAAGTAAATCAGATTCACGTCAAACTAAAGTAAATCAGATTCACGTCAAACTAAAGTAAATCAGATTCGCGTCAAGCTAAAGTAAATCAAATTCACGTCAAACTAAAGTAAATCATGTTCACGTCAAACTAAAGTAAATCAGATTCATGTCAAACAAAAGTAAATCAAATTCACGTCAAACTAAAGCAAACCAGATTCACGTCAAAGTAAAGTAAATCAGGTTCACGTCAAACTAAAGTAAATCAGATTCAAGTCAAACTAAAGTAAATCAGGTACACGTCGAACTAAAGTTAATCAGGTTCACGTCGAACTAAAGTGTAAATCAGATTCACGTCAAACTAAAGTAAATCAGATTCACGTCGAACTAAAGTAAATCAGATTCACATCGAACTAAAGTAAATCAGATTCACGTCAAAACTACAATTAATCAGATTCACGTCAAACTTAAGTAAATCAGATTCACGTCAAACTTAAGTAAATCAGATTTACGTCCAACTAAAGTAAATCAGATTCACGTCAAACTAAAGTATTATTAAATTGTTGAATCAGTAATGTAAATCAAATGTATTTTTATATAAGAATGTTGTTGCTGTTGCTCTTGCTTGCACCAGCTTTATGCTATGAAGAGGACAGTATAATAGGGTAACACTGATATTTGATAAAGGGACTGTAGGAGTAATTTTAAGTGGAATGTGTGATTCACAACAGTGCCCTATAAACCTTTGTTTGATCCTCAACCACTCGAAAATCTCGAAAATGTCCAACCTAGCTTTTCATATGAAAGAAAATATTTTTTTATTACTTATCATCTAGACAAAGTTATTACAAAACACAATCGTATCTGCAGATAAGTAAGGATAGCTCATTCATTATAGATCAGTCCAAGGTAAGTACCGTTGTGAATCAGAATAGAAGGTCCTTTAAACTATCCACAGTCCCTTTAATTAATTTCCAAATCTATATTTTAGTCCTTTGAAAAAAAATTTGGACAAAGGATTTCTTTTTTAACAGTTTTTTAAATGAAATTTATCATTCCTAGATTTTTCTTTTTCTCCTAGTATAGATTTAGCAAAGTTGTCCATTTTAAGTTTTGATTTACTTTTCTTATAATTTTTATGTTTTTTTGTATTTATTTTAAATATATTTTTGTTTTGCAGGGAGAACCAGTTCTCAGTTGCTCCTAATATTAGCCATAAGTAACACAAACGCACGTTTGTCCTGTCCTGTAAGCTTTTTTTCCTGTCCTACCGTTTGTCCTACGTTTGTCTGCTCCACGGTGTCCTAGTGCTACTTTTTTAGATGTACAAGGTTGCGTGATTTTTTATTATATCTATCTATCTATCCTTCTAAATATCTATCTATCTATCTACCTATCGACTATCTACCTATCTATCTTTTAGTGTCCAGCAATAAACTTTATTAAATAAACAATGTTCTAAACTTATTTTAAGAAGATATGTATCTATTTATCTATCTATCTATCTATCTATATGTAGTTTATATTGTGGTAAGCCCATATTTTTAGCCCTTCTCTAACTCTAAATGCCACACAAGGACACAAGCATAGGCTACTTATCCAGCCCTTCTCTAACTCTGAATGCCACACAAGGACACAAGCATTGGCTACTTATCCTGCCCTTAATTGATCTGTACCCTATAACAAGGTATGATCTCAATTTGTATACAATTTATTACAGAATGTTGTCGATAAATAACTACCTAAAACCTGTTTTGCGATTAACCTAACTGCGCCTAAAAAAACTACTTAAACTTCTAATTACATTAATTAACTTAACTTGTACCATAGAACCCCAAATAAAGTTAGTTGGAGGAAAACTCGGCTTGATTACAGTATCATAGTAATTGTTCCTCGTTTAGCATACAAGAAGGGTTCTGAATCAATCTTGAAAGATAGATATAGATTGGGAATTACACTGAAATGTATCTTGAAAGACAGATACCTGAGAATACAGACTGAGTAGCATCCAGATTGATATTGACTATGGTATTTCTGATGAACCTTGAGTTCTAGATTGAGTTTTATCTTGAAAGACAGATACCTGAGAATATAGACTGAGTCATATCCGGATTGATATTGACTATGGTATTACTGATGAACCTTGAGTTATAGATTAAGTTTTATCTTGTAAGAGTTGTTAGTATTACTTACTGTAGAGGAGAATATATATAATTATTTATTTAGGGCTCTAAAGGAGAATGCATATGTGTTTGTGTGTATTTGGGGCTCTAGATGTGGATCTATTTATGTATTTAGGACTCAAAAGGAGAATGTATATGTGTATGTGTGTATTTAGGGCTCTATATTTGAACCTATTTATACTTATTTAGGTATTCAGGTATTTAGGGGGCTGGAGGCGAATATATATTTGTTTATTTAGGGCCCTTGAGGTGGATTTATTTATGTATTTAGGACTCTAGAGGCAAATATATATATGCATATTTATGTATGATATATATATATATGCATGTGTATTGAGGGCTCTAGAGCTAGGTGGATCTATTTATGCATTTAGGGCTCTAGGGGAGAATATATATGTATATTTGTGTATTTAGGACTCTTGAGGTGGATCTATTTATGTATTTAGGGCTCTAGAGGCGAATATATATGTGTATGTGTGTATTTAGAGCTCTAGAGGCGAATTTATATGTATATGTGTGTATTTAGGGCTCTATACCTGGATCTATCTATATATATATATATGTTTAGGGCCCTGGAAGCGGACTGGTGGGATATAAGCTTAAGAACTATTGCGCTGGATGGAATTGATTTAGAAGCCATATTTCAAAGGAACAAAAACATTTTTTACTTAATGAACTTGATTCTTCTAAATTAAACCTTTTGGTCCATCTCTTGCATAGGTTTCAGAGGGGAAATTTTGACCTCCCCCGGCACACATACATTTTCGTTTGTCAAATTGTATAGAGTGTGGCTTTACATTGCAAGTTTTGCCCTATCAACCATAATTTATTAACATCTCATCTTTTTAATACTTTTCGGTTGGTGGCTCTGTTTTATATGGAAAAGTATACCATGACAATTCCGTAAGTTTAAATTATACACCAAAACAAATGATTAAATTCAAATTGAAAAAAACCAAACACATCTCGCCTTGCTAAGTGGTCATTTTAATCACAGCACATATTGAATTTTTCAATTTTTCTTCATTTTGTTTAAGTTTTTTGTTTTGAATGTTAGACTGGTAACTCCTCGCGGTCTTATTACCCAGTATGCGCTCTCCATACAACTGGAGATATTTCAAAATATCGGCTGGATTATATCAGGTGCAGAGCAATCATTCAAAATTAAAACTATTGTAATCTTGATAAATTCATTATATTTGGCTTGCTTATTTGTAAAAGTAAATGTCAGAACAAGGCCATATTTTTTTGTTGCAACTCACATAAACCTAGGGAATATTTATGGCTGATTGTAATTAAAGAATTTTGAGAATTCAAACATAGAGAAATCCGCAGAAAGTGTTCTTTATTGCAGAGTATGCTAAAAAAAAAGGGCGCGGCTTAAAAAATTTTTTTTTGAAAATTTCAGAAGTTATGATGATGTCTTATATGAATGAATGAAAAAAGTATAGTATTGCCGACATAGTTGCAAATGACCCATTTAAACAATCTTATGTTTTATTTTTTTATTTATAATTTGATCATTTCTTTTCCATGCAGATTGCATGAGAGAGAAGTATGGAATGAACAGACTTATCTTTTTGAAAAAAAGGATTTTTTCTTGATTGTTATTTATTGGAAGGTTTAAAGAGTACTGATGTAAATATTTAATTGATGTATTTGTGTAATGAAAACAAAACATTGCAATTTGCAATGTTGTATTAATCGCCCGACAAAATTAGTGTTTTCAAAACAAACGTTTTTTTATTTTACAATTTGAAGCTGATCATTTTTGATAAAAATATGCCTATCCAGAAATTATAAAATAGTTTTCTTCCTTTTCTTTGTGTTTGTAAATCTTCCAATCATATTTTATTTTTAAAAAAAAATATTTTGAGACATCCTTGCAGTTTGTGAAAACTGCCAGTTTTAGAACTATCTGTAGGTTAAAGTGCCTTTCTTATTTTGCACTAGATAATTGGATGATTCAGCAACTAGATTTAAGCTGAGCTGATTCATCTACAAACATACATTTATAGTGTATTTCTTATCTTTTTTGCAAAATAGAAGGGATGGGAAGGGACATCTCCCAGCCCCATTTTCAATTCTGTCTTTATTAGCCATCTTTCAATTTTTCCTGTTCAATATTTTTATTTCTTTTTGTTTCTTGCTTCACATTTTACATTTTGGAGGAGGAAGGGTAAGAGGGATTTTAGTTTAAGCTCCCTGGTTTCCTTCATGTTTAAGTCTTTCCGACTTAGCAGAATTTTAGGGAAACCCATAACTGCACCGCTTATGCAAAAAGAGGAGTTTAAATTTTCCACAGCAGTCCAGACTGCTCAACTCCTGTGTTAAAGGTTTGTTGTACTATTTACAGTCATAACTTCAGTTTAACAGTCGTCTCCCTATATCCATTGTTTCAGGGTCCCATTGTACACAGAGGCGTAGCCAGGGGGGTTCATCCCCCCTCCCCTGTACCAGTGAAATCTTTGGTTTTCCGGGGGGGTTTCAAGCCGCAACAGGACCTTACTACGCCCTTGATTGTACACAACACTTTCTCAATTAAAATTGATTTTTAAAAATTCATTTCAGGACTCGCCTGGAACTTTGCTGTCTCTGTGACCACGGGGGAAATTCAAAAGACTATCAAGTAAGATTTTAAACAATCCGATAATGTCAGATAATTTGCAAGGAATCAGAGCGCTGCAAATATTGGACACATCTTTCTAAACATAACTCGCCCGCCTGATATTTAGGGCTGGGGAAATTCAGTTACAAATTGGAGGTTTCCGATTTTTTAGGAAAGAGTCCGTTAACAAGAGCGAAATCAGTTGATTTTAAAATGATTAACAAAATGGATTAGCCGTGTTTGAACAAATTTACGGTTGAAAACATAACAAAATGGATTTCGTCTTTTTTTCTGTTAAAATTGCATAAAAATATGTTATATGTATTTTTTTAAACGGAAAATACGGAAAAAAGTTGGAACGCGCCCAACACTACTTATATATTCACTAGGCCTATAAGTTAAAATGTATAAGCTTCAAGTTGAACCAGTCATAAAATTATTTGGTTTAACTGACTCTATGTAGCTCAACGACCTATCACAATTCGTAAGAAAAGGTTGCATAAATACAGATTTACCTTACAAAATAGGGATGGGCATCGTCAAACATTCGAGGTTTATTTCTTTTTTTAAAGAGGCTCCCTAAGAATCTGTTTAACCTGCACTATGATCGATAAGTCTGTGTTCACTACACAAAATTTCTATTTCTATTTCTACTCGTAAGCTAATTCTATTTCTACGTGTAAGCTATTTCTTTTTCTATGTGTAAACTATTTCTATTTCTACGGGTAAACTATTTCTATTTCTACGCGTAAGCAATTTCTATTTCTACGTGTAAACTATTTCTATTTCTAAGTGTAAAAGATGTGATAAACTAACAATTATATTGTCGAACAGATGATATGTAAACCCAAATTAAGTTAGATGTGAGAGTTATACAACGAAAATTTAGGTGGTCCCAAAAAAAGCAATATTAATTGTGAATTTCTAGGTCTTTAGACTTTCTGCTGGGTCCGACTGGACTGGCCCTTACCATGATCAGATCTACGTGGAATCGATTGCTGGAACTCTTATCAAGGCTGTCAGTTGCCTCTCTCATCTTTGGAATCCCTGAAACGGTAGAAATCTTTACTGGACTCTTAATGTAATTTCAAGTGTGGCTGGCTAGATTAACGAGAACACTTTTTAAATCTTTCTATGGGAAAATATGTTAAAGAAAACCTTGTTTTTTTCTAGCTGAAAACTGCTGTATTCAATTGCGGTTTACACCCTTGTTTCAACTTCCCGGTTAACGTCCGCTCCAATCTAAGGTCAACCCCATGCTTTGAAAGCATTCAGCTAACCAACTATGGTTTGCAGCGAAAATGAAAAATCGTTTTGCAAAAATTTCAAATTTTTGCAAAAAAAATTTCGCATTTTTGTTCTCTTGAAAAATTTCACTTCGTTTTCGCATTTTTTGCTTTATTTATTTCGTGAAAAAATGGAAAATTTCGCGAAAAGTTTGCAAAAATAGAACAAAAATATTTGCTTTTTTCACAAAATGTTTCATTCGCTGCAAACCCTAGAACCAATTGACATGCAAAATTTAAATGCCCGGTGCATAAATGTACTCTTGAAACATTTATATGATATAATGTGGTACGTATTGTCATTTATCTAGGCTTAAAAATCGGTAGCGGCCAAAATTTTTTATCGCAAATGCCGTAAAGAATTATAAGAAGAGAGAGATTAGTATATATTTTAGATTTAGGTTAGTTTTAGACACTTTCTGAGCCAAGTGCTGCGGCTAGGACAAGCTAGGGGACTGAGTGACGCGGCCAGGAAAGGCTAAGGGCTGAGCACCGCGGCTAGAACTGGATCTCTCTCTGTCTTATAATTCATTGCGGCATTCGCGAGTATCACAGATTAGCCGCTGCCCTAAAAATGTTCACTTTGTTACTATCAACAAGTTTTCCTGCAGTAGAAATGTGTCAGTCTCTTTTGTAGAAAAGCCAAAACTAAAAGTAATTAGAAGTTATAACATTGATATAATTATATGTGATCTGACAACACTGGTGAATTAGGCATTGCCATCTTTGCACGAAGGGTCACTTAAAATGATGCTTACAGTCTCAAAAATGAAGGTGGAATAAACTGGATTAAAAATCATGAATGTGCCCAGTCCTAAATATTAAAGTAACCGAAAGCATTATGAAATGACTAACTGAATGTGGGAATATATAAAATGTGTGAATTGAGGATTTTAAATTGCCGCATTAGTGATTGTGAATTTAACTGTAGATGCAACCTAAAGTCCGACTGTGACAACCTGCTTGCACCAGCTAGCCCTCCCTACAGAGCTTTGACAACTTTATTGGCCCCTGCGCCGTATGTCTAGTGTACCGGGCGGGGCAGAACAAGGGTCGTAGAGGTCGATTTTAATGTGCGAGTTAAGTGTGTGCTTTGGTAGTTTGATATTTCTAGCAGAATATTAAGATTTCTTCTGGAAGTGGTGTGCTTTTTTTGTAAAATTATATTGGTATAGCCTTACCACACATTCTTCTTTTTTCTAGATAGCGGAGTTGAGCGCAGTATCCCTGCTGGACATTGGTAACTTTATCTTCAGCACGGAGTTAACCCTTCTCTCCCTGGGTCGGGGCTATACCATTATTTTTTGGTTGGGACTGTTCGCTATTCCTGTTTATCTCTTCTCTACTAATATCTACCCGAACATCAGGTACAGTTAAAGGAACAGTACACGTGATTAAAGGTTGTATAATAAGTTAGGTTACTCTAGATGCACTTCAATGTACGGAAATGTCGTCTTCTATGACAGATAGATAAATCTGCATATATAACGTCACTGATTATAGGAATTATAGAGGCTAAAGTGACGTCATATGAAGTTTTTAAAGGTTTTTATTGTAAACTTTTGAGATTTTGTAATCGAGGCTGACAATGTTTAGGCCAGGAGGACCTAATCTCAACAGTACTCTCGCCATTGGTTCTTCTTCATCAATGAGCAATGAAAGTAGGAATTTACACCTTTAAAATTTAACCCTAAACAGGCCCCTCCCCCGCCATTTTAGTCTTTTTGCCCTCGCACTCGCATTTTTGACACTATCATCAGCTAATTTTTTTACTTCTAATATATAGAAATTTAAAGAATTTTCTGTAAATTTTTTTTTATTCAGGGTAGGGTAATTGGGGCGGTAAAGAATCCAGTGTAAAAAATCTTAAATTGTCCATACTTTTTTTTTGACTGAAGCTACAGATATAAAAACTATATTTTTGAAAATCCCTTGAAAAATCAATATAGAAACATGCGTCACACTATGATATTTGTTTTAAATAAAAAAAAAATTTTTTTTTGCATTTTTGGACCTGTTCTTTGTATTTTTGGACCTATTCTTGGTATTTTTGGACCTGTTCTTGGTATTTTTGGACCTGTTCTTGGTATTTTTTTTCAACCCTTCCTAACATCCAAACTACAATAGATCGATCTAATTTGTTTTCAATGAGCTGGCCTTAAAAAATTGGGCTGTGAACATGAATTTCAACCCAATACCTAATATTCTAAAGGCATTTTTCTATACATATATTCAGACTCCCAGGCGTTATAGGGTTAACCAAGCAACAATGAGCAAGAAATCTATACGAGAAAATTGCATTGTCTTTCGTTTTGAAATTTCACGTTTATAGCGAGGAACTCACAATTTTTTAGAAGGAAAAACTAGAATATCTTTATATGTTTTTGAGGGTCACTTTAATTTACATTAACAGTCCCTTTAAACCGGCATATTTCCACATAATTTTCTCTTTTATAAAAATCTAATAAATCAGCGTCCTTTCTATAACTAGGACAAGATAACCTTGTGTACCGAGATTACTACCTGGACCCTGTAGTAGAAGGAGGAGGAGTAGGAGGATATCAATACGAGGAGGATTATGAACCAGGAAAATACAAAGCATACCAGTCACAGGTGAGGCTGAACTTTTTTTTATAAATTAATCAGTAAGGCGGAATATTAACTCTTTTTAATCAGTAAGGTGAAATATTAACTCTTTTTAATCAGTAAGGCGGAATATTAACTCTTTTTAATCATTAAGGCGGAATATTAAGTCTTTTATAATCAGCATAAGGCGGACTATTAAGTCTTTTTTGATCAGTAAGGCGGACTATTAAGTCTTTTTTAATCAGTAAAGCGGAAAGCCTTTTTTAAATAGTAAGGCGAACAATTAAGTATTTTTTGATCATTAAGGGGGATAATTAAGTCTTTTTTAATCAGTAAGGCGGAATATTAAGTCTTTTTAATCATTAAGGCGGAATATTAAGTCTGTTTTAATCAGTAAGGCGGAAAATTAAGTCTTTTTAATCAGTAAGGTGGACTGTTAAGTCTTTTTAATCAGTAAGGTGAAATATTAAGTATTTTTCAATCAGTAAGGCGGATTATAAAGTCTTTTTTAAATAGTAAGGCGGAATACTAAGTCTTTTTAATCAGTATAAGGCGGCATATAAAGTATTTTTTTAATGAGTAAGGCGGAATATTAAGTCTTTTTTAATAAATAGGCGGAAAACTAAGCATTTTTTAATCGATAAGACGGATTATTAAGTCTTTTTATCAGTGAGGAGGAATATTAAGTCTTTATACTTATCAGTAAGGCGGAATATTAAGTCTTGCTTTGTTAGTAAGGCGGAATATATTGTGTGTTTTTTTTATCAGTGAGGCGGGTTAGGATTTTTATGAAATGTATCGACTTAAGTGTCGCATCCCCTTGGTCTTTGGTTTTACCTGATTTACTCACTTTTGTAGCCCTATGCATAATCATTTTAAAAACATCAACGCGCTTGTTCCTAGCTTAAGGTTGAAAAGAGTTATTGGTAAAATACTGTTTTTATTGTTTTGTTTTTTTGTGACAGAGACTCAATTCCTTTGAAGAGTATCAGGTCGTGAGTAAAGTCTTATCCTTACTACATAGGGGGTATCCCTTTCATTCAAGTTTAATCCTTCGGAGTAATCACAGTCTGCTTGAAAATATGTTACAAATGTAAAATATTATTTTCCCAAAAAAATCTATTTCACAGAATTTTCTTTCAATAATTCGTTTTTTCTTTAGGATCGACTTGAGATTTTACTAGAAGATATGATGAGCAGGATTATTGAAGGAATACTCTAGCGAAATACAGGATTATCATGCTTATTCAAATTTGGCAAATTAAAAGAATAAAGCTGGCAAAAATGTAAAGTTCCATGTTTATTTTTTTCTTGATCTTAAGCTAACAACCCCCCCCCCCCCCATTATTTCCTCCATTATATTTTATCTTTTTTAATTCCAAATATTCGTTTAAGATGTTTTTAATGAGTTTTTAATAACTTTGCCACAAACTTGATTTTCTAGTCCTTATATCTTTGCTACCCAATGTCGCAGACCTCAGATATTTCAAACTATGAATTCTGTTAATAATTCTGTTAAAAAATAATTTAGGTTTGAAATACTAAAGGTTTACACCATGAAGTTGCAAAGATATAGGGATTATAATATGTAAGCTTGTGACAAAGACTCATTTTCTTTAAAGAAAAACTACTTGTTTTATATAAAATTTGATATTTTCTTTAACTTTTTTTTATTTCCTTTTTTAAAATTTAATTTATTCAACTAAATCTTTTAATTTAAACCCCAAATATATGATTTTATTTTAATCTTGTAATTAGTAAATAGTATATTAAAAGTTGTCTTATATTTTTCTGTTAGTTATGAAATATCACTAAGGATTAAACTATTTTCAACTGTTTATATATTAAAATGTAATATTTAAAAACATGCCAGCTCAGTTAAAACTGAAAACAATTACGAATTACATTAATTTTCAAAATCTTTAACAACATTTCTTCATAAAGAAAGGACTTCCACTGTTTTCTGAAATGAAAAGTTTTTCTTTCTCAAAATAAATTTTGATTGAAATGAAAAATTAAATACAGTGAAACCCTTAATACATCAGAAGAATTTATCAAATGTCGTCTTGACAATTTTTCAATGAGTTTTATACTATATTACGTAAATTTCAGTATTTGCGAAAATAAATAAATATCCATGAATATGCGGGAACAGTTTTAAAGAGTTCCATATAATCATTTAATTAAAAAACTAAATATCTGCAACACTCCATTATCACAAAGTGAAGAATACGACATTTGATGAATTCTTTCGATGTATTCGTTATTAAGGGTTTCACTGTAACATAATTGAAAACTCTGATAATTTCTTGAAAGGTTAAAACTATGTCAAAAGACGAATAACTTTAATATCTTTATTATTTTTTTTTTATTTTTATAATTATTATTTTCTATGTTTGAGATCTTAAAATTTTTCATAAAAAGATGCTTTTCCTGCTCCTGATCTCACCAGTCCTTGGACAGACTAATCTGGAGTATAATACAGGGTAAACCAAACCATAAAAAAAAATAATTTTCATTTTTATGATTTTTTAAAAAGGTGGTACCGTGGTACCGGTTATCATATTACAGGGTTACCCATAAAGGATAAAACTTTAGAGAGGTCCGTACGGAATCTTACCAGCTTTCCCTGCAAGCTTTCTTGGTCAAATCTTTTAGCACATCTTTAACAGACCATGGTAAAAGACCAAAGACAAAAATTAACCTTGAGATCTAAAGACTTGAAGAGTTTCAGGTCGTCTTTAAAGTAACCCGGTGTACATTATACATTATACATTATACATTATACATTATACATTATACTTTATACATTATAAATTATACATTATACATTATACATTATACATTATACATTATACATTATACATTATACATTATACATTATACATTATACATTATACATTATACATTATACATTATACATTATACATTATACATTATACATTATACACATTTTTTTAATTTAATGTCTTTTCTGTGGTTCTGTGTTAAACTGCATACATTTTCAAAAGGAAAATTAATTTCATTCTTCACTATTTTTTTTACTTTTTTTCTTTTCTTTTTGTTTACAAGTTTGTTTACATGTTTGTTTACATGTTTGTTTGTTTACAAGTTTGTTTACAAGTTTGTTTACAAGTTTGTTTACATGTTTGTTTTCATGTTTGTTTACATGTTTGTTTACATGTTTGTTTTCATGTTTGTTTACATGTTTGTTTACATGTTTGTTTACATTTTTGTTTACATGTTTGTTTACATGTTTGTTTACATGTCTGTGTGCGGAAATCAAAACAAACAAAAAACAAAGTCTTCTTCATTGTATTGAATATACACGACGATACTTCAATTTTATTATAAAGGAATTGAGTCTAGTTGCCACAAACTCAAATTTTGTATTACATATATCTTAACGAACCTAAATGATTGAAACCTGTGATATTTCCATCTTAGATTATTTGATCTAACAGAATGTTTTGTTTGAAGGTCTACCGCATGGGGATTTAGAAATTTTGAGTTTGTGGCAAAGACTCAATTCCTTTACTGTAATTTCTTTGACTTTACAATTTAATTTTCTGAAATTTTTTGGATGATTTTTTTGCCGAGAAAATTCGTAATGTATTAATAATGTTTCGAATAAGAATAAGAATTTGTTATCTTTTTTTTTTTTTTTTAATCATTTTTGTTTTCTAGGCAGGAGAGATATTCAGAATATGATAATACTATATACAATCCTCAAACCAGTCACAAGTAGCTATTTTTTATCGCCATTTAACCAATAATACGGACCCATAGTTACCCTACCAGTTTAGTTACTTATCGTCCCTTGGGATAATTAAATGAAATCACGACCCGTTCTGCGAAATTTTCGGGAAAAAATCGCCCTTTTTCATTTTCGAGAAATTTAAATTTTTACTTAACCACTGCTCTTCTAGACCAATTTTGCTTAAAAATATTTGGTGGCCCTGATACAGTGATAACCAGAAAACTGTGAACCAGGAAGACTACATTAAGCAATGATTAAGTGATTTTTCGGTGTTGCAAAGATAAAATTTTAAAAATAACTTATCTAATAACTAATTAACTATAATGGGCCTGTTTACACTATAGAACTGGTTTGGCTCATGTTCAATGGTCAATTAAAGTCAATTAAAAGTTATGACTGAGTTTAAAAGTCGTCTTCCTATTCCAGAGTTTCACTATTTATGAAAATTGCGTATTTCCTAGGTATTTTGAGGACCCGTATGGAAATGAGCCAGAGTATTTTGAAGACTATTCCCAGATGACCTGGAACAATATTCAACAAAAGTAAAATTTCTGTAAAAACTTTTTATTTATGGAAACATTTTTTTTGTAATTTGTTTTTGGTAAATTTTTTTAATACCCATGCAAATATGATTACTAGAAACATGACTAAATTTCATTATTCATTAACACAAGGATGTGCTGTTCGCAGTTTGAAAAATGTACTTTATGGAACTGCACGTTTAGTTTCAAGTAAATCCTCCATTTTTTTGAGGGGTATGTCCGATTCAATCAGGTACCCTGGAAAATTGAATCTGATCAATACAGTGGAAGATATCTTCGTTTGATAAGTGATTAATTCTGATAATTTCTGAAGCAGACTGATAAAATTTCAAAAAGAGAAACAGGGAAAGCTAGTAAAGGTACCGTTGTGAATCCGGCAAGGAGGGTCACTTAAAATTACGTCTACAGTCCCTTTAAATAACATATTTGTGTGTGCAGAGCTACCGAGGTTGATTGGGTTGACATGACAACAAGAACTCTAGCTCTGGAGGGAGTTGATTTCGATTTCATCTTCAACAGGAGATAAACCATAAATTATTAATTGTTTAAAAATTAAAAAATATTAAAATTCATAAATGTATTCTTCTATACAGTGATAACCAGAAAGCAATGGAATAGAAAGACGACATTATAGCAATATTTCAGTGTTTTGATGTTGTTGCAAAGCAAATATTGTTACTTGTATTTTAGCAAAGCACTATTTAAGTGAAATGGGTCTATTTACACCGTATAACTGCTATGTCTAATGTTCATTAAACATAGTTCAACTTTTAAACTCATGTTAAAACTAGCTCAAGTTCTAACTTGAGTTTAAAAGTAGTCTTCCTATTTCAGAGTTTTCTGGTTTTTACTTGCACTAAGATTTTATAAAAAGTATCCTTTTAATTCATTAATTTAATTTCATTACTATTAGTTTATTAAAGGGAGTGCTTGCGAAAAATGAAAGGGGGTATAGGCTAACGTCGAATTAAATTCGTTGGGGATCTCTACTAATCCTACTTCTATCTGTTGCGTGATGCGTCTATAAGGATAAAAGCGTTAAAAATACACATTTAATATTCCACTCAGATTGTTCATAATTCTAATAAATTAAAACTGATCGTTCAGATATTATAACCTGTATATATAATATATATATAAATGTCATATATTATTCAATGCATTCATATATAGTTGATATTTCATAGTATTTTTTATTCTTTTAATAAACGATGCACTTTAAACGATGTACTTTGAATATACGATGTACTTTAAACGATGTACTTTTAATATACGATGTACTTTAAACGATGTAGTTTTAATATACGATGTACTTTAAACGATGTACTTTTAATATACGATGTACTTTAAACGATGTACTTTTAATTTACAATGTACTTTAAACGATGTACTTTAAACGATGTACTTTAAACGGCGCTTTTTTCAGCCGCCAGGTGTCTCATCCCTGTAATGTCAAAGGCAGTAAATGGTTTGCAAAAAAAATAAATGATTTATGAAATATATCCTATATATTGGATCTTATAGGTTGTAATATCTGAATAATTAATTTTAAATTAAATAAAATATAATTACAATCTGAGTAAAAGAATGCAAATCCGTGAATTTGTATGGATGCTACGCCCTTAGGTTTAAGATTTTAAAACCATGTTCTCGCAACAGATAAAAGTAAAACAAGTAATTCAATACAGAATTCAATCCGACATGTCAGTCTATACTCCCTTTTATTTTTAGCTAACATTCCTTTTAAGTTTATTGAAATTTAAAGAAGACTATTTAGTAATATAGAGAATTGCAATCGGTGAATTCATGTTTATTTATCTTTTAGCATATATTTTAAATTGTTTTATATTTCTATGCAACATAGAATGGGGTGGCTGTACAACTTAAATTAAACCGCCTGGCATCGGAAGAAAACATGAACAGATTTAAAATTCAAAAGTATAAACCTGAGATCTAATTGATTTAAATCTGGTAAATTATGGTGTATTCTATAGACTCGTATCTCCAAGAGGTCTGATCACTCAGTATGCACTTTCATTAGAATTAGAAATTTTTCAGAATATAGGATGGATTTTGTCAGGTACAGAACTTATATATTTTAATTTTTACAAAATGAAAAACAATATTTAGAAATCATGTTTTTAGCAACAAGACAAAGCTTTAAGAAACAAAATTCTTAAAAAACACCATTTAGATATTTTTGGCCAAATCAAAAAACAATATTTAGTAGAGCTGGAAATTGTTTTTTATTCAAATTGATTGAAATGTTTGATCATTTATTGTAAATAAAATATCGATCTTTAATGTTATGGACAGAGGTTTTACATAAATTTCTCTAACCCCAAAGAAAATTTTAACTGTAATTGTTTTATTATCATTACACATTAAGCTATAGTGGGGTTGGTAAAATAGACATGCTATAGGCCGGGTACTGTAAATAGTCTGGCCGCGCCAGTTATATCCGGGTCGACATTGGATAGAGACGGGGCGGTACAAGGCTTGAACAAGGAGTCGGTCATGTTCAAATTAAAATTGCCCCTAGTCCACTGTGATTAATCTTCAAAACATGTTTGATTAATAGCGCATTCTTTACAATTTTCACTGGAATGTTTAATTTACCGCCATTGGTTGGATTCTGTCAGTTAGGGTTTCAAGTCGCAATTTCGCAAAATAAAATGTTATATTTTTTTGCAATTTACACGTTGATTTAGCACGTGAGTTAAAATTCAAAATTGAGATTAAGTTTTGGACTTTTTCTCCGAAAAATGCACATGCTGAGTTTTTTTTTCTTGGCTCCTAATTTTGGGCTTTTGCACTCAAAATAATTGCAACTACTGTCTAGCGATTGGAAACCCAGTGACAAAATTCTAACAATAATCATAACTTTATACCAGAAAATTATTTTTTAAAAATTAAGAAAAACCAATTCGTGTTTTTGCTGGGTGGGACAGTCTTGATTTTAACTTTTCAATTTTATACAGATTTTTATAAAATGTTAATCTGTTTTTCTTTTATCATGTTTCTCAGCAAGAAAAACAATGTTATCAGCAAATTAATAAATATAAGTGCACTATTAATAATTTTTCAAAATTGAATAATTTTTCAATTTCAATTATTTATATTTATATTTATAATTATATTTATATTTATATTTATATATATATTTATATTTATATTATATTTGTATAGGCATGATTTGGAATTTTGCTCTAACCGTAACAGAGGGTCAACTTCAAGCTGATATTGCGTGAGTTTAAATAATGTATTTCTTATTTTGAAAAAAATCCCAAAAATGAAATTGGATACCCTGGAATAAATGCATGTTTATTTGTTCTTGTAATGTTTAAATGTTTGCTTTCTTAAAGAGACTGTCATTGCAATTTAAAGCGACCCTTGAAAGGGGCATTTCAGTTTCATAGTCACGTACCTTTAACACCGTAATCTGGTCAATAGAGTATAAGACGTTTCCACAAAAATCTGAGAAAATCTACCAATTAAAAAATTGATTATTTTAAAAATTTACATTTCATACACTGCCAAATTGAGAGAAGGTACATGCAAGTCATGTTCATTTTTGTTCAGTTTTCCCCTTTTTCTCAGGATAAAAAAGTTGCAAAACTTAATAATCGATTTTACTCACAATCTCTTATTTTAGGTCTTTAAGCTTCATATACAGCCCTCAAGCACTTGCCTTGACCATGATACGATCTCTATGGAACCGCCTGCTTGAGATTGTGGCTCGTATCACCGCTGCTATTATTGTGTTCAGTGCCCCAGAAACGGTAAGTTTATGACTTGAATAACCTTTTCTAATGTTGTGTTCAGTGCCCCAGAAACGATAAGTTTGCGGTTTGAATAAACATTGCTCATATTGTGTTCAGTGCCCCAGAAACAGTAAGTTTACGGTTTGAATAAACGTTGCTAATATTGTATTCAGTGTCCCAGAAACGGTAAGTTTGCAGTTAACATAAACGTTGCTAATATTGTGTTAAGTGCTCCGGAAACGGTAAGTTTAAGGCTCGAAAAGCCGTTGCCATGATTGTGCTCAGTACACTAGAAAACGGTAAGTTTTAGATTCATGGAGTTTTTAGGTAAAAGTCACTTACATACGCTCCATTTATAGTTTTATCGGAACAACTTTTTGATGTCTTTCAGATTGTTTAAATATTTATCATTTAGTTAAAATTCAGGAATTTGAACGTCTTCTTTATACTCCACAATATTATGGGTTTCACTGTAGAATTTCATTACACATTATAATTTCAGTTTTCCCAAATCAGTGAAGTGACACCGGTAGACATAGGAGACTTCTTATTCAATCCCCAGCTGACAATTCTGAGCCTGGGTAGAGGTGTCACCATTGTATTCTGGTTGACCCTATTCGCCATCCCGACCTACTTCTTCTCCGCTGATGTGTGGCCGGTCATACGACCTCCAGCACCTGTACCTACCAACACTACTGCAGCAGGAAGTAAGTTAAAACAAATAATTTTGGGGTAAAGGGGCGATTTTTAACACATTTGATCTTGCAATTGTGTTATTTATTAAGTTTTGAATACATTGATAAGAGTGTACCTTAATGTGAAACCTTGTGGTAAAATTGTAAAATTAAAGGAATTGAGTTTTTGCCACAAACTCAGATTTTCTAATTCTTGTAACTTAGCAACCCGTTTTCCTAGACCTTTGATATATCTAACTTTTAATTCTGATAGATCAAATATTCTAAGTTTGAAATATCAAAGGTTTACAACATCAGGTTGCAAAGATATAGGGGTTAGAAAATGTCAACTAATGATTTTAGGATTGAATTACTAAATCGGGTTATGCAAGCACCACAGAAGCTATAAATACTACCTTAAAATTACGGTTTAAGTTAAGTTACAAGTGAAATTTATTCTGTAACTTTGCTTTCCTTTTGTTTTGACCTCTAAGCCTGAATTTAAAAAGATTGAGCCACATCTCAAATGAAATTGTATTTGTTAAAAAGATTGAGCCACATCTCAAATTTGGTCGGTTCCACATGAAATTGTATTTGTTATACATCTTATGTAGCTGCGATTTAGCGGGGACTTTCTCGCCTAGCTAGCCAACCGGTTTTGGCGGTTTAGCAAAGCGGTTTAAATTCTTTAAATTTGGCCTCTGATGTATAAAATTTACAAATTGTTTTTGACAATTTTGAACATCAGTAGAAAAGTTATGAGGTTAGAACGAAATAAACGTGTTACCAATGATTTAAATCGTTTCCTCACTCAAGTGAGTTTAAATCCAACCCTTTCTTTAACATGTCTCTTGTTGACCAATGTTTCAAGTGAGTTTAAATCCAACCCTTTCTTTAACATGTCTCTTGTTGACCAATGTTTCAAGTGAGTTTAAATCCAACCCTTTCTTTAACATGTCTCTTGTTGACCAATGTTTCAAGTGAGTTTAAATCCAACCCTTTCTTTAACATGTCTCTTGTTGACCAATGTTTCAAGATAAGGTCGACGTCGACCAATGATAAATAGATGAATAAATGATTTATAATTAGCAAATAATTGTAAAAATGTGAGGGAAAGCATGACTCTATCTAAAAGCTGATTGTAGGAAGCGGAAAGGATTCCTGTCCTGATTTCTTCCATCATCCGGCATCTGAGTATATTCTCAGTGAAGAAGACTTTTGTGAGTCAGAGAGCTTCAGGGAGTTCAACGCCAAGGTTCGGAAAAAATAATTTTTTTTTAAATTATTCAGTGGAGACGAAATTTGAAAATTAATCATTAGGTAGTTAAACATCCTATGACTTTCTTCTTCTAGAAGTTTAGCAATCTTATTGTTCAATACACCTTTTATTTCTTGAGGCATGATAAAGTGGTTCAAATAAATAATTCAGTAGCATTCACATCATGATTCAGATAAACCATCACCTCTAGTTGAACCTGGCTTCAAAATTTAACTGCAATCATAAATATCCAACTTTGATAGTTTTAAACTTATCATCTGGGATTTGAATGATACTTTCTCTTTATAGGAACTTTAAAAGGAGTGACCGGCTATGTAAGGTAGTTGAACAGAGTATGCAGTGTTGTGGAAAACTTCTTTTGGATTAGTTTATTAGTCTGTAGTTTATTGTAGAACTTTTTTTACATTTCATGTCGTCGTTATTTAATAATTTTAAAAAAATAATTCTGAAAGCGTATCCAGCCCCAAAGTAGGAGTTTTGAACATCGAATTTGCGCTCAAACTCAGGATTTACAGATCTTTAAAAAGTTTTATATGGCTGTAACAATCTAGGTCCCGATCAATCTCCTAATACTTGACTATAACTCTAATAACGAGTCTTCCCGACTTTATCTCTAGCCAACCCTGGCTCTATTATCTCTAGTCAACCCTGGCTATATACGTCTGTTTAAAACAACGATTCGTACTATACTAATTTATTGATACAGGTAAATATAGATTGACCGGATTGGCCGGTCAGGGTCAAATGGAAACATAGATAATAGATAAGCAAAACATAGATGATAAGGATAGTAAACTAAACATAATCCCCTGAATTTATTACATGGCTCAAGTGAATCCGAAAGAAGTTTTCCACAACACTGCATGCTCAGTTCAACTAATCATCATCAAATCTACAGTCTAGGCCATCCAAGTAAAACTTAATCTTTACTCCTTTCCCCAATACTCTCATGCCTTTTCCACCTTTCTCTGCAGTATTCACTCTTGAGTTACTTTCCTCCAACATTTATCCACTTATCATCTTCCAGAATTCACTTGACACTAAGTACCTTTCACTAAATTACCTGTATCTACCAAGGCTAATCCATATATATCTCGCTTAAACAGTTTAAATTTCACATACTAGGTTTTACGGTCGTCCCTCTCAACCAAGTTAACATTGTTCAAGTGCATTAGGACATTCTTCTCCCATTCCCTAAGTCCGTTATCTTTACTGCCATTTTGCCTCAAACTATCCTTCACTTCCGGATGAAAGTCATTGGGCAATCTCATGCCTGTACTTCTACTATCAACCACTTCTGTCCTAACATTATCCTTCACTTCCGAATCTAACTTATACAAATTATGGACATGATTTTTGACAGAATTGTTTATTGAATAATTATTAAATTTATTCACATCATTATTTTCTGCCATCCTTGGAGTTGATGACCGTCCGTCATCGCAGCTCCCTAGGGAAAAACCGAGTCTGGTGCCAGTTTCTTCAGAACTTCCTGCATAGTTGTCAAGGATCTGATCACTTCCGCCATCTGTCCGCTGCTATCTCTGCCATTCTCCCTTCTCTCCTGATTTCTCCTCTCTCCCCTGCACTCCCCGGAGATATGACCTTCTTTCCCACAATTGTAACATGAGACTGGGGGTCTGGAATTTGCATTACGAGTTGTACTTCCGTACTTCCAGTTAGGATTCTTTTTCTTCCATTCGTCAAATTTCCTGCAATCTTCATTATTATGTCCAGGTTTCTTGCAGAAATAACACACCTCTCTGCCTTGTAAGGCATTTATCCCGTCCTCAGAGTCCAGATTCTCAACTTCTGATTCGTCCTCCACCAGCCCAGGCATGGCATTAACGCCCATAGGCACCTGTGCCGTCTTCAACATCTCATTGGCTCTGGTAATCTCACTCTTATCATATCTGTATGTACTCTGCAGGCCAGCCATATCCTGGGCTAGAGCCCTTGGGTCTAGGTTATACGTCCTCAGGTTGACTAACTGGTGGTCTAGGACAGCCTTGATCTCCCTTTCATGCTTAATTTCCTTAGGCATGAACATCAGACAGGTTTTCCTCAGTTCTGGATTATATAGCCCTAGCAACATAGCATTCTTGAACTCAACCAGACTTCTCCGAGCTGGAGGGTAAGCTTGCACAAACTGTCTCAACTTATCAGTGTAGTATTGTCGAGCATCTTCATTCCTGGCCTGTGTTGTATCCTAGATTGTTCTTAATAAGAATGAACAGTCCCTTGAATACAATCGGATGCCAGAGGATCAGTACAGCCTGAACCTTAGAAGAGTAGACACATAATCATACACGTCAGTCTGCCACTATCGTTCCGGGACTTGTACGACATAAAGCGAACATACAGCATACAGAGGGAACCCAACTTGAACGAGCTACATAGAAGAAGATGAACCAAGTTTCTGTCATAGTACGCAACCCCGCCTACATTGCAGATGTTGAGCTGGATGAGGATGAAGTTGATCCAGCAGACCTTACTCCTCTGGTTAGTGGGAATGCTCCCATTGTCACTGCTCCAGCCTCAGAGGATGAAGACGTAGCTGAGGATGTTGTAGAGGACAGGAATGATGATGAGGAGATGGAAGATGTCCCACAGATACTCCGGGACGTCATCAGTAGTCTGGAGGAACTCGATACGGAGCTGAGAAGCATCCTGTCCCCTGCTCCTGGGGACACCAGCTCCCATCAGTCCCCTGTTGTCCCCCGTATTGAGGTATGGGACACAGGAAGGGCTTGGGAGCATGAATACAAGCTGTATCCTGACTCTAGTAGAGAAGAGATCAGTGACAGGTTGTTTAACCAGGTGGCGGATCTGCTTCAGATCATGCATGAGCAAATCAGCCAACAAACCTGGAATGAAAGAGATAGAGAACTGATAGACGGACTGAATAATATATCGGTCATGCACATAAGACTTGGTAAACTAACCAAGAAAGTGCTCAAAGATCAAGCTACGGAACCTAACATGTAAAGGGATCATGGCTGATCATTATGTCATCAGAATATCTCCATATTATGATTATGTATGCATTTATGAATATATATAAATAAATGTTAATAATCTAATAAGAGCTTATTTATTACTTTGGGTGTTAATTATTGCACGAGCAAGTAATCATATAAAGGTTTACTCCATGTGATTGAGATAGCCCGAAGTATAATGTTGCCAGGTTGCAAAGATAAGTCATTACATAAGGGTTAGTTCCGAGTGATGGAAATAACCCGATGTGCAATGTTATCAGGTTGCAAAGATAATTGATCCTATACAAGTATATAACTTGAAGTGTGATCTAACAAAGTTTGCTAATTTAAGTTTGCCAATTTATTGATTTTTAGTAGTAAGAGAATACTACACCTGTCTCCTGGCCATGTACTCCATTTTCCTGCCCTCCTCATCCTTCTCATGCGTAAACTTCTTTAACAGTTCTTGGAAAAATACACCAATTTCGTAATTCTCAAAAGCTAGTCCATCAGGTCTCAACAATACTTTCTCTGACTGGGCTTTCCCCTCTATACAATCTAGCAGCATCCACTTTATCACATCATTGGGAATCATCTCACACTGGAATCTCGATAGATGTTTCTCCAATTCATTACACCAGTCAAACACTTTGCCAGGGTTACCATCATAGGGTGGGGCATAACTTCTAAAATTCCGCAATTTTTTCTCATATGCAGCTTCCGCCTTACTCAGCTCTGCGAATGTAGTTAGGGTAGCTCTCCCAGCTGCGCTCTCCGCCTTTAGTAAACTCACATGGTATTCTTGTGAATCCTCCTGCTTAGGAGCCTTGAGCAGTACGATTACTTTACCAATCGGATCCTGTGTTTCCGGTGTAGCTGTCTCCGCTCATGTCTTAGCAAAGGCTTGATCCGTATCCTTCCTCTTTATATCCGCCAGCTCCTTCTCAGTCGCCACTTGCTTCGCCAGGAGCATCTGGAACTGCTCCCTCATCTCGGCCACGCTGTCCGCCACTTGGTTAGATGGTCCCTCCATCTCTACTTCCGATCCAGACTCGTCACTGGGTAGGCTTGGGTATCCTTGAAACGTTGCCACTGTATTTCCTATAGCCACCCTTGGTTCACTCTCAGGCAAATGGTCTTCAGCTGAAGTTTCTCTGGCTAACCCATTAAACCAGGTTTTCACTTTACTCTTTTTCCGGAATACTTTCGGAGTCTCGGGCATCTAGATCTGGGTCATAGGTTATCCCACTGCTGCCACCAGAAAATGTAACAAGCTAGGTCCCAATCAATCTCCTAATACTTGACTATAACTCTAATAACAAGTCTTCCCGACTTTATCTCTAGCCAACCCTGGCTATATACGTCTGTTTAAAACAACAATTCGTGCTGTACTAATTTATAGATACAGGTAAATATAGATTGACCGGATTGGCCAGTCAGGGTCAAATGGAAACACAGATAATAGATAAGCAAAACATAGATAATAAAGATAGTAAACTAGATAAGCAAAACATAGATGATAAGGATAGTAAACTAAACATAATCCCTTGAATTTATTACATGGCTCAAATGAATCCGAAAGAAAGTTTCTACAACACTGCATGCTCAGTTCAACTACCTTACATAGCCGGTCACTCCCTTTAAGCGTAATTTCAAGTGACCCTCCATAGCTAGAGATGACAATGTCTGATTCACAACGGTACCATTAAATCATTGTTTGTTCGAGCATGAACATGATTTTGAAAACTGATTATTTTCAAATGTGGTTTCTCTACTTCATTTCTACTGCAGGAATATGTATAGGAATTATCAGAAATAAATTCTTTTAAACCTAGAAAAATGACAATAATTTCCCCAATATTGATTAGATAACGGTTTCATTGGTACTGTTGTGAATCGGGCATTGTATTTTTTTTACTTTTAAGATGTTCTATCTCCACATTGTAAATTTTTAATTGTAAATTTAATTCTAGGGTGGTGTAGAGCTTTTGTTTGAAGACATAATTACTAAGATTATAGAGACAATTCCAGATAATCTCTCCTACACTTCTCAACCCACAGAATAATAACGTCGTCTACTCAGGGACTTTCTAGATAAACAGATAATGTCCTCCAATGAGCCCACTGTGCATGTTTTCTTTAAAGTTGCGGCCGTGTGAATTTCGAATGGCATGTATGCCTTTATTCATGAAGTCTATTCTAATTTATCAATGAATGTATTTTCTCCCCCAGACAATGAAGATTGGAGATTTCATCATAATTTTTCAAACTGGCAGTTTTCAAGGCGACACACACACAAGCGGACAAAGTTACAAATGTTACAAATTTTTAAGCAACAATTTCCCAAATGGCAATTCCGGATAAATACTTCAACCTTCTTAAAAACCTCAGCATATATCGTCTACTCATGGAATTACTTTTCTCTATAATAACAGATATTGTCCTACGATGAGCCCGCTGTGCATTTCCTTTAATAAAGTTGCGGTATTACGCATTTTCGATTGGCCTTCATCAACTTGTTAGACGACTGGTATGCATCAGTTACATAAATGTATTCTAATCTGTTCATGCATTTGTTTACTGCACAAATAATCTTAACAATTTTCTAAACGACAATTTTCCCAAATGACAATTTAAAGCGACAACTTTTCATGAGGTAATTTCCCATACATAATTTCTTAAAGTGAAAATTTCACAAAAAGGCAATTTTCCTATTGACAAATTCCATGTGGACAATTCTTCTATTTGGACAAATTCATAATGAGAATTTACCAAGCAAAAATGTTCCAAACTGACAATTTCAGAAGTTGACCTTTTCAGACATATAATCAAAGGATTTGACTTCTGAACAGACACATAACCAAAGTTGTGACCTCTCATCAGACATATAATAAAAAGTTTGAACCCCTGAACAGACATAAAATTAAAAATATATCCAGAATGATGTGTAATAGACCAAATTCATATGAACTAAATCAAACTATTATGACTGATAGAAACTTTTTATAGAATCTAAATTCTTGACATGAAACCAAACTAATTTTAGACCAAGATATATAATTAATTTATAATATTTATACATATATAGTATTTTCAACTTTATTCCGCTTAAATATACATTTTAGATTAACCCAATCATCAGTTGGAATAATAATAACTGATGATTGGGTTAGACCCATGAAACATTTTGTCTTGGAAGAAATATATATTTACACATCTGAAATGTATATTTAAACTGAAAAAATTGAAAAAAACTATATTAGTTTCCACTTGTGTCTCGAGAACTCTTGAAATCCTTGGGTTTCTATACATGAAGATATATATATTTCTATTTTAGACCAATTCTAAGTAGCTGCTGATGTAATTTTGAGTCACCTTATAGTTGAAGAGTTTAATTGAATCACAACAATACCCTAAACCTGTACAAAATGACTGAAATATTTTTGTTTTTCTATTTTAAAAAAAAAAGACTTTTAAATGAAGCTCTTTCTAAAAGTGACTAAGACCATAAACATAGACTAATTAATTATTTCTATATAGACTAAACAGTACCATGTGTAGACTACTTTATAGACTAAACAGTACCATGTGAAGACTACTTTATTGGCTAAAAAGTACCATGTGTAGACTACTTTATAGACTAAACATGACCATTTGAAGACTACTTTATGGACTAAACAGTACCATGTGTAGACTACTTTATGGACTAAACAGGACCATGTGAAGATTACTTTATGGACGAAACAGTACCATGTTTAGACTACTTTATAGACTAAACAGTACCATGTGAAGACTACTTTATAAACTAAACAGGACCATGTGAAGACTACTTTATGGACTAAACAGTACAATGTGTAGACTACTTTATGGACTAAACAGAGCCATGTGTAGACTACTTTATAGACTAAACAGTACCATGTGAAGACTACTTTATGGACTAAACAGTACCATGTGTAGACTACTTTATGGACTAAACAGTACCATGTGTAGACTACTTTATGGACTAAACAGAGCCATGTGTAGACTACTTTATAGACTAAACAGTACCATGTGAAGACTACTTTATAAACTAAACAGTACCATGTGTAGACTATTTAATAGACTAAACAGTACCATGTGTAGACTACTTTATGGACTAAACAGTACCATGTGTAGACTACTTTATAGACTAAACAGTACCATGTTTAGACTACTTTATAGTCTAAACGGGACCATGTTTAGTTTACTTTATGGACTAAACAGGACCATGTGTAGACTACTTTATAAACTAAACAGGACAATGTGAAGACTACTTTTTAGACTAAACAGTACCATGTGTAGACTACTTTATGGACTAAACAGTACCATGTGTAGACTACTTTATGGACTAAACAGTACCATGTGTAGACTACTTTATAAACTAAACAGTACCATGTAAAGACTACTTTATAAACTAAACAGTACCGTGTGCAGACTACTTTATAGACTAAACAGTACCATATGTAGACTACTAAGATAAACACAAGGACTGAACGAAAATACGGAGACTACATTGTGAGATACAAACCAGTAGGTACCTTTTATTCATAATATCAAACTAACGAAAACAATTTCAGAAATTAGGAACATTTTTCCAAATTTTAAACAATTCGACAAAATTACAAATATTTTGCTGAATTATGAATATTTTGTTGAAATTGTAAACATTTTTCCGAAATAATAAACATTTTTCCGAAATAATAAACATTTTTCCGAAATAATAAACATTTTTCCGAAATAATAAACATTTTTCCGAAATAATAAACATTTTTCCGAAATAATAAACATTTTTCCGAAATAATAAACATTTTTCCGAAATAATAAACATTTTTCCGAAATAATAAACATTTTTCCGAAATAATAAACATTTTTCCGAAATAATAAACATTTTCCTGAAATAATAAACATTTTTCCGAAAATATAAGCATTTTTCCGAAATTATAAACATGAATATGAATGAATATTTTGTTGAAATTATGAACATTTTTTCCGAAACTATGCATATTGTAACGCAATTATAAAGAGAATGCATGTACCATACGACATTTACGTAATTTGTAATTTTAATAAAAATGTTATGATTTTTTTCTGCATTGTTTGCAAGAATATTTTTATAAAATGTACAGAAAATGTAACCTAACAAATTAAACTAGACTGACTACAAAACAAATGTATAAATTTATTTATGTACATATTTGTTTTGAAAAAAATTCGTTTTTGTAAAGTTTAAAATAGCTATTTAGACCTTATTTATTTTGAACTCATTGTAAAATCTATTTTTGATTGAAATAAAAAAAATATTTTATTAAAATTTTTTTTTCGATTTAAATAATTTTGTAATAGATGAATAGATGAAATTATTGTTAAATATATCATAGACACAAGGTTTTATTACAGTGAGACATAAAATACGGTGAAATAGGAAGACGATTTATAATTTAGTCCAATAAACATAAACACAGCAATAGTGTAGTGTAACACAAACCCATTTTCACGATACTTTTTCCTACATTACAGCATAAAATACACATAAGATTGCATCTTTGTCGTGTTTCTGTTGCAAAACGAAACGAAAATAAAAATAAAACTTTTTTCTTCTGTAATTGAATTCATTATTTAATACTAATGTTGAATGAATTCGATGCATTTTTAAATTGAATTTAAATTCTCCGAACCAAATAATGACATGAAACGAAATAAGAAATGCATATTTATATATTTTCAGAACGGGGTATGTAAAATTGGGTGCATGTGATTATTATTGTAAATAATTATATATATTTATATGCCTTAGCTACAAATTCTTGCTTTCTAATCTCTATATCTTTGTAACCCGTTATCGTACAGTCCTAATCAGTATGCCCCGGAATTAATTTACAATTAAATAAACGATTTTACAATCTAATTTTACAATCTAATTTTACAATCTAATTTTACAATCTAATTTTACAATCATAATTTTACAATATAATTTTACAATATAATTTTACAATCTAATTTTACAATCTAATTTTACAATCTAATTTTATAATATAATTTTACAATCTAATTTTATCATCTAATTTTATTATCTTATTTTACAATCGAATTTTACAATCGAATTTTACAATCTAATTTTACAATCTAATTTTACAATATAATTTTGCAATTTAATTTTACAATCTAATTTTACAATATAATTTTACAATCTAATTTTACAATCTAATTTTACAGTATAATTTTGCAATCTAATTTTACAATCTAATTTTACAATCTAATGTTGCAATCTAATTTAACAATCTAATTTTACAATATAATTTTGCAATCTAATTTTACAATCTAATTTTACAATCTAATTTTACAAACTAATTTTACAATCTTATTTTACAATCTAATTTTACAATCTAATTTTACAATATAATTTTACAATATAATTTTACAAATATTGATTTCAAACGCTTATCCCAACTAGCACTGGTCCCGCCATTTCCAAGTGTGGTCTGCCTTTTTTGAGTATTCAATATGTAAAGTTGCGTGATTAACTGTTAATTAAGTCCGGGTCTTTCTATTTATGACTGTAGTTTTTTTTATCACTTTCATTATTTATTTCATTAGGATTTTGCGAAATAAAATTAGAAAATGACTTTTCCATGAAATATACCTTTGAAAATAAAGCCTTTTCCATTATCCTTTGCATAAAAATTCTTCAATTAGTTACACAAATTTAAATTTAAATCATATCTCCTGTTACTTTAGATAAACATAAATATTTCATTGTGTAAAATAAAAACAGGAGGAGCTACGAGTTCACAAGGTCGGACTGATATGTTGCTTAAATTTACCCTTTTCTTTCTGTCTAATTCAGTTTGAACCTCACCCCCCCCCCCCAAAAAAAAAAAAAAACCCCTAGCCCCACCACCTCATTATGCGCCCTGAGCTGGGAACTTTAGAATGGATAAACTTTAATCCTGACTTCTTGATCCGAATATCCACTGTGGAAACTTTTCATTTTAGTCCTTAATCCACTCTGTTTCTCTCTCCTTGGATATCCGTTAATTGTTTTCTCCAATGAGAATATTTCTGTTCTCTCATTGGTTGTCCGCTTTTCTCTGATTGGCTGCTACAGTTTCTCAGATGATTAAATATTAATTTGAATTTTTTCGTTTTTCATACACTTTTAAGATAATCTTGCAAGATTATGTTAATCTTGAGATTATCAAAAAGAGAGGATCAAGCATTAATCCTGATATCCAACATTCTAAAGTTTTCAGCTCTGAATGCGGATATTCTGATCAAATTAAATTTTCCTACAATCTCAGCAAAATATTGACATTTTCAAATTGGATGGAGAGAGAGTTTTTGAATAATATTTTCAACACTGTAAGTGTATACAGGGTTACCCACAATGGACGAGACTTCAACGCCAAGTTTTACGGGCATTCTATAGATTCCCAGCAACTGTAAGCTTCTTTCCTTATTCGCCAAACCATAAAGTTTATCATTTTAAAACTTATATGCCACTCCTGTATGCCGAGGCCATTAGCGCCCGATTCAATCAGTCATGTGTTTGTTGTCTATTCTGAACCAATAGAAATTGTAAGTCGGTAACATCGATCTCATTATCCAATCAGAGATATGAATCCTTTTATCGGCGCTAACTGTAAATGGAAATATTTACTTCCTCTGAAACTATGGTGATGCAGAACAAAACTCAGCTTTTAAATAATTCAAGAGTTTTAGGTCGTCATTAAAATATGATCTTTTTTTGGTAACCCTGTATTTTTATAGCTTGGATTTTCTTCGGCTCAACCATGTTTGAATTTAATTTTTAATAATACTTATTTTAATCATGTTTTCGTAAAACATCAAAATAATTTAGGACTTTTTTTAGCTGACTGCTTAAAGTACGATAACATTTACTGCGTTTTACATTTTATCTAAAGTGATATATACAATCCCAATTCACAGGGTACTGCAAGGGTAAATATAATTTTACAAATTTAAATAAAATTTGTTGTCTTTCACTTTTGTTTTCTGCTTTCCAGTTTCTTCTAGATTTGTGCAACAAAAACAAAAAAGGAGATTGTCATAATTTAACATTTTTCAGTATGACAAGTGAAGAAATATCAAATGTTTAAATATAATTATTTTGAATATGGATTTGGGAGATAAATGTTTAAATATAATTATTTTGAATATGGATTTGGGAGATATCTATTAAGGAATTTGTATATTTGACTCTATCAGAGGCGCAACGCCAAACACTCCCCCACCCCACCAACACAAAAAAAATTGGCCCCCCCCCTCCTAACAAAAGTGCCCCTGAACTCGTGAATACAGGGTGGCGAACACAGCATGAAGACCTAAATAATCCTAGATCCGCATGTCCGATTTGAAATTGTACCTTTTTGAAACCTAGTCTAATAAAAAATAATAAGCTTAATCTTCAAGTTTTCTAGAAAAGCGTCTTGCGGACTTGAATGAAGCAGAGATGATGAAAGAAATTGACAGAATTAAACACTTTTCAGAATACAAAACTAAAATATTTTTCTCATTGTCATTTAACACTCAGATAAAGGATTAAATGGTACCGGTGTGAATCATATTTACGTCCCAAAGCATCACCAAAAACTTTGCTTTCATTAGCACCCTGTATTTTGCCGTATTTTCATCATCCTGTATTTTGCTTTTTTTACTATCACCCTATATGTTGCTGTTTTTACCTGTATTTTGCTGTTTTTATTACCACCCTGTAATGTTGCTGTTTTTATTATCAACCTGTATGTTGCTATTTTTATTATCATCCCGTATTTGCTGTTTTTATTATCATCCTGTATTTTCTGTTTTTATTATCAACCTGTATTTTGCTGCTTTTATTATCACCCTGTTTTTTGCTGTTTTTATTATCACCCTGTAAAATTGCTGTTTTTATTATCATCCTGTAACTTGTTGTTTTTATTATCACCCTGTATTTTTTGTTTTATTATCACCCTGTATTTTGTTGTTTTTATTATCACCCTGTATTTTCCTTATCGAATCCTTTTTGTGAAAACTAAATCTTTTCCCAATCTTTAGTGCAGTGTCTAAAATAGTGGTGGAATCTTTTTTTTACTCTGTAAAACATTCTACAGTGAAACCCACAAAACTGTGAAATAAAAAGACGACATTTAAGCAATTTTAGGTGTATTTGATGTTTTTCAAAAAAAAAATATTTTATCAAGTGAAAACCAAATTATGAAATAGGCTGGTTTCATAATTGACCAATGACCATTTTACATAGACTCTATGCCTTTCACTTTACAACCGATGATTTTCCGTTAAAACTATAAATCAAATGATGTTTTTTATTCACCTAATTCATTATAAAGTTTTTTCACAGCTTTAAAAAATTCGGAATTGAAATGAATAGTCTAGGGAACATACTGTATTAATGTGCTCTACTGCATATGATTTGTGAAACATGATTTGTACACTTTAAACTCCCTTTCAGACTGAAAGGGAATAAAAAAAAATCATACCGAGGGATTTTCTAAATTCCACTCTAATATACATTCTATTCTCTTTGGTCTGAGTTCACTGCACAATTGCCGAAGTTGCAGATTCATTGGACTAGTTAAGATCATAACCTGAGACTAACAGTCGTCTTCCTTTTACGCAGTTCCACTGTTTATTAAATGACAAACATTAAACCGACCCAATTGGACAATTTCAAACCTGCTGTTGTTTTCCGAAACTCAGTTTATAAAAAGATAGTTTTCAGTTTCCACCCCAATTTCTAGAAATCTAGGTTTTGCCGCATTCATTTCTAAATTGCTGAACACTATACTTCCAAACATTGAAGGTTTCTAGCTGTCTATCTATCTATCTATATCTAGCTATCTATCTACATCTAGCTATCACCATCTATATTTAGCTATCTATCTACATCTATATCTAGCTATCTATCTACATCTAGCTATCTACAACTATTTCTAGCTATCTACATCTATATCTAGCTATCGATCTATATCTAGCTATCCATCTATATCTAGCTATATATCTATATGTAGCTATCTATATATTTCTAGTTATCTAACTATATCTAACTCTCTATCTATTAAATCTATATCTTTACATCTAGCTATCTATCTATATCTAGCTATATATTCTAGCTATCTAACACTCTCGACATCTAGCAATCTATCTATCTTTTAATCTAGCCATGCATCTCTCTTTTTTAGCTTTTTATATACTTATATTCAACTATCTATCTACCTATTATTCTAGCTATATCTATCTATCTGTATCTAGCTATATCCATCTATCTGTATCTAGCTATATCCATCTATCTGTATCTAGCTATATCCATCTATCTGTATCTAGCTATATCCATCTATCTGTAATTCTAACTAACTATCTACCTGTAATATTAATGTATATACCAGTTAATATCGCCATCAATTTAACAATCTATCTATCTCTCTAAAAAATATCATATTAAGCTATATCTATCTATCTAGTAGCTGTTTATCTATTGTTTATAGGTTATAATATTTAGCTTTTAATCTAGCTATCAATTCAGCTATTCTTCTATCTATCTATCACTATAGCTATTTTTAAAGTCTAGCATAATTCATAAAATTCATTACTATTTATTTCTTTAAATCAACAAAAATATGGTATTTGACAACAGATAGGTAATAATATTTTTATATAATATTTTTTGTCAGTCTGAGTGTAAAATTTACAAGTACTGCGTTTAGTCCACAAGTTCAAGGTATCACACGTCAAATGTCGTCTTTTCACCAGGAGTGAGAGTAGGTAAGTAGTTTCAGGTTAAAAAGTCGTCTTTATATACAATTTTAATTTTAATAAATGCGTGGTCTTTTGTCATAAAATTTGTACTGTAAACACTGATAATAGGTAATGCCCATGATATGGTTTTTAGTGCAAGTTTTGATTTAAAATTTGCAAATTTTGAAAGATTTGTTTCAATCGTTTTCGCGCATTTTCACGACCTCGTCTAATCCCTGTTGAGGTGTTCGTACTTCTGCATGGCCTCGAGGGCAAACTGTGCGAGGGTTCCCATTGTCTCCAGGGACCTCCCTTCGCCGACCTCTGCCAAACTTTTAAACCTGAAAAAAGGGATGAAAACTTTTTCACAAAAAATAATTGCGAAATTTATTTGTTAATCATACAGTCGTATTAAATATGACAATTGAAAGGCGAAACAAAGATCGTTTTTGACAGCCTTGTATGTTTTTAATACATTTTGTCATAACATATCTATTAAAGATTAAAACTGCCGCTCATTTGTAATGTGTTTTTTGGGACATCCTGTATTTGCATCATTTTAATTTATTTAGCAGACAAACAAATTAAATATATATTAATTTGCAATATTAAATGTCGTGCAATACTGAGGAAATTTCAAGAAAAATTGCATTTATTCTGAAACCTCAAAGGGAATGTAGTTGTAGTTTCAAGGGTTTAAGGGTACCGTTGTGAATCGTGCATTGCAATATCTGCAAGAAGGGTCACCAAAAGAATTGATCAAATGTCATTTGCTTAAACCTGGTGATAATGGAATGCTGCAGATATTTGGTTTTTTAATTTGATAATTATGTGGAGCTCTTAAAAACTGTTCCAGCAAATTTCATGTGTTTTTTTACAATTACTGAGATTTAAAATGTATTGAAACTCATTAACGAAGTTCTAAGTTAAACTGTAAAAAATTGTACATAAAAAAACTTACTCTGGAAGTAAACGCTTAAATAGTGATACTGCTGTAGAGATGAAGAGAAGAAGAACTATTGTTCCTATCCCCCAGGTCAGCAAAGCCTGAGTATCGAACCCTAATCCAGCACTTACACCAAACCTGCACAAAATAGGGTTCAAAGTAGGAAATAAATAAAAAAGTAATATAAAAATTTGTGGTCTAAAAACAGTTGTAGGCGATTATATCAATAAAATTAAGACGACTTTTTTATTTAAGTTTTTCGAACTTCAAGTTTCTTATCAAAGAGAAGCCTTTTGAATTGACATCTTCTATTGACTTCTATGCTTATGTGTATCCATGCTGTTTAACAGCTTAATATCAATCAAAATTAAAATCGAAAGTAGTCTTTTTTGTGTTGATGAAGAAATGAAATTATGATTTTGATGTGAAAAATGTTGTTTTTAGCAGGAAAGAATGAAAAATTAGATTAAAAATAGAAATAAAAGGAAAAATTCTGATCTCAAAATGGAACAATGAAAATAGAAATAAGAAAATTGTCGGAAAAAATGAAAAGGAATTAGATTAAGATATAAAAAAGAAACAATTGAAAAATTATAAAGGAAGGGAAAATGAGACATTATAAAAGTATTTAGAATAAAATGAAAATAGATTTTAAAATCAAAAAAGAATATTTAAAAATTTTAAATATTACAAACGCTTTTTAAGAAAAATAAGAGGATCAGCAAAATTATAAAGTTCTAGAAGAAAATCTTAAAAACAAACTGTATAAAATGTTCAGTAAAATGTTCAGTGAATAGTAAAATTTGAAGAAAGAATTTGATCGTTCCAAAAGTCATCAAAAGAATAAAACAATTAAAATAAATGCTGAATAATAATTTAAAAAGTGGCGCATTTACCCGTAGGGATCAGCTCCAGTATTTCCAGAATATCCATAAGGAGTTTCGGGCACTAAAATAAAAAGTATTTATTTTTTGTGCAAAAAACCCACATTTTTAGAGCATTGTTTTAAAATCAATCAGTCTATAAAGACCAATAGCGGCCTCATTATGATTTTGTATACAGTGATATCCAGAAAACTATGGAATAGGAAGACGACATTGTAGCAATACATATAAAATCCCTTATTTTGTGAAATGGGTCTGTTCACACTGCACAATTACTGTGTTTCAAGGTCATTGAACTTGATTCTCAAAGTCGTCATACTATTCCAGAGTTTTCTGGTTATCACTGTACGTAGTCTAATAAATGTAAAAATTGTGCATTGTACACGTGACCCACTTCACTTCAAGTTACTGTTAAAACTATTTGCTTCATAAGATTGATTTAATTCCACAGTTTTATGAGTCCCACAGTACCTGTCCTCCATGGTCCATAACTCTATAATATATACTAGTCCTCTCTGGTCCATGGACCACTTCTATCCCTGTCCATAACATTATATATGCCTGTTATCCGTGGTCCTCTACCCCTGGTCCACAACTTTATATATACCTGTTATCCATGGTCCATTGACCACCTCTCTGCCGGGTCCATAACTCTTTATATATACCTGTTATCCATGGTCTATGAGCCACCTCTCTGCCGGGTCCATAACTCTTTATATATACCTGTTATCCATGGTCCATGAGCCACCTCTCTGCCGGGTCCATAACACTATAAATACCTGTTATCCATGGTCCATGGGCCACCTCTCTTCCGGGTCCATAACTCTCTTGAGCAAGCTGAAGCTCAGCTGCGTCATTAGAGTACACTTCTCTTCGGGCCATACTAAACAATAAAAACTTTTAAAGACCAAATCCACGAAAATTACAACAACAAAAACCGATTTCTTTTTCCACATCCATAAAGAAACAATCTCAAGAACTGACGAGGGTCAACCCAGACCGAAATATATTTTCAATAAATGTGGAACTAACATCTACTTTTATACTCTACAGAGGTTTGGTCCATCACCATCACTGAATTTTAAATGAACATTGAACATTCTGGCCAACAGGTATATAGTGAATCAGCAAGGGTGACTAAATTGTTAAAAATAAGGACATAATGGTTATTTCTAAAAGAGTAAACATTCCCATATGATTTTTTTTTCATTCCTTTTCATAAACTTTCACGCCTTTACAGTTATACGTCAACAGAATAAGGGGTTTCATTGGAAAATCTTAACAAAAAGAAACTTAACACTCAACACAAATTTGAATTCCTATATCTTTGCAACCTGGTATTGTAAACCTTTTATATTTCAAACTATTAACGTTGCTAGATCAAACAGTAAAAGTTTTAACTATAGATGGTTTACACCAATAAGGTCTAAAATAGTGTAAAAGACAAAAGACTAAAACATTTAAAAAATATAACACAATTAAAAATATAAAATAGAAAGAACTTTTCACTAGAACCACTAGTTTACCGTTCATCAGGTTGCAAATATATAGGGTTTGTACTTTGTAGTGAGTAATTAGTTCCTTTGCATTAGTAAACAAATTTACCTGTCAGCAAGAGTTTACTGTAAACAACTGAGCTGGAACCGTTATATTATTATTTATATACTCTTTTCAAAGCAGTCACCTCCCCCCTTCACCTTGTTGCAATGGCGGTTTCTAAAGACGGTGTTGATATAATGTTTGACTTCCTTTTTAGGAGACATATATAGTTTTACGTATATCTATTCTACTGGGGGGATAGGGGCGGGCTTCCAGGCTTTTCTAGGTAAATAATTCATAATTATAATAACGTTTTTTTTAATAAATCATAGTTTTTTAAGGTTATGGTCATTGTAATTAGAAGCGGAGTATTAAAAGAACTGAGTTTTTGCCACAAACCAAACATTTATAATTCACATATCTTTACAACCTAATTGTTCAAACCTTCGATATTTCAAACTTAGATTATTTGATCTAACATAAATCATAGTTTAAAATATTAAAGGTCTGCAATTAATTATGTGTTTAAAAAATATAAGGTTTTTTGAAAATCAGAGCTTGTGGCAAAAACTCAATTGCTTTAAAAATGTGTTTATGTAAGAAAATGAAAATGGTAGAATCAAGACATTTCTATTAGAACTATTCTTTGTTCTCTCCAATGTTCCGCTGTGCTCATATATCAAACTTTTCATAATTTCTAACAAAATTATCGTAATTTCAAATTGCTTAAGATAGTTCAACTTAAAAGGGGCTGTATAAACGTAATTTCAAGTGACCTTCTGATTAATAATGTGGAAAGTGTTTAATTATGATAAAAACTATATGTTTTCCTGCAGTAGAAATGCGCAAGTCATTTTAAAAAGAAACCACATAAACATTGATATCTAATTCATACTTGATCAGATAAAGGGTTTAAGGGTACTGTCGTAAATCGGACACTGCCGTCTTTGCATGAACGGTCACTTGCAATTATTAAAACATAAAAAATGGACGTTTATGATTAATTTAATTCCTCTTCGATATCCCGTGGTGGTCATTCCCTGCAGGGAAAATTAAGTGAAAGGATTAAGGAATGCCCGTAGCTAGGAATTTGTAAAGTGTGGGGGGGGGGGGGGGGGGGGGTAGAAATGGCGCGTCGCATGCCAACATTTTTTTTGATAAACTCAAAATGGTTTAAATCAATGACTATGAAGAATAAAAAACTAGATTTTTACTTATCACACATTATCGTTTATTAAGTTTGATTTTTGCCTCTGTTGCAACATGTTCTCTTTCACTGAAGGGCTATAAAGAAGCTATTTGCGTCAAAATAAAAAAAACTGGAGGTATAAGATGAAGAGATTTTAGTCACACTAAAAATAAATGTATCACTGAAAATCTCGAATAGCCAAAACTTATTTTTATTACTCGGAAAGTAAAGGATGTAAATGCTAAAGAAAAGTTCAAGAAAGAAAATTTCCCAAAACTAAAATTCAAAAAAAAAAACCTGCAAGCTAGAGGATGAGTACAAACAGCTTATCCTAAACCTGGCCATATTTTATATAATTCTCTGTGTTACTTTTTGCTGTATGATGGACAGGATGGTTCATTAGAATCATTGGTCTAAAAACAAAATATTGATAACAAAAATTAAATGTTATGCCAATTTTATCACTTTTTCCCCTTCTTTCTTTTTTTCATTTTTTGTATCCTTCTTTTCATTATTTTATTTTCTTCTTTTTTGTCTCAGATAGTGTGCCAACCCCACGCACCTCTGCCCCTTTATTAAAATTAAATCAATCCTATATGAAGCATAAAGTATGACCGCGTCCACCTTGTTTCGCCAGCTAGTCCTGTCCATAGAGCTAGGTACAGTACAAACTGGGACCGGAAAGGTGAACCCGGCTCCTAAATTCAAATGTACTACGACTGCCTGTGACCCCCCTAGCTACGGGCCTGGATCAAGCATTACACCTTGATATGTAGATTAACGATACTCCTGAGTCCAATGAAAATTTGCATCAATTTCAGGCCTGGGTCGACTTTTTTGTGTTGCAAAGCCTTGGCATTAGACTTTATCTAACTACCTATTGTACTTTTACTGTAAAGCACATTTGTTTCTACCTTTTTTTCTACCTAGTTTTTAATAGAATATTTTCTTTCTGTTGCACCATTTTTGCCAAAATAAGTTATATACATATGGACCAAATACATTTTATAGAAATACATTTTATAGAAATACATTTCATAGATAAGACATTTCATAGATAGGACATTTCGTAGATAAAGACATTTCATAGATTGGACATTTCGTAGATAAAGACATTTCATAGATAGGACATTTCATTAATATGACATTTCATAGATTGGTCATTTCGTAGATAAAGACATTTCATAGATTAGACATTTCATAGATTGGACATTTCGTAGATAAAGACATTTCATAGGCCATGTCTCCCTTCTACCGTGTCAGAGAAAAAATCATTTTATTATTTAAAAAAGAAATTGTATATCTTTTTGTGAAAGGAGAGCTATAAGCCTAAATCAATAACATTGATAATCATTAAGTTATTTCGCTCCGTTAATGTCAGGGTGTATTAAAACAAACTAAAATAATGATAAGCTGTATTGTTTTACCAAATAGTTTAATTTCTTTAAAGTACGCCTTGTTGCAATGGCGGTTTCTAAAGACGGTGTTGATATAATGTTTGACTTCCTTTTTAGGAGACATATATAGTTTTACGTATATCTATTCTACTCATGTTTTGTTAACATCTGTTATAATTATTACTGCAATAAAATATTTGACTTAAAACTTTTTCGTAAACAATTTTATATTATAACTCGACGCGATGACCATTATAACAGTTTAAATTATATTTATTTATAAACTTTGCTTGTTTGGGTGTTTGTTTGTTCGTGATTGTATCCAATAAACGTCAAAACGGCTGAACCGATCGGTATCAAATTTTGTGGCGGGCCTCACATGACCCAAGTGAATGTTTATGAATGATCAAAATTTCAAAAATTAGCCTCCAACAAAATTCGATTGTCATTAAATTTTGAAAATCCGCAAAAATTTTGTTTGTTTTTGTTTTACAATGTACACACAGAAAAAAATGTGAGCGAAGCGCCCTGAAAGCCTAGTACTATGTATTGTATACCCTAATAAGAAATACCATAAAATCCAAACAGGAACTATTGGAAGCATGTGTAACATAAATAAATTACATTTACATTATTTTTTTTAATTAAAAACGTTTCCAAAATGTCAACTGAAGATCATTTAACGGATACGACTTTTAAATGGCATTAAAACTGTCTAAATCTTTTATAGCTTAACTTTATATAAGGAAAACAGTACAAATCAAAGAAAAAACACCCTTAACCCTGTCCCTTCTTTGGGTGGGGGGGGGGAGGGGGGGCTGTCATAAGTTAATAACTCAAAAAGTTTGGGTCTGAGGCAATTCAATTTTTTCATTAATTTTTCAAAGAAGACAAGCCTCCCCATTTTATGCTAAAAACTAGCTGGGATTCAGTACCTACTGTCTGAATGCCTTGTTTTACCTTTACCAGACTAAATCTTTATTTAGACCTTCTCCCAGTCATTGAAGGAAGATTGCAGATTGCAGAAGTTTTGCAAAGAATCCTGCACATTTTTTCGCAGTGCACGCAGCTTTAAAGTTAATTTGCAAATTTTCAGTTTATCTTTCATTCATCTTTAGGTAAAAAAAATGAAATATTTTTACATATTTGATTTAGCTGATTCGAGGGCTGTTCAAAAATGTATAATTTATCATATTTCTCGTTTTTTTGTTTTCGCACATAAGTTGCTGAATAACTGAGTTTCTTAATAAATATTTGGATTTCTGAAAAAAATACAGCCAAAGCGCTTTTTTTTAAAAAGAATGATTTTGTTCCCCCCTTCATGGTATTTTCGGTAGAGGAGACGTCAGTAAGAATAGAATCTAAAAAGTTTGAGTTTTTTGGGAGGTTTTCCAAGGATCTATCCAGTTCAGTAATTAAGTGTAATTAAGTAATGTCGCATAATTTTGACCATCTTCTTCTATCTATAATCTATCTATCTATTTGGCCTGAAAATTATACCTATAAAGCCAATTTAAAGATCCCAATTTGCTGTGGGGTGTAGACCGAAAAAATCGGTTTGTTTATTCATGAAAATTGATCTATATCTATATATAAATTTAGCTTGTCTGGGTGTCTGTTTGTTTGCCTGTTTGTTTGTATCCAAAAACGGCTGAACCGCTCGGGCCCAAATTTTGTGCGGGACCTCACGTGGCCCCAGGGAAGGTTTATGAATGATGAAAATTTTAAAAATTTGTGCTAAAAAGTTTTTTATTTTTGTAAAATTTTGAAAATGCGCGAATAAATATTATGAAATCAGAAAATTTTTTGTTTTTGTTTTATACTGTACAAAGAGAAGATGCTCAAAGATAAAGCCACAATTAAAAGTTGAAATAGAAGATGGTTGCGAAGCGCTCAAAAGCCTAGTAAATATAAAGTACGATACGATATCTATTTATTAAGTAGATAGATTTATGTTTATTATTATTTATATAAATATAAGATACAATACGTATATATAATCAAACTCTTCGCTCACATATACAAACGTATATAAGATACGATATATTAAATTATTTATATTAATCATATTAATCAAACGTATATAAGATACGATATATTAAATTATTTATATTAATAAGAGCTATCACACTTTATAAAAATGAAACTGAAGAGTGAAGAAAATGAAAAAATTAATAAACTGTTTTTTTTCTGTTAGTCTTGTTTGAAGGAGAGATTTAAGTAGTATCTGTATGGTAATTGGAATGTATGCGTACCTTTGAAGTATTTAAGAAACCAAATGTTTTGAATTTACAGTTCAATTTTTGCCCCCCCCCCCTTAGAAGCTCGTAGGGGGTGGGGGCAACACGACAAATGTGCGCTCCGCGCATTTATAGTCCCCCCCTAGATTTATATTTGTATACGCCCTTGTGTTTAAATTTAACTTGTTTCTTGTTTAGCATGGCTTAGAAACCGAGACTATTTACAAATCCCCCTAGGGCCTGGAGTATAACAAATTTGTATAGTTCTATCCCCTTGCTATTGGAATATACAAATTTGCAGAACTTAATAGTTTTCCCAAATGCATTTTCCCAAGCGGCAACTTCCCAAGGGTATTTTCCCAAGCGGCAACTTCCCAAGGATATTTTCCCAAGCGGCAACTTCCCAAGGATATTTTCCCAAGAGGCAACTTCCCAAGGGTATTTTCCCAAGCGGCAACTTCCCAAGGGTATTTTCCCAAGCGGCAACTTCCCAAGGATATTTTCCCAAGCGGCAACTTCCCAAGGATATTTTCTCAAGAGGCAACTTCCCAAGAGTATTTTCCCAAGTGGAAACTCCTTTTTGCATGGGGTCTATAAATTTGCCTTGATTTAAATTTGAAAAATCGAGGAGAAAAAATAATTGAAGGAAACCAAATGAAATAGATTTTTTAAAAGATACTGGGTTTGATTGCGATACTCTGTCTGCAATTAAGTTTCGAGCTCTTCAATATTGCAATATACAAAGGAATTGAGTTTTTGCCTCAAACTCAAATCTTCTGATCCCAATATCTTTGCAACCTGATGGTGCAAACCTTTGATATTTCAAACTAAGATTAAGTAAATATTAATATGTAAGAATTAATAGTTTGAAATGTCTAAGGTCTACGAGATTGGGTTACAAAGATATAGAGATTAGAAAATCAGAGTTTGTGGCAAAAACTCAACTCCTTTGCAGTTCTTACATACCAACTCCCACATTATTGGAATTGGAGATAAACAGCTGTACTATGATATAGTCGCCCCCCCCCCCGAATTTTAGGTTCGAAAAAAACAAATTTATTTGGTTGCGACTTAAGGTTTTTAAAGCTTATTTTTTCTTCCAATTAAGCTCTTTAGAATGAAATGAATTACTTACAGGAATGTAGATAGATATTATCTTTAAATATTTACTTTAAAGTAAGAATTTAAACGTCAGGTCAAACTTTGTGACCTCGTAGATCCTCTAGTTTTCTTTTTACGTCCAAGTATGAGAAAAGCAAATATATCTGAGCTGGGATTTTTTGAATGGTGGATATCGTGATTAATGCTTGATCCATTCGTTTCTTAAACTCGAGATTAAGTAATGCTTCTACTCCTCTTGTTATTAATCTGCAAATAAATCAACCGATCGGGATTAAAGATATCTCGTTCTAGAGTTTTCAGTTCAGAGCTGGGAATGGGATACTTTTGATCCCGACTGCTTTAATCCAATATCCAATGTGGACATTTGTAATTTCTTGCTTAATCGACTCTTTTTTTGAATATAGTACATAAAAATCAAAAACCGTTTTTTTTTAAATTAGAGAGTCCCTCCCGTTTCTGTATTTTAAATGGCGCGCAAAATTTCAAATTTCCCGGCTTCTGATACAGGACTCTGATTGTTTGAATATTATACACTTTTCAGGATACAAGTACAAGATTAGGTTAGTCTCGAGATTTAGAAAACAGGAGATCAGGCATTAATCTCGATATCCACCATTCTAAAGTTATCAGCTCAGGTTACGTATTAGAGATTTTAAATATGTTTGTTCAATGTGAGAAGTTGCGTGAAATTTGCTTATATTTGAGGCGGGGGTAGGTGGCTAGGGGAGGGGGACTACCTGTAACGCTCGTTATAATAAAAATTAAATCATAGATAATTTTAGAAAATTCCGTCAATGCTGTTTGAAAGTACGTTCTAATTATAAATATTGTAATTACAGTATATTAGAAGATTGGTAGATTGGTTTAATTTTGTATCATAGAATTTATCAAAAGGAAAATTTAGGAAATTAAGTTTGCTTAAAAAGATAATTAAATAGAAAAATCTATGCAAACATTAGTAAATAGGCACGATATTAGTGGTACGCTTTTGTCACCTTGTAGCTCCTCTAGTTTTGAAATTACGCCCAAGCTTGAGAAAGACAAATTTCTCCTGTAATATATTAGAAAATCAAAACATTATTGTTCTTCTCCAAAACTGTTCAATGAGAGGAGTTATGATTGAAAACGAGTAATTTACTAAATAGATTATCAAGTACAATAAATAGCAACGTAGAATTTGTACACTCTCAGTACAGCTATATTCTTACGTGACAAGTGTCAACAGTTTTATGTGTCCGACAAAATTACTAATAATTGTGATAACGAAGTGCTGATCTTACAGTAAAATAAGTGCAATTTTGTGTTCTTTATTTTCTGTTTTTACACTTTTTTATTTAATCTTAAGAAAAACATGTGAACTTATGGGAGAGAATGTTGTCTTCCTTGTTAAATTCGACACCTGTGACGTCATGTACAATTGGTCCATTTCTCTGTTGAACCTATTGTATCTGATAATCTTTTTGTTAATTTACTTTAGTTTGACATGTGCTGAATAACTTTTAAACAGCTTCAGTGTTATTTTATTTTAATCTAAAAATAATAAAAGAAAACTTGCTAATCTGCATATCTGGATGTCATTTTTTTTAATCAATTACACTTTAACTTATTTATGAAAATAATATTAGATTTTAATTAAGGTTAATATTTACGAAAACTTCTTAACTCAAAGAGACTGTCTACCATCTCTTCAGTGATCTTTAAACCGTTTTTCTGTTTTGAAGTGCCCTAATCAGGCTGGCGTCTAGTTTACCCAAAATAGTCTGGGGGGCCTGCAAAAAATTTGCAAATTTGCACAATTTCAAAAATTCAATCGAATTTCAAGTCATTAAGCAAAAAATGTGGAATGTAGAATTTGATGAATTTTACATTTTTGAAAAGCCATTGCGAATTCAAATATGCAAATAAAGTAGCAAAATTTTCAAAAACTAAATTTTAATTCAATGAAAACTGAAAATGTGCAAATTCTCTTTTATGGCATCTGTGAAAAAAAGCTATTCAAAATGTTTCGCAAAAATTGTACAATCTATTGTCCAGGGAGTACAATTGTACAATCTACTCACTATTGTCCAGGGAGTACAATTGTACAATCTATTGTCCAGTGAGTCCAGGGCTTTCTAAAGGGTTAGAATATGTCAAAATCCAATGACGGGAATTAGGTCTAAATAAAGATTTAGTCAGGTAAAGGTTAAATAAGGCATTCAGGCAGTAGCTATAGAAGCCCCGCTTTGTGCCTAAAGTAAAGGGCATGTGCTAGCTAGAAAAGTTAAAAAAAATTAAACAGCCTTAAACCAATACTTTTTATGTTATCTTCAAAAAACGTCAAGGGGGATCCGTGGGACCCCACCCCCCAGCTGGAATAGGGTTAAGTTCTGACAATTTTCTTAATTTTTTTGCTACATTGATCTCGAGTACAAATTACTTTAGTTTAGAGTTAGAATTTCTAAGATTTCAAGTTCTTTTGCAAAAATTCAATAAGAGTTTTGTTAATATTATTCTGAAGGGCTTTATATTCTAAATTGTACAGTGTAGTAAAATCCAAGTCCCTTGCGTTCTGACATTTCAAGGTCGACAAAGTCTTTTGATGCAACTGTGATTCGGTGTGATATGCTACCTCCTTTTTTCTACAAGGAATGGTGTTCAGGGCGAGTAAAAAACCCAGGTATCGTATTATTGATGTTTTGGACTTAAAATTTTTAAAGATTTTATTTTATTCGGAATTTAGGCGTAAATAAAACAAAATGTGAAACAAAGAATTCAAAAATATTTCTGGAATATTTAAAAAAACCCGCGAAAACATCTTATTTTGAACAAATTACATTTTTTGAAAAATTATTGGGAAAATGTTTGTTTTTTCTATTGTGTTCTTAAAAATTCATTAATAATTGAATGAGATATAAAAAATGCAAGCTAATTATTTGCATTTTTAAAGTCATAACATTTCTGATTTCTAATTCGATAACATTTACTGCAGATTTCCACTCTAATTTTTTTTTGCGTATTATGGGATTAAACACAGTCAAAAATATTTATAGAAAATAACGAAACCATTGGCGCAAAACTCATAATTCTAAGGGGTCAGCAAACCAATATCTTTTTTCATTTTTGTTAAAATGGTTTCATAGAAATTTTTTAGTAGGTATTAAAAACAAATATTGAGCAAAAGTATGTGAAGGGGGTTGGGGGGTTGGGAAGTATGTAAACAAGTAGGGGACAGGAGGGTCCGTTACATTCTATTTTTAATCCCGAAGCTATAAATGCTTTGGTTGCAACCCATTTGGGTTATTAACCCTCTACCCTTCACACAACTCAGGTAGTATTCACTATTCATATATCTTATTCATATAAATTATCTATATAATAAAACAAGTCATTCGTATATAAATATGTTGCGTATGGCCGACCAAACGGCTGGACCGATTGGGCTGAATTTTTTTTTGGAATTTTTTTATAGCCCATTCTTCTCTTTCAACTTTAAACTGTGGATCTATCTATCTGTGAGCATTTTCTCTTCGTACAATATAAAAAAATACAAAATAGTTTGCGGATTTTATTTTACTTTTTCGTAGATTTTTAATAATTTAAGAAAATTAATTTTTGAGACATTTTTTTAATCCGACAATAGATAATCTTCAGTAGGCTCGATTGGTTCGGCCGTTTTGACATTTACTGAATCCATCAAACAGACACGCAAATTATAAATATAGATATTGATACATTTAATATATGATAAGCACGCACATCACATTCTCGTAAGTCTGTGTTTGTTTTGTTTTGTATATAAGGAGTTGGTCAATATTATGCGACATATTATGACCTAGTTAGATCTTGCATCTCCTCTAGTTAAGACTTTTTGTGCAACAAAAATTTGGAAATGGATTGAATTTTGGGTTCTTCCTTAAATGTAGGTGTTTAAAGATATTAAATTATTAATCAGAGAATTATACAGAGAAGAAATGACGGAGAAGACCTCGTTTTTCTTTTTGATTTTTCTTTCTTTAATTTCTCTTCTAGAGTGATATGCTGAGATATACTAAAAGGCAGAGGAGGAAATTGGCATAGAAATAAAACATATGATTCCACATTATTCTACCAAAATTTGTTCAGTTGTTTAATAGCAGAGACAAAAATGAAATTAATGCATAGGAGTCTTATTATAGTAATATTAATTTCAAAGTAAAATATACTTTTAAACGAAATAAACAGCATTTAACATCTAAGACGTGTATGGAAGACGACATTCAAAACTATTTACCAACTGTCATGTTTCGTGGGACACCCCGTACTGAAATTACGTTGGCAGTCCCTTTATTAAAAAAATTATAATTTTTTAGGATGATGAAGTTGATTTCCCTGCTTGTCGTTGCAGCAACTGCTCTAGCTGATGTTCAGCAGGTGGAAACTGAACAACAGTTTGTTCAGGGAGTTCAGGTATTAACTTGAGATTTATTTTGGAACATTTGTTCAGGTGTTAACTTAACATTTATTTTTTAACATTTGTCCAGGTATTAACTTTAAAATCATTTTTGAACATATCTTTAAAAGTATTCCCTTTATTATGAAGGTCAATTCTTTCTCACTCACAGTGTTAGATTCAACTGATAAATGTTGTTTCAATTTTCCACATATTTAAAAAAAAGTTTTATATTTTTAAGAAAACTATTCAAATAAGAACATAGTAATCAATACCATTGTTTAATCAAATGATTACTAATAATTATCCTACATAATTATCAAATCATCGAAATAATTGTCATCAGTATTTTAGTCAACATCATCATACTTAGATGTCATTGTCATCATCATTTTAATCATCGTCACATTAAAATCATCAATATCAATATCATAATGATGTTACTTTAGAGTGTGCAAGCTGAGAGAGCCCCTGAGCCTGCCCAATACTACTATCCACCCCAGCAGCAGTATCAGCCCTACTCGAACCAATTCCAACATAGAAACGGAGATGTTGGGTGAGTGATTTCAACGTTACGTTTCAGCTATCGCCTAAGCTTAGAACTTTTGAGTGCATCTGAATTTAGCTATATAATCTTAACATTTCCGAAGACTTTTCGATTTCTTAATGGTCGATTAAAAAAATATCCGACTTTTAGATTCACCAATAGAAGGATACAATTCAGAAAAATAGCTTTACTCCAGAATATTCTAAAGTTCTAATCTCATTAATGTAGTTTCGTATTATACTTGAGATGCGTTATTTTTATTTTTATGTTTTGGGCGACAAAACAGGGATTGGGTTGATCCGAAATGCAGATTAAATATGTCCAAAATTCGACCTGGACCCTGTTTTTTTGTTTTAGACTATTTTTTTATTTCTGGAAATAAAACCTTATTATTTTCAGGGTCCACGCCGGAATTACCGACATAGCTGGCTCATATGCTTCAGGGACCATGAACAGTGGCTTGGTTTTTTAGTCCTTGTAATCAGTTGCACATTTTTTAGATTTTCGATAATACTTTTGTTTTCGTGGTTTTTACATTTAGTTTTTAATTTAATATTGAAGCATTTGCCATTTAGCCTTTTTTGGAATAGAGAAAATTAATTAGTTAAAAAGACTGGATTATGGTCTGGGGTAGGGATCATAGTGACTCTCTTGATCGTGACCGTGGTGATCCTCGTCATGGATCTGGTCTTCAGTAACTACAACATCGTCGAGGCAGCTAAACGTTTTCAGCTTTTGTTTCCCAAAAGGGTGGCTAATTATTAGTTTTAAACTTGAGCGTCTCGATATCTGTTCTGAAAGATATTTCATTAAACCTGTTACAACTTTAGTCAGTTATACTGAAATAGTCTCGATTCTATTGTCAAATTTTCTTTTATTTATCTGAAACGAACGTCCATGAGAGTTCACAAAAAATGATTTTCTCTAAATACAGGATTTTTTGACAAACATGAGTTCGGGAACAATTCCAAAGTCAACTCTGATTTTTTGACAAGAACCTTCTTTACTCCTTCTTTGTTTACTTATTTGTGTCCTCTACAGACCAAATTAAACATGAATGTTGTCATTTAAAGGGATTTTAGTCGTAATTTCAAGGAACTCTCCATCTACAAAGATGCTTCTTCGATTCACTACGGAGCACTTAGAAGCTTAGTCTGATAAAGAATAAATGAGATATAACTTGTCAGAATAAAATACTTAGGTGGCCCTAGAAAAACGACGATATCTTTCACTTAAAGGTTTTTGGGTACCGGTGTGAATCAGACAGGCCCCTCCCCAAAAGGACGATAACAAACATTTTCAACGTTATTCCTCTTAAACCATATTCGTTAAGTTTCTTTTCCGTTTAAAAACGACAAGCTGAATTCAGACGATTATGGGACGATCGGCCAAGAAGCTGTGGGAGGAAGGATCCTCAGGACTTATGTCCAACCTCAATACTCTCAACCTCATAGAGACAGCTAACGAGGTTTCAATGTCGTCTTCGATCTCTAAAATTTCTTACAGAAAATAAGCAATCATAGACTCATCCCTTAACGTTTCCTTGTCATTTATGGCCGCGCAGTGCTCTGTTCACATAATTTCTAGACTTGACCCAAAAACTTGACTCATTTTGTAAAAAAATTCAAAAAGAAGACGACATTTCGAATCAATTCAGGTTTACTCTGCTGTGGAGAAGTACAACAATCTGAATGTACCCCGATCCTTCTAAATAAACATAACGCATCTCATAGTGAGTTTTAACCCGCCAGTTTATCCAATTTTTTTATCAAACAATAATATTTATTTTTAATCTGTTTCTAGGTTTAGCGCCGGTGTTGGAACAGGTCCACTGGACTTCTCCCCCTTCCATCCCACCAATCTGATCACCACAATGATCTACACCCTCGCAGTGTTGGCCCTTGTTAACCTTCTCCTTGGACTCATCCCGGAGCCTGACTCTGCCGAGTCTAAATCCGCGGACATGGAACCGGAAGCACGTGGTCTCAACATTGCGGACTTTGTGGTCGGCGCCATTACAAAACTCGGGGAAAAATACGAGTAAATTTTTTGACAGATGCGTTTCTTGCATTATTGTAAATTGTTGGCATTACCAGTAAAATATAATTTATTGTACAAATAATATTTTGAATTTGAAGAATATTCTTCTTTTCAACACTCGGCCGTTGTGACCAGTGAAGATTGAAATAAAAATATTGAAATAAATTTTTAAATCTCCATTTTAAATTCTTTGTAAATGTTCATACATTTATTAACTGAAAAAGAATAATATCATAATAAAAAAAAATTTTTAGTTCTCTATAGATAAAGGTTTTTATTAATGTTTTAAGATGTGTGAGGAATAAAAAGTAGTCTCTAATAAAAGTTAATAATAATAATAATAATAATTGATTTAAAAATGTTCGAAATTTCTTACTTTACAATTTAAAAGTATTTTAAAAAAGGCAAACTGCTTTTTAGAAATTTTTATGAGTATCTCATAGCTCTTTTAAAATGATGATTCTTTACTTTCCTTAGTATAATCCTTATTATTGAAATGTGAAAAACCGGTTTAGAAATCAAATACAAACTGAGCAGCGGGGTGCACAGTAAAATAATAATAAAAACCTTTAAGAACAATCGATGGGCTGACCACAATATACTGATCTATTTCTTCTAAAACATATTGTAAAACAGGAAGGGGTACTTATTGTTTGGCTAAATATATACTATATGGGTAACTAACTGAAGTACCCGGCGTTGCCCGTGAAATTAAAACATACCCTTTATTACACGCCCCCGGGGTACCCATGGGCTCCTTTAAAAATGTCAGCCAATTCGGGCGAAACGAAGAGATTTATTGTATAGCAATATTTCCATAGAACCTTTCTTCAAGAAAATACAGTGGAACCCGTAAAACTGTTGAATAGGAAGACGACATTGAAACAATAATTTGTGTATAAGATGTTGGTATTTTGCTATGGAAGCTTAAAAGATAAACTTTCACACTCCTTTTTTCCGTTAAACTATTTAAAATCTTAATTCGTCTTCTATTCCCAAAGTTTTATGGGTTTCACATCAACAAGAAGCCAATGAAATAATTATGCGGCACTTTAATCATCCGAGAAAGAGGAATTTAAGTTTTGAACTTTTGATATGCCCAAAATCGATAATTTTATTTTAATAAGTAAAATTGCATTTGCATGGCCTCAACATTTTTCAAATAAACAAAGAGTCAAGAAACAGTAAGATTTTTCTTTTTTCTTTTAATAATAAAATGTTGCGAAGAATCTTTGTAAATAGCAACCGACTAAATCTTGAATTCTAGAATGAAATATATCCCGAATTAAAAAATTTGTTTAAATTAAAAAAAGAAGAAGACGACATTCAGTATTAAACTAGCCGTGAAAGTATACACCTGTACAATAAGCGCCCCTGAACCTAGACGATAAATTGAAGAGCATGAACTTGAACTGGTTGAACTGGATGAACTGGTTGCTGTGAAAGATGAATCAGATGTTCCCATGTACTGATCATATTCCCGGTTCAGTACGCTAGGGACTCCAAGAACGTCTAAAACATTGAGGATTGGTAAAATCTTAGAAAATGCAAGGCAAGGCGTGGAATTAAAAATACTGAGGATGCTGAAAGAGTAAGGCATGGAATTAAAAATACTGAGGATTTTTTTATTTTACAAAAAATAAAATTTTTTGAGGAAAACAAAATCGTACTTCTTTTAGCCTTTGCCCCACCCCGGGGCACCCATGAGTTTCTTCAAAAAATGTTAGCCAATTCAGTCTATCTGTTTGGCCAGACATAGATAACATAACAATAAAGGACTTATTTATACTATGCTTTTACGCGCCTATTCTATATTCTAACTTTTAATTGTGGCTTTATCTGTGAGCATTTTCTAAATGTAAAGTATAAAACAAAAACAAAAAAAGTTTGCAGGTTTCATATTATTTTTTCGCGCAATTTCAAAATTTTACAAAAACAAAAAAACTTTTTTAACACAAATTATTGAAATTTTGATCATTCATAACCTTTTCCTGGCTTCAAGTAACGCCCCACACAAAATTTGGACCCGATCGGTTCAGCCGTTATGACATTTATTGGATACAAACCCACAAACAGACAGAAAGTCAGACAAGCAAAGTAAAAATATAGATAGAAGATATAACGTAGATAAAAGACCATCATCTTATTATTTTCTATTTACACCCATGTCTGAAGGGCGTTTCTTGTGATCAAATTAATAGCTGAGATAAGAAATAATTTGGCTAGCAAGACTGTAGACGTAATCTCAAATGATTTAAAGAGTGACATCTGTGGTTTCTTTTGTTTTCCCTTCATAGTCTCTGAAGCATAAATGCGTTAGTAACCTCAATTGAAAAATTATCATTTTTAAGTCAGAACTTAGGAGACATCGAATTTTTTTATTATAAAATATCGTTTTCTAATATTACTGATATCCGAATGCCGCCAAACTTTAGTTTTTTTTAAATTAAATAATTATATGAAGCTCTTCAAAACAATCCCACATATTTCATGGCTATTTATTTATCTTTACATTCACTGAGATGTAGGTATAGTATAAAACCCATTGAAAAATTATCAAGATAACATGTTATTCTTCCTATGTCCCCGAAGGGATAAATGAGTACAGGTTGTGAATCGGACAATCTAAAAATGAAGAATAAACAAAATAACGGTGGCTCATCATATTTCATACTGTTTCCAATAATTAATTTCAAAATTATTTTTTGAATAATGCCGCAACAACCGAAGTCAAAACTTTTAAATCATTAATTCATTCAAAATTCAATTATCATTATTTGTTCTGGGCCGATTAACTTAATTCCTTACTGACATCTCTAAATGTACTGAAGTCATCGACCTATCAGAAGACAAAAATCTTCACTTCACTATGTCATAAACATTTCAGTAGTTCTCACTAATTTAATCGCCTTCAAATTAAAAGTTTCCTTTGTGTATATCAAGCTCAGCTCTGTTGGGGTCAAAACTTTTGAATGTTTACCTAGAATGGGTTTATCAAGAGATGCAATACAGAATGGTAGTTCAGGCTCACCCTCAGACTTCTTATCCTTCCTGGAGCAGACTTGAACTGGGCTGGAGGGGTACACCAGTTCAGGATCACACAGACCTATACCAGGGGTATTTTTTGAGAAAAAAAAATCTGTTCGAATTTTTGGTGAAAATTAGAATTTAGAAATACTGAAAACTTTTCCTAAACTTTTTAATATTAAGTTCCCAAAAAATCATTTATTTCTACCCCACCCCCCCCCAAAAAAAAATATCTGTATTTCCAATTTAGCAAAAACTTGTAAGTTTAGTTGCTATCTTGGCAAACGTCTGTTTTTGACCTTCCTAAAACTTCATATTTTTTCACTCAAAAGAAATGTAATTTTATCCCTCTTTAAAAAGTTGCCCATTCAAGACTAAAAAATTTAGATTTTTAAAGATCTCCGGGAGCCTAACAAAACGCTCCATTATACATTTAAAATCCGAAAAATTTCTTCAACAAGAAGGGCTCTGCAGCTCTGTAGTTGTAGCTTTGGGGGAAAAATATTATTTAAAATTTGAGGGGGGGGGGGGCAAAAACTATGGGTCTCAGAACTAACATACAACCTGGATCTTGCTTCTAATTTTTCTATCTTCTGTGACACTTTCTCATTTTTATTTGAATACCTGAACATATTTTAGCCAGATCTGGAAGAAGTTCTAGGTCTGTATCAAGATCAAGACCGGGAATACCTTTAAGAGATTAATTTAACATTATTTTAAGACTACTTTTAGATCTAGAATAAGCTGACCAATTTTCTTTTAAAATTTCAAGCAATTTTTTATGCTTCCCATAGATAAAGAAAATTGTGACCTCAGGTTTAATTTTCAAGTTATCTTCATTATCTGTTCTTAGATAAAGTATCTTGAATACTTGCATTTTTTCTAATTTAGGTCTTATTCATACAATAACAAACATAATAAATAAATTTTACCATTCTCAATTTTGCAAGGCCCAATGGTTCTCTGATTGTTAATGGAGTGCACAAATTGCTCTTGCTTTACTTTGTCCGTCTCGTAAATCTTGCAAATGAGCTGGTTTTGGTTTGTTTGACTCATTAGCAAGTTTTTACAAGGCTGGTAAATCTGAGGTTTCTGGGTTAATTGTTCAGGAAGTGTGATCTTGCTAGACTGAGTGAAGGTGTTCTCCCTGTACTTGGTCATTGGGTTTTGCAAAACCAGATCATTTTGCCCAAATTTGATCAGGATTGAGGCCTTGTTGGATTGGTTATTCAGAGTTGTTTTATTGGACCTATACGTCTTCTGGCTGGAGAAACTTCGAGAAGGGGTTCTGTGTGCTGTTTTCTTTTGAATAATAATCGGTTTGTTCCACTCTTTTAATTTCTGGTTGGGCTGGTTACCAGGCTTGTGGGTGCTCTGTTTTGGAAAACTGATAAATGTGTCTTGACTTTGGTTACTCTTCTGATAGTTGAGACTTTGGTTACTCTTCTGATAGTTGAGACTTTGGTTACTTTTCTGATAGTTGAGACTTTGGTTACTCTTCTGATAGTTGAGACTTTGGTTACTCTTCTGATAGTTGAGACTTTGGTTACTCTTCTGATAGTTGAGACTTTGGTTGTTGAAACAATAGTTGAGGTTTGGACTACTGTTCTGGAAGCTGAGACTTTGGGCACAACTCTGAAAGTTCAAACTTTGGTTATAATTCTGTTGGTCGAGATTTTGATTTCTGATCTGATAGCTGAGACTTTGATTCTGCCCATGAGACATGTTTGGATTTGGCCAAATCTGAGAGTTCTTATTTGGCTGCAATGTACAGGTGTTGAGGTACATGTTGGCAACAATGGTGTACTGTTGTTCCCTTGTTACCCTTAAAAATATACATTTTTTGATTTAATTAATAAAAATTTAAGATATGGATTTCATTTAAAAAATGTTTATGGTTTGAAGATTTTGAACAGGGGCGGATGATATTATGGTGAAAAATCATCAGCTCGCATTAAAAATATTTGTTATAAATGTTTAGTAGATTTTTTAAGTCACATAAATTAAATGAAAAATAAGTACATTTATTGGAAATGGTATGAGAAAGGGGGAAAACTTGACTGATGACCGACAGATTTTTTATTTCCCCTCCCCTAGGGGATGTAATCCAACTAAATTTATACCCTTGACTGAAGAGAAGACCAACAATGCTACGTCAGCATGGCATTGTTTTCAGGCATCATTTAATTGTTAAAAACTCATAAAACCTTTCTATACCTAAAAACTTACCATTCTAAGGTCTTGCTATCTACAGGAATTCTAGAGAAAACGGGTTTACCAACATTGGACTGTAAACAACATAACTCCAACAAAATTTACATAAGAATTGTCAGAGTTAGTATTACTGTGTTTTATGTAAGCATAGTAAAACTGAAGTTGTGTTTCCTTGCTTTGTGAAGCTTTTCTTATTCTACCCTTCTTTTGAACCAGTTTCTTCCACTGTCCTGTGTATCCGGAAGAAGACACTCCTAAAGCTCAGATTTGGCATCATGTTTGGAATCTTTTTTAATAGTTAGGTTTTTATTATCTTTAGCAGCTTCCAAAGACAAATATGAAACTGTGTATCAATCAATCAGAGTGTTAAGGATGTTCTACTACCCATATATATCAAACTTAAGCTGAAATTACTAAATTATTAAATCATTAAATAACAATTCAGATAAAAACTTAAAACTTAAGAGCATTATTATATCGAATGATGTTTTCTTTGAAAGTCCCCTTTCATACTAAAAAGCTTATGGATTTCTCACAAAAAGTTTATGGATTTCTCAAAAAAAAAGATAAAAAACAAACAAAATATAGATACTCGTTCATATTTTAAAAAACTTATGCCAAATCTTGCCTTCAGCTGAACCTAGAGAAGGTACTGCATTAAGACTAGAAATGTTTAGATGCATGTTGGAGGAAGGTGTTTTCTTTTGATCAACAGCTTTAACAATAGTAGCACTGCTTACTTTGACAATTTTACAACCAACAACACTTTTGTCAGCAGGCAAGTTAAATGTTTTTGCTTCTCCTAAGGAGTTAAATGAAAAAGAGTTTTGAACATTTGGTACCATCTTGATTGGAATTGGTTCAATTTGAAATCCTAAAATAATAAATTTTATATTATCATAGAATAAACAAAAAAACATGATTAATCACCTGGAGACGTTATTGGCGTTTTGGTAGACATTTTGCAGCCAGAAACACTCTTCGTTTCATAGAAATAAATGAAAGTATTAAAACATTTCATGATAAGGAATGGCTATTAATTACAAATTAACAAAGTTATACTACTTTTTAAAGGGAGTGACTGGCTATATAAGGTAGTTGAACTGTGTATGCAGTGTTGTGGAAAACTTCTTTCGGATTCATTTGAGACATATTAAACTTTTTAAAGATCTGTATATCCTGAGTTTGAGCGCAAATTCGAAATGAAAATTAATCTTCTCATCGAAAATACGTAATCTTGTTCAATTGTTAGATTCTATTTTCTCATTATTCTGAAAACGTATCCACCCCCAAAGTATGAGTTTTGAACGTCAAATTTGCGCTCAAACTCAGGATTTACAGATCTTTAAAAAATTTAATATGTCTCAAATGAGTCCGAAAAAAGTTTTCCACAACACTGCATACTCAGTTCAACTACCTTACATAACCGGTCACTCCCTTTAAAGAATAATTCACGAGTTTAAAAAAGGAAAATTAATCAAGATTCCCTTTTTATCTTCATAATATTTTTTTTCCTCTAACACCCCAAAAAAAATCAGGCAGAAATAGACTAAAATCCATGTATTATATTTCTTTCATTTAAACCTTTACAGGTGCCATAGTGTATCCGGGTATGGGGTATATCCTGCAATTAAAGTAGTTTTAGAACTGCCAGACTATTTTTCTAAAAAATCATTAACCCCCCTGATATGCAGTGACATTTAATTTTTAACAAATATTTAGCCCATCAGTTATTTTCTATACTTTTACTCCTTTTAAATCTATTTCTTTGGCATGTTATTTGGTTTTGTATAAGTCAGAATAAAGATCAGTTGAATGTTTAGATCTTTAAAAATTAAAATCTTTTCAAATTAAGATTAGATTTAATGATTCTTAATTCTTAATAATTAGTAAGAAGTAGGTGAAAGGCACAAACTTTTCATACCTAGACCAGTGGCCGAATTTAAAGAATTTGAGCGGCGGTTTAAATTTAAGCCGTGGCTTAAATATGGTTGGTTCCACTTAAAATTGTATCAAATGTTTTAAGATTCAAGCCGGCGCTTAATTTAGACCGGGTTTTGGCAGATTTAAACCGTGGCTCAAATTCTTTAAATTCCATCTCAGGGCAATTAACCGCTTTCAGTGACAGCCGCTAATTTTGTATGCGTAATTTATCCTGAATTCAAATACTAAGAACCTTTCATTATATTTTAATACCATATAATGAAAGGTTATATAACAATATCTAATTAAAGGTTCTCAGTATTTGAAATCATGACACATTAGGCATACATAATTAACAGCTGTCACCGTTGTCACAAACTTACCCAGGCCTAATTATGCCTGCAAGTTCAAGTTGAAGAGAAATTGTTAAACTAAAATATTGAAAATATTCTTACATGTTTGCTGGTTGAAGAAAAATGATGGAGGGTGGTAAAGGATGTATGGTGACTACATAGAAAAAATATGATTAAAAAACTCAATATTATTTTCATTGAAAACTCTCTCCTCTTCACAATAAAGTTGTCATTTAAATTTTTAATTGATAAACTTTAAATCCGAAATTTGAAAATTTAAATAGACAATTTAATCTGAAAAAAAAAGATCCAGATCCCAGCTCTGAATAATCAATCAATTCAAAGAACTTGTTCAACATCTCTTTTAATATGTCTTATAGCTTTTAACTAATATTTCACTAATTAAAAAGAGCACAAAATATTAAACATTTGTCTTTTGTGAGAGAAGTTAGCTAACTTACTCAGAATCGATTTTTTAGGTTTGTAACGTAACAAATCCAGAATCTGGTAGTTATCTGTTTTAAAATGGTATGAATAGGTCAAAGTACCTAGATTATTGTTAGACACTGAACCAGAATAAAGCAGAGCATTCTCCATAGGCCTAAGGATTAAATCGGCTGGTGTTACCGATGTTGAACTAATTTCAGCACTAGCAGGATTCTCTCGTAAACTTCTTACTTGGTTATTCAGATCCATTATAGTGCCTTCCTCAGGTCAACAACAATGAAATTTACTAAATAAAGAAAATAGTAGAGGACAATAAATCCTTAAATGAATCAGGATTTATCTTTTGATAATTCTAATGACACTCACTGGATTTATTTTATAAGGCAACAAATCATTTTTGATAACTTCTAGTCCAATAAAGGAAAGAAATGGAACAATGCTTATGTAATTCACTGGTGCACAGTTTTGGAATGCAAAATAATCTTTATAAAACTCACTGATTATCAAAGTGAATAAATACTAAAGTGGTCCAAACTCATAGTTGGATGACGACATTTTATGTCCCAAGTAAATATAAATGTGTATATATATATATAAATTGGTCTGTATACGGAGTGTACAGTACAACAGAAACTGGACTCCCTTTGTTTACAAACACAGACTTAGAATTTGTATTTAACTTAAATATAGATTAACGTAAATTAAGATTTCAGAAGTGAATTTTAGCCATTCTACTGCACAATAAATAATTTCAGACAGCACAATAATGCCTGAATGCATAATCTGTAAAGCAAGGAATGCACAGTTTGTCTCACCAAAAAATGAAGATGTTCAAAAAAATGGTTAGTTGCTCTTATAGGAGTCTGTTCTCAACCGAGCCAAGGGTCCAGGAGTTGTTTCAATCATTTCAATCCTGAAGATATAGTGGTCCCTAATTCTGATCGATGCAGATTGAAACAAGGAGCAATTCCGAAGTTTCATGGAAACTATTGAGGAAAATAATGATCATAACTATTCTAAATTGCACGCTGGATTTAGATCTGCCAAATAACGTACATTGTAAATATAAAAAAATGAATTCCGGAGTTAAATGTAGAAGCTAGATACTATGTTGCTGGATATATTACTCACAAGTTAAAACTCTCTGCATCAAATGACAGAAAACCGAACTCCTGGATATCATTAACCGTCTATGTCCGAACGTAATATTTTTCAAAATATTTTTTTGAAATTTTCAATTTATTTTAGAAATGTTCCCTGAGGAACAGAAATATTTTTATTTTTTTAATACAATGCATAGTTTTAGTGATAGTGACAGCGGTCGATATCGACGGCTTCGTCAACACGGGATTTTAAAATGGCCAAAATCGACCGCTCCGGAAGAAAGCAAAGTTTGTAGATTTTACTAGTAAAAGTAAACATATCTTTAGTTAAACATTGAACACAGCTTGTTTGTAGTTTGTAGTTCAAATATCTTGACACACGGAAGCCTAAAAGAGGGGGGGGCAATTACCCCCCACCCCCATTCCCCCTTTTATAACATTACTTATCCCCACTCCACCTTCATAACATTACTCAGCAATCAGCCTTGGTTAAGTGAAATCTTGAGGGGTTTCAGACCCCAAAGGGTTCTGAGCCTCATCCCCCCTGAAAAAAAGTGTTAAGTCCCCTCTGTACAAAATCCTGTATACGCCCCTGTTATCTTCTAGAACTAGTTTTCATAAAATTTATACTAAGTATTATTGTAACAAATTCAAGAAAACACGAAGACGATTACCACCCTATCCTATCCCTCCCTTCACATCCATCCCATCCCTCCCATTATATCCCTCCCATGCCATCCCTCCCATCCCATCCCTCCCATCCCATCACTCCCTTCCCACCCCATCCTAACCTTTCCATCTTATCCCATCACTCCCTTCCAATCTCATCCTTTCCATTCCTCCCTTCCCACCCCATCCTACCCTTCCAATTTCATCCCTGCCTTCCTATCCATACCTTCACATCCCTTCCATTCCTCCCTTCCCATATCATCCCATCCATCCCTTCACATCCTTTCCATTCCTCCCTTCCCATATCATCCCATCCATCCCTTCACCACCTTACCATTCCCATCTTTTCTCATCCCTACCTTACTATCATGAATCCATTCCATTCCTCCCTCCCTTCCCATTCGACTGCCTTCCCACCCCCTCTTCCCATCCCTTCCTTCCAATCCCACCCTTCCTATTCAATCCATCTCTCCCATTCCTCCCATACCATCCCACCCATCCCTTCCCATCCCTATCTTCTTATCCCGCATATATTTTTATATTATTCTGAAGCCGTCTATTTTGCCCTACTGTTATGTCCCCCACATGTGCGAAGCCGTCGATAACGACCGCTCAAAAAAGCTGCCAAAATTATACTAAAACAATAATTTAAACCATTAAAATGTGAATATATAAAAAGTAATAACTTTTGACTGATTATATGGTTGCAATGTGAAACTACAAACTCGCTTTACAGCTGAGAAATAACTTTTAATGATGATAAGCCACTGGTAGTATCTGAAAGAATATGTATCATGTTACCACTGTAATTGTTGTCTAACTCTAATAAATTATTTAACCAATATACTTTCGAGAACAAAATCATCAAGTTCTTAATTTGGCATATGAGAAACTCCAGTACTATTCTGCCCCAAACGTAACTACAGAACCAGTGCTTAGGATCCGGATCCGTTGGATCCGCAAGATTTTGGCTTCCTGGATCCGGATCTGCAAAAATATGCGGATCCACGGATCTGGATCCAAAGGGTAAAAAATCAACCAAAAACTGCAAAAAAAACTTTTTTGCTCCTAAAATCCAAATCTGAACTTTTGAAAAAAAGTTTTAGGTTAAAAATAAGCGAAAAAAATATAACAAAATATTTAAAATTATTTTTTGTTAAAAAAATCAGTAAATCTTATTAAAGAAATGACCTGGATCCGGATTTGCATCAAAATTAAATGGATCATAAGCACTGTACAGAACATCACAAATACAATCTTAAGGCCGTTCTAATAAAGGATTTACACCAGTGTAAACTGTCATTTACACTGGTGTTTACCTAGGATCGGATTTAATAGTCATGAATTACACTGGTTCAAACAACAACAACGTACAGTTTACACTGGGTAGATTTACACCAGTGTCAAGAAATGAAAACACTGGGTCCACCCTGTGTTTTCTGACTTACCCAGGGTAAACAGAGACCAGAAAACCATGCAGAGAACTTAATAGTTCAGAAAATTAAAAGCATTTAATAATTCTATTAAATTTTATTAATATTTTTGGAATATTTTATGGATGATTTCTCATAACCAATAACCATTTTAATAATTATAACTTCTAATAATATATTAATGCCAAAAAGAATTTCAAAAAAAAAAATTAAATAAATCGCCTTTTTATGTTGGCATTCAATTTTAAAGTTGGAAATCTTTAATTTTTTGCATTTTGTATACTTTGATAATTTTAAACGGTGGCGGGAATAAAATGTTAAAATTATCAACTAAATTTTAAAAAGTAAGACATTTCTCTTTAAATATAGTGAAATTAACATATATAACTAGTACATTGACGATTTCCAGTCTAACCAGCAAAGACGACTTCAATCCCCAATACTTATTCGTTAAGTTATTTTACACATGCGCAAAAGGGTCTTAAGCTGTCTCAGCTGCTGAAAATACGTATTTACACCAGGGTAACATAAGGATAATTAATAAAACCGTGAGTATGGCGACACTGGTGTAAATTCAGCTGACCCAGGGTTCAGGAATGATTATTAAATCCGTGGTTAGGTTACACCGGGGAACACAAATACACCAGTGTAAATATACCCTTAGGGTTTACACTAGTGTATTGCATTTCTTTATTAGAACGGCCTTTACTTACAATCAAACTTACAGGGAGTAACCGGCAATATATGGTAGACTTTTTTAGGATTCATTAAACATATAAAACGTTTTGATGATGTATAATTAGATAATTTGAGCGCAATGTTGAAAAGTTTTCAATGTGTTTTATAGTATCACCCCTGAATCTAAGTACAAATAGCAAATATAAATAAATAGCCATGAAATAAGCAGGAACAGTTTAAAAGAGCTCCATCAGATTATTCAATTCAAGACAAAAAATCATTTGATAAAAAACCGACATTCTTTTTTTTCGATGTCTGCGAAGTTCTGAGTTTATTTTTATTTGGAAACATTAAGGATGCTGTTCAGTTCTCACCCAACTCCATTTCTATGAACAATTCTCCTGAGACGTTCATCATTAATGGAATATGGAAGGGGGGGGGGGCAGTTCCCCCTGAATACGCCTCTGGTTATACCTCTTCCGACCCTATAGGGAAGAAATAGGTTGGTATTTGTTCCATCAAGTAAAAGATGTATTTCCAGAGTTCCGGAGTTAGGGCAAATACTTCTGATAACACTCATACGCTTTTTATGACACTGAAATTATGGACAATTGCATACTTTCTTACTAGACCAGTTCTAAAAAGGAAATCACTGAACTAGTTCCGGTCTAAAACTTAACTTATGTTAGTAAAATAAAACTAAAATCTTGATATTCTTTCAATATTCAAACATCACGGTAAATTGTTCGGGCAATGGCTGAAATATGAGTCACAATGGACTCAATTTGTAAATTGTTAAAAGCATGGCTGAAATATGAGTCACAATGGACTCAAGTACAGAGTTAACCCATCAATAACAGTACAATCATCTACCAACCTTTAAGAAAAATACAAAGATGCTCCAAATAATGCTAGTCAGTATTACAGCCATATGTAGAAACATGGAACAATGATTAAACCTGCAAAGCACATTTCAACTATGTACAAACATAGTACAATGATTACACTGGCTAACCATATATGTAAAAGACCAGCATTGTACAACATTACACGATAAATCATCTTGCAAAATAATGAATACTTGCTTCTAGTGATTTTTCTGCACACTACTGCCGACTGATCTTGAAATTATGCATGGCCGAGCTAACAATTCAACATCATTTTCTGAAGGAAAAAATTAATGAACAATTGACATATTGAAAATCACACGAAAAAGAACAAATTAGAAAGACAATTAAAATGAAAAAAAAATTAAATGTAATGAAAAAAATAAAATCTTTAACAAGGAATAGAAAACTTAATCATAAGTGATCACATATAAACATGATTATAACATACAGTGCTGTCAGTACAATTATTTAAAGCCGGCTATACACAACTTGTTGTAGATTCAGAGCTGCTTAGTACTCAAGTAACTTTATTTCTTTGAGCGACTCTCCTGAGGCATTCATTTTAAGAAAAAATATAAAAAATATGAAGGTCTTAAATCTTTTGAGACCGATGGGAAAAGGAAGCTAACTAAAATAGTTAGATGAAAAAATGACAGGAAATAAAGGAAATTAGGACTTTTTCCTGCTATTTTTCTGAAGTCCCAGAGAAAAATATCATTGGAAATTGCTTATTTCCTGAAGTCCCTAGAGAAGGTTTGAGTTAACAAGGACTTAAATACATATTGGACCAATAATGTCAGAAGAGAATTTACATCTTTTTTACTTCGGTAACCTCAATAAGACTTGGCACATCAGCATTAACCATGTCCGAATTCTGTAATTTAAATGAAAATTTTTTTTCACCAAAAATTTCTGCATCAAACTTTGGCAAGGGGTTTTAACTACCAGTTTTTCTATTTTTCCGTCTTTCTAAGTGCATATTCCATCCGTCTACTTTTCAATCTTCCTGTTTTTCAATCTGTTTCATTTTATAAAGTAAAACACTAATTACAAACATCTAAAGGTATTCTATTAACTTTTCCCCCTTTTTATCACATTTTCTCAGTTAATTTTGAATTTTAATATTCTGAATTTAGGAATTCATTTTTTAGTTCAATATTGAATATTTTAAGCTCACTTGCCTCAATGATATATATTTTCGAGTAGAATTTTTAGAAGGAAAAAAATGTCCCTCTTCCCTTTCACTTGTCACATTTTTTCTAAACTTTTACGATCAGAGTCAATATTTTGCATTTAAGAAACTTCTAAAATTCTAAAATATGTTTATTTCTTAACCTCCTTAGGAAAAAAAGGATAAAAAATGCCTAACACATAAGGGGTGGGGGGGACTAATTGACGTCAAATTTATGAATGAGCCTTTTCCTTGAGATTGTGCTGGTTGATGATACCCTCAATAAAGGAGATCAGGTGCTGACGTAGTAATCCCAAACCAGGATTGTCTAATAAAACCCCAAAATGAAACTAATTGTTTGTTTGTAAGCCTAATAACAAATTATTCAACCCTGGACTGAGTTGCCCAAAATCATGAAGGGTACTAGGTAGCACCACAAGAAAAAAAGACAACGACAGAATTAAAAAGTGAATATTGGCAGAATTAAAAAGTGAATATAGGCAGAATTAAAAAGTGAATATTGACAGAATAAAAAAGTGAATATTGACCGGATTAAAAAGTGAATATTGGCAGACTTAAAAAGTGAATATTGGCAGAATTAAAAAGTGAATATTGGCAGAATTAAAAAGTGAATATTGACAGAATTATAAAGTGAATATTGGCAGAATTAAAGTGAATATTGGCAGACTTAAAAAGTGAATATTGGCAGAATTAAAAAGTGAATATTGGCAGAATTAAAAAGTATTCAAGCGGGAAAAACGACCCATGAGTTTAAAGGGTGCCATTGGAAATCAGTCATGCCACTTAAAATCTAAAAGAATATGTAGTTGTTTTCTGAAAAAACGGTAAAAATCCTCATATATAAAATTGTTTTGTACCATTTTTGCAAAGAATGGCTTAAAAATTATAAAAAACATTGAGAACATATTCTTGTAGATAAAAAATACTATTTGCCAGTCGGCTGGTCTGATTCTATACATCGCCAAGCGACGAATCCTAAAAAGGATTAGATGAAAGAATTGATATGCATTTACAAAGTACATGGTTCATAGTCCAAGTATTATATAATAGGCCAGTAAGTTTTTGATCTCTTAAAAAATAGAAATATTATCATGTTTTCACATTTTCATGAAGTTTTGAGATCTTTCCTCCCTAATTCTTAAAAACACATTTGTTGTATAATGATATCTTTAAATTTTTCAGATTTTTGTGTCCTGAAATTTGAAAATTTTGAATGTTTAAAAAAAACTAAACACATAACAATTAAAACTTTTAAAAATGTGACCTGAAATACATTAAAAAACACAAGAGGACACAGCACCCCTCTCAAAATTGTAAACACCTTTAAAAGTCCAATACGAAAAAGCATGTTCATTTCAGTTTCTTGATTTTACATTAACAAAATTTTCAATAAGTTTCCAGCATGGCAAAACTGCAAAGATGTCTAGTTTTTTTTCTTTTAAAATTAGCCAAAATATTATTGAAAAAAGTACGAACAAGAAGATAATGAAGAACAAGACTATTATAAAAAAATTAAAAATAAAGATGTAAAAAAAGATGAGGTTTTTACCTTTATAAACTGCAATCTCTGTAAGACAAAGAATAAACAATGGTATTTCAGTCACTTCCAGTTCAACCTTCTCACCCTTAAATAATAAACATTGATATTTCAGCCACCTCCAGTTCAACCTTCACACCCTTAAATAATAAACATTGATATTTCAGCCATCTCCAGTTCAACCTCCTCTCCCTTAAATAATAAACATTAATATTTCAGCCACCTCAAGTTCAACCTTCTCACCCTTAAATAATAAACAGTAATATTTCAGCCACCTCCAGTTCAACCTCCTCTCCCTTAAATGATAAACATTAATATTTCAGCCACCTCCAGTTCAACCTTCTCACCCTTAAATAATAAAAATTGATATTTCAGCCACCTCCAGTTCAACCTTCTCCCTTAAATAATAAACATTGATATTTTAGCCACCTCCAGTTCAACCTTCTCCCACCTAAAAACAATAAACATTGGTATTTCAGCCACCTCCAGTTCAACCTCTTCTCCCTTAAATAATAAACATTGATATTTCAGTTACCTCCATATCAACCTCTTCACCCTTAAATAATAAACATTGATATTTCAGCCACCTACAGTTCAACCTCTTCACCCTTAAATAATAAACATTGATATTTCAGTTACCTCCATATCAACCTCTTCACCCTTAAATAATAAACATTGATATTTCAGCCACCTCCAGTTCAACCTTCTCCCTTAAATAATAAACATTGATACTTCAGCCACATCCAGTTCAACCTTCTCCCTTGAATAATAAACATTGATATTTCAGCCACCTCCAGTTCAACCTTCTCACCCTTAAATAATAAACATTGATATTTCAGCCACCTCCAGTTCAACCTTTCCCTTAAATAATAAACACTGATATTTCAGCAACCTCCAATTCAATCTTATTCCTTAAATAATAAACATCAATATGTCAGCCAACTCCAGTTCAACCTCCTCACCCTTAAATAATAAACATTGATATTTCAGCCACCTCCAGTTCAACCTTATTCCTTAAATAATAAGCATTGATATTTCAGCAACCTCCAGTTCAACCTTCTCCCTCCCTTAAATAATAAATATTGTTATTTTAGCCACCTCCAGTTCAACCTTCTCCCTTAAATAAAACATTAATATTTCAGCCACTCCAGTTCAACCTTCTCACCATTAAATAATAAACATTGATATTTCAGCCACCTCCATTTCAACTTCCTCAGTCCTCACCCTTCAATAATAAACAATTTGATATTTTAGCCACCTCCAGTTCAACCTTCTCACCCTTAAATAATAAACATTGATATTTCAGCCACCTCCAATTCAACCTTCTCCCTTAAATAATAAACAGTCATATTTTAGCCACTTTCAGTTAAACCTTCTCCCTTAAATAATAAACAATGATATTTCAACCACCTCCAGTTCAACCTTCTCTTTTAAATAATAAACATTGATATTTCAGCCACCTCCATTTCAACCTCCTCAGTCCTCATTCATTAGACTGCTCATTATTTCAAGTATCCAGCATTTGTTTAGAAGTGTGTCAGATTAACAATGGTACCTTTAAACTTTTGTCCAGGCACGGATGAAATAGATATCATGATTATTATTGCTGAAAATTGATTTCTGTGGAGTCATGATTTAAGTGTAGACTGGCGGTTTCGAAAGTTGCTGAATTTTTTGCTGTAAAAATATGAATAGCTATGTTTGTTGACACAAATAAAAGAACTAAAAGGATATTTGGTAACTTTATTGAATAAAGGCATGAAATGAGAATCAAAAGTAAAGTTTAAAAATATTTTCCCTTATTGGGAGTATCTAAACGGTTGAAAATGAAATAACATTAATTATTAGTGTTGAAATCATGGATATATAATAGAATGGATGATCATAGTCAAGGTTTAATGTAATTTTTTCGCTGGGGTGTTATGCAGTACGTTAGACATTGGACCCTGGAACTTACAATTTGTCTTTGGTTTTTGTAAGGTTAATAGATGTCAAAGGAGTATAGGAAAACATTGTAAGTCTTTAAAACTTGATAAGATTTAGCCTCCTTCTTAGTATTAAAAAAATTGTTGGAAATACTAAAGATTTAAACAATTTGCTGATATTTAATATTTTGAATTTTAAACAAATTTCTCAATATCTTGGTCAATTTTTAAGGTACAAAAACGGCAGACCACATTTTGGAATTCTGAAAACAAGGCGCCTTTGATGCTACCAACTCTTTGAAGAAAATGCTATGTTCAAAAGATTTTAGCTACAGTATCTCATTTTTGCTTACTCCAGGGCCCATTATCTACCAAAGTTCATCTCCAATTTGGACCCTAAACTTCACTTCAAACTTTTGTAAAAGTACAAATTATTTTTATAGAATGAACAATAGCCAAAATAACAAATTGTTATAGTAAAACCTAAAATTTGCTATGCAGAGGTTTTAGAAATTTTCTAAAAATATATAGGGTCCACTGAGATAGCCCACAGCTGCGTAGCCCACCGAGGAATGATTTGCCTCTCATACCACAGGACATGCGACTGCTTTGTTGATTTGGACATCTGAGGCTTAGACATTAGAAGCAATTGTTGCTAGAGTAGACATTTGCGGCAGTATGAAGGAGTTAGTAGTTCCTGATCGGAGGTGTTCGCATTTTGACGCTCTAAAGCTAACTGACGCTGCTCTCCACGAGTAGAGGCGGTGAAGGGGGGGGAGAGAACATGAGGAGACACATTTTGGAGCGAATAATGTATTGTGAATGTTGCGCGGTCAACTGCGCTTACACATTGGTAATCGTCTTCGCATTTTTCATTCAATTTGTTACAATATTATTCTTGGCCAGACAAAAATTTAAAAGGTACCGTTGAAAATCGGCCCTACCACTCTGTAAATAAAGGGTCAGTTAAAATTATGTAGAGTCTCTTTGAATTGGATTTTTGAAAAAAAAGGTGAAAATTCTGGAACATGATTGTTTACCTTGAATATAGAGAGCATCCAACGCTTTACTCTGAAGAATCCTAGTCCGGCCTTTAATAAAAAATCCGTGAAAATATAAATTAATAATAATTGTACACTGAGCGGGGGAAGGCAGGCGGCCATGAGCAACCACTATTTCCCCTTCCGTGCCACATATTAGCTTTTTTCTCTTCCAGCAGCCATGAGCCACCATTATTTCCCCTTCCGGGCCACCACATTTGACTCTTCCGGGCAAAACTACTTACTTAAATGGTATATTTAGGGTCTTTAAAGTGTGATTTTAAAAAATCCAGCTGCGTCACGCAAAAAAGCACAACTCAAACCATTTTTCCAATTCTACTTAAGATTAATATATTATGTGTGTTGAATTCTTAAACTGTTTTACAATGAAATTTTTGACCAATTTGACTGAGTATTGCATATAGCTGGTTAATGAGTGATTTTAAGATGGATATAGTTGTTAAAATAAATTCTCTACATCACCCCCCATGACTCCTTCAGGCTGATGATGCAGATACTGAACTAACAGCAGGCGTGCTTATACTTCTGATCTCCCTATTAACTTCTTGAGAAGCTTACTTAGGAAACTTGTGCACGGCTCTGACCGAAGTTTCCGCTATCTCGAGTTGCCTTGCCTTCGATCCATTGATAAGCCCTGTTGTCCCAGTTACCGGATCTGCTCCACCAACATGAAGCTCTACAACACTTCCATGAAGCACCATCTAATGTCCATCATTTATTCCTTTTTGTTAATTTCTAAATCAACCAATTTTAACTCCGCCTTAAATGCAAATATTTCAAAACACTCGTTTTTTTAAAATAAATGTTAGAAATATCCATTTTAGATCTCTTTATTTTATTATAGTGACTTTTCAAGTCAACAATAGTATAATGAGTCAGTATTTGAATAATCATTAGACTTTGTGATATTTCAAGATGCAATACTCAGTCAAATTTGTCAAAAATTTCACTGTAAAACAGTTTAAGAATTCAACACACAAAATATTAATCTTAAGTTAGTTAAAGATCAATAAACTGTACATATTTTAATTAATAAACTGCTTTACAATTTACAAAGAAACTTTTACATCATTTTACGCATTGTAGGCAACGAATGAAGATAATGTTATGGCCGCCTGTCTACAGTCCCTTTAATTAATTTAGCTACCCCAGAGCTCAACGGAACTCCCGCCCTCCACCTAGTCTACAGTCTCTTTTTAATTAATTTAGCTACCTCAGCGCTCAACGGGAACTCCCTCCCTCCACCTAGTCTACAGTCCCTTTAATTAATTTAGCTACCTCAGCGCTCAACGGGAACTCCCTCCCTCCACCTAGTCTACAGTCCCTTTAATTAATTTAGCTACCTCAGCGCTCAGGGGGAACTCCCGCTCTCCACCTAGTCTACAGTCCCTTTTATAAATTAGGCGACCTCAGCGCTCAGCGGGAACTCCCGCCCTGCATCTAGTCTACAATCCCTTTAATTAATTTAGCTACCTCAGCGCTCAGGGGGAACTCCCGCTCTCCACCTAGTCTACAGTCCCTTTAATAAATTAAGCTACCTCTGCGCTCAACGGGAACTCCCGCCCTCCACCTAGTCTACAGTCCCTTTAATAAATTAGGCGACCTCAGCGCTCAGCGGGAACTCCCGCCCTCCATCTAGTCTACAGTCCCTTTAATTAATTTAGCTACCTCAGCGCTCAACGGGAACTCCCGCCCTCCAATCAGAAAACCAGAAGATATATCTACTATACTCGGCTCTCTAGATATAATAATAATAACAGTAATAATATTAATTATATTACTAATAATAATAATGAACCATTATTCCGTGGAAATCTAGGCCGAGCCCCCAGATAATCTGAAATTTTTGTACCATTTAATAATTGGCACGGGTCTAATGTGGAAGAAAACGCTTACTTTAGTAAATCATGCATTGTCATCTTCGCATTAAGACTATCCCACCCTTCAATCCCAGAAATAAAAGTAAGAAAAAATACAGTTTTTAAACAAATATCTTCAGTTAAAGATACTTCAGGCGTAATTTAAAGTGATTTTAGAAGCGACCACAAATCTGAATGCTTTCCAGCATTACTTCACAGTGAGTGATTGAGATATCAAAGTTTTTCTAGCTTAACGTTGATTGTTAATACTTGGTAATGGGATTAATATCAAGGTACCGTTCTGAATCAGACATGCCATTGCCAATCTATAAATAAAAGTTCACTAAAAATTTCACTACTGTAAGCAGTAATCATTAAAACACAGTTTGTGTTGTTAATCGTTTTAGTTCTTTTATTAAAACTTTTAATAAAAATAAAAAGCTTTCAAAATTATATTTTGCTAAAGTTAACATGGCAATCCAAAAATAGAATAACGCTCGCTTTTACACATATGTTTTTTTCTTCTCGATTATTATCATGTATTTTCCATCAAGATCAAAATTTTCATCTTTAAAAAAAAACAAACAAAAAACGATCATCCTCCAATCTGAGGAGAGTTTAGGGATGTCAACGCACTAACCTCCAAAGCAAGCAGCGGAGTCAATAAAACTTTCAAAGTTAAAGTTTACTTTCATAAAACCTTGCAATATTTGATCCTAAAAAACCGATAATTCTACGTTTTTTTCATAAAGTTTATGCCAGGGTCACAATTAGTCCTATTGGAAGAAAAGCACATATTTAAAATTAAGAATTATTAAGACTTGATCTCTTTGCATTATGCAAAATTTTGACTGTGAAGCAAATCTTTAAAAAAGAACCAAAAATGTACCAACTACAAACAGTCTCTCTTAGATAAACTTACTTGGTAGTTTTGATAATACTGAGGACAAGAGATTCAGCTGCTTCAAGTGGAATACTGTTGCTCACTACTATCAATCAAATTATATTTTAATTTTAACTTACTTAGCTTCATGTGTATAGATATATTTGCTTGAAAAATAAACCCCCCCCCCCCTGTTAACAGAAATTATTCTTAGAAAAGTTGAAACTGTTTCATAGAAATAGTAAAAAAAAAATTTTAATTACCAAATTAAAGGAACATATGTTATGAAAAAACGAAACTCATTTAGTAACTAACAATTAAAAAAAGGATAACGGAAAGTTGATTTTAAATAATGCAAATATGTAACAAAAGATGCGTCTTGAAACCGTCAATTCGTCCGATTTTAGACTTTAAAAATGGCGCAAGGCGAATTTATGAATTTTTTTAAAGAAAGTAACCCATAGTTTGCTCATTTTCCTCAATTAGGAAAATACAATTTGAAGAAAAACCAGCTTGTTGGATGTCAATAATAACGCCATCTCAGTTCAACTACCAGACATTGCGGTTCACTCCCTTTAAGAAAACGAGAAACCGAGAAAAACGAGGACTAAAGACAAAAAAGAAGTTGAACTAGAAAATAAGGTGGATAAGAAATTTTAGAGTCAAACTGTTAAACGCATGAAAAATTAAAACTTGAAGGCAAAACATATCTACTTTCTAGTATGAACCAAAAATTTGATAATAATAATAAATAAAAAATAAAAAATAAAATTAAGGGTGAATTGGGATTATAATCCGGTGAGAGAAACTTCATAAACAAATTACTTTAGGCTACAGTTTGCAATACAAGAGTAAAATTAAGGGAAAATATATCTTTTCCCCTTTTACAAAAAATAACTATAAAATTGAGACCCATTGCACAAAGTTTTCTTTTAAAAAATATGCAGAAATGCCCCCCTTTGCTCAAGCTCTACAAAAGACAATCTAACTTTAAACTTTTCTGAAAAAATATTTCTTGATTCCTTTCATATTCTGTAGAATGGTGAATACTTGGACCAAGTCGGGGACATCCAACAGCATCAACATTTTCTATATGTAATTGGAAGTAACTAATGCTTTTTTCTCTTTTTTCTTTGATCAATTTTTGATAAAACTTGCAATGTTTTAGATCTAAAATATCTTTCCATGGTTTTTCAACCTTCAGAAGGAAAACTAAATATAGCTTTCAATGGTATTTCAACTTTGAGAAGGAAAACTAAATATAGCTTTCTATGGTATTTCAACATTAAGAAGGAAAACTAAAATATCTTTCCATGGTATTTCAACATTAAGAAGGAAAACTAAAATATCTTTCCATGGTATTTCAACTTTGAGAAGGAAATATCTTTCCATACTATGTGAAGGAGAACTAAATCTAGCTTTCCATGGTATTTCAACTTTGAGAAGGAAAACTAAACTATCTTTCTATGATATTTCAACTTTCAAAAGTAAAACTAAAATATCTTTCCATGGTATTTTAACCTTCAGAAGAAACTAAAATATCTTTCCATGGTATTTCAACTTGTAGAAGGAAAACTAAAATATAGCTTTCCATGATATTTCAACTTTGAGAAGGAAAACTAAAATATCTTTCCATGATATTTTAACTTTGAGAAGGAAACTAAACAATCTTTTCATGGTATTTCAACTTTCAGAAGGAAAACTAAAATATCTTTCCATGGTATTTCAACTTTGAGAAGGAAACTAAACAATCTTTCCATGGTATTTCAACTTTCAGAAGGAAAACTAAAATATCTTGAAACAAACATAAAATGCGCGTCGATATTAAATGTCGTCTACTTATTCCAAAGTTTCATGGTCCCCACTATATAAACTGACCTGTACTGTAACTCCTCCGTATTTGGTGGAGAGCAAGGATCTCAATCTAACTTTATTATTCAGGTTCTGGAGTATTACTGCAACCTCCTATATAACAATCTAACTTTAGTATTCAGGTTCTGTTGTATCACTGCAACCTCCTATACAACAATCTAAATTTAGCATTCAGGTTCTGAAGTATCAATGCAACCTCCTATATAACAATCTAACTTTAGTATTCAGGTTCTGAAGTATCACTGCAACCTCCTATATGACAATATAACTTTAGTATTTAGGTTCTGAAGTATCAATGCAACTTCCTATATAACAGACGAATATGCTAAAATTCTGAGATATATAAAATTATAGATATACCAGCTTTGAAACCCACCTTTGCCTGTATTGTTTCCCTATAAAAGTCAACCAAATTAACTAGAATTTTAAAACCAAGCTAAAAATATTCCCGTGCAGTGCTTAGGATTCGGATCCACTGGATCCGAAAAATGTTAGTTTTCTGGATCCGGATGCAAGGGGAAAAATATAAACCAAAATATGGAGAAAAAAAATCTTACTCTCAAAACCCAAATTTGAACTGTTTAAAGAAGATTATCAAACTTTCTTGATCTCTGTATGGTTCGTGAAAATAAAAGAAGAAAAGAAAATAATTTGACAGTTCTACTTTGTTAAATAAATTCAGTAAATCTTCAAGAAATATTCATAACCTTGGATCCATTTATTTCCAGTGCGAACCCGGATCCCGAATCTGCATCAGAATTAAATGAATTTTAAGCAATGTTCTCTTGAGTTTTCCACTCAAAATTTGAGTTTTGATGAGTTATGATCGGACATACAAACAGACATAAATAGATTACTATTTTATATATAAAATATTTAAATGGCTACCCACAAAGTATAATGCTTTAATGTTCTCAAATTCATGGTCTTCTTGCACTTGCTTATTTCTTACCAAAATGTCTAATTTAAAGACATTACCTCCAACGGAAACCCAAATCCTTCCTTTTCATAGGGTTCCAGGTCGTAATTTAAGTCTCGTATTTTGTGGGTAACTCAGTACAATGATCAGCAGTTCAGCAACATTTTGAGGTGTTGTTAATTTCACAAAGGACAAGGAGCAAGCAAGCAGTTTACTTCACGGTGAGAAAAACAAGGGGGATTATTTCCTACAAAATGAGAGGGGAAATCTATTTATTTACTATTGTCGCCGCACATATCAATACAATAAATTCGACTTTCAAATAATATTAAGCTTAATACACAAAGTACACATAAACATGGATACACAGAGAAGAAGTCGATTAAAAAGCTTCTCTGCGATTGCTTGTGAACTTGAAATTTGAAAAAAGCTTGTGAACTATTAAAACTATAAGAGTCGTCTTCATTGTATTTATATAATCGCCCACCACTGTACCTGTTTGGAACCAGTTTGAAGAATGCTGTGGACTATATGAGATCCCCATTTCAAGCTCGCCAGCTTTCCGATACGCTCTCTACACATCTTAAAGAAATAAGTATTAAAGGGAGTGTATGCCTAATTTTAAGAAACCCTCCATGCAAAGCATGGCAAAAGCTGATTCATAATGGTCACATTAAAATCTTTGTCACATCAAATATGAATTGGATAGGTATGTTTACAATTTTAATAACTGCTCATTTTCAATCCTGGTTCTTAATAAAAGTGACTTGCACATTTCAAATAAAGAAAAACAAATAGAAATTATCACAACTTAACAATTTAGAACCTGGTTAAACGAAAATATCTTCCACATTATTGATCAAATAAAGGTTCCAAAGAAATCGTTGGAAATCAGGGCATTGCCATCTTAGAATTGAGGATCACTTTAAATCCTTTCATTTTGGGAAAGAAACTTTAATAATTAGACATCCTATAGAATCTTTTATATTTTTTACATTAATTTTACTTTTTAACTGTGACAGGAGTTGGTTCAGGATGATGTAAGATTGATTAAAAAAAATGTAATATTAATAAAAATCCTGTTTGGGTTCCACTTACAGATTAATATGCAAATACAAATATAAATTGGGACAGTTAGAGAAATTATCACAACAGTAAACGTATTAAGCATAAAAATCTTTTTATATGTCATTTCGTACATTATAAGATCAGAAAAACGTATACTAATATGTTAATTATGTCATCAATGATTGGTGACTTTGACTTCTTTCTCATTGCATCTTTCGAAGTTTCAGACTCAATCCCTAACCTCGACAACATTTGCTCCAAATAATATTGCTGATGCAGCAAATAATGTTGAGGTAAGGGAATGCTAAATTTATTTAGATCTGTGGGTTTGGTTTTTAATCACATCATCTTTCTGAGGTCAAAACACTAGCGGGTTAAGGAGGAAGAATCCCTCCCTTACAAGAATCATTTAAAAAAATGTTGTTCCAAGAAAGAAGCTGTTCTAGAATTCTGGCACATTTTATGCCAGTAAACTGTAAGCTGTAATTCTCATGGAAAACCAGCAAAAAAACTGTTCCAAAAGATTACACCGATCTTTGAAAAATTTCCACCAATATGTATACCGAACCCAGTTCTAAAGAAAGGATATTATCACGATAAAAAAATCTGAAATATTTTCTTTTTCATATTTTTTTCTTCTTCCTGATCTTGCTGAAGTACTTAATCACTGATGGATGGAAGTGATGGATGGATGGAAGTGATGAGCTGAAGTGAAACTGTTAGTGGCTAATTCTGAAGGGAGATTTAAGGTATTACCCACAAAGGATGAGACTTTATAGATAACTGTACAAAAATTAGTTGGCCTTCTCTTTAAAATCCATGGTTCCCAGCAGCTGTAATCTTGTTTCTTTCTTAGCAATATTATCTAATGTATCAACAAAAGACTATTTACAAGACTGAAAAAGATTTCTGGTTTTGCATTGTTAGTTTGAAAGAGGTTAAGGTTCTGTAGGACAAGCTGACAAAATTTGAGATCATTAGCAAAGACCTGCAAAACATATCTGATGTATCATATCGTGGAAGCAATGGCAGCAGTAGACTTGATCTGCAAGTCTCATTGTTGGAATCCCTCTTCCAACAAAACCTTTTATGAGCCAGAACCTGTAAAGCATAGCAAAGTAGGATATACCAGCAGTAGACTTAATCTGCAAGTCTTACTGCTGGTATATCTCCTCCAGCAATACCTTTTCTAAGCAAGTACCTGCAGAGCCTAGCTGATGGTATCATATTGCAAAAGCAAGGTATAATAGTCGCAGACTTGATCTGCAAGTCTGATAGTTAGAATACCAAACCTCCACAAGATATGAGAAGATATGAGTGGTGATAAGCTGTAGTTAAACCTATTTGTCATTGTTGCAGACTGATTCTGCAGAGAGCTAGGATAAGCTGGCAAAATCTGAAATTTATAACTAACCTTCAGAGCATATCTGATAAATTAAGATATCTGCTAAACATCATGTTAAGATTTTTAAGACCCACCCTGGATGAAGTGAGGTCCCCCCTGAAGGAGAAGAGACCCACCCTGGATGATGTGAGGTCCCCCCTGAAGGAGCTGAGACCCACCCTGGATGAAGTGAGATCCCCCCTGAAGGAGCAGAGACCGACCCTGGATGAAGTGAGGTCCCCCACCCTAGATGATGTGAGGTCCCCCCTGAAGGAGCAGATACCCACCCTGGATGATGTGAGGTCCCCCCTGAAGGAGCAGAGACCCACCCTGGATGAAGTGAGGTCCCCCCTGAAGGAGAAGAGAACCACCCTGAAGGGTGTTAGATCCTCATTAAAGGAGTAGAGGTGCCCATGGAAGGCAGGAGGATGCCGTAAAGCTAAGAAGGAATGTCCCCCTAAGATAGGAACCATATTGAAATATTTGGAACTTATTCCCCAGCTGGATGGAGGTTGTACACCAGACATACATGTTCCTACTCCTGGTACACTCGGTCCAGATTGAATCTGAATTTAAGCTTGATAATGAAGAACAAGAATCTGATCCTAAACCACCCCTTCCTCCAACTAATTTAAGCAATCCAAATATTCGGGTATTGTCAGGATAAAAACTGTTTATTATATTAAATATATTTATTCATCCCCTCCTACTCTTCTCCAGACTGATCAAGAATAGAAGCGTTGAAGAGCTAAAATTTGTAACTTTTGTAAACTTATTCTGCAGGGAAAGCTATCTGAGATAATCAACAAAAGAAGAAATGCATAGCTTCCTCTAGTTGAATGATCTGCAAGACATCTGTAGGAATCCCTCCTCAAACATTACTTTACTTTAACAATAACTAACTTCAATAAATGAGATTATGGCTGATATAATATTTTATATTTTCAATATAAAAGTCAATTTTTGCCAGGTATGTATGAAATTCAAACAGATGGATTAAAAAAGAAATGATGGAATTATTACAGGAATAATGAATGAGGAATAACTTGAAATAAGACTTACTAGAGTAAAATTTAAATTAAGTCAGGGATTTTAAGGTCAAATAGTTAATCCAAAGGGGCATCCTTACAGCAAGAAGATGTGCAAATATTTAATTGCAAGAAATAGTTATAACAAAGAAATTATACTTTAGATGCGATAGGATAGGACAGGCCAGGTAAGAAAGATTACCTCAAAAATCCGCTGTTTGTCCCTCTCTGTTCCATTCTCATACAGTTCTACTACAAGGATGTATGCCTAAATATGCATTTAAGGGAGTTAGTTTCCTTATTCTTTCTTGGTCAGCAGTGATTAAAATCCATTTCATTTTGATGTGGATTCAGGTCATAATGATTTTTTTCCTTATTTTCCATTTTCCTTGTGCAAAATTTGATTAACCATTCAGAGTTTATGAATGGTTTTGTACTTCCAAAATTACCAAGATGTTAAGAATTTGGTAAGATTTCATTTTATTTAATGAAACAAAAATTTTCTAATTGTGAATGCAATCTTTAATATCTCCTATGATTTTTTAAAGCACAAAAAAGGCAGACCACATTTTGGAAATGACAGGAAACGGTTATTTTTGATTATCATTTTATCAATCATATTTGTAAAATTAGATTGAAAACTGAATGCCTTAAACTATTTCAAAGATCTAAAAAAATTGTAAAGTCATCTAATTAATTGTAAAATTCTGGTTCTTCCTGATTATGACTGTATTAGGAACACCAGTTTTGGACACCAAATAGACTGTAAATTTTGTGAACATTTGGAAACAATTGTACTAAAATCACAAGCAAATGCTTTTAAGGTAATATGTTTCATTATTCATTATATTAAACATTTCCGGTTTAAAGGGACTCCACAAAAATGTTGTAAGTCTAACATATGGCATATGGAAAATCAAACCATCAATGGTCATTTTCAATTCTTTTTTATTACTTCAGGGGTTTCTCTTCAGTAAGAGTAACATTTTTGCAAATTAAAATAAGAAGCAAATTTGTTATGAAAATGATGTTTCCATTTGTTAATCTAAGCAGATTAATGTCAAGTCACCTGAAAACAGAAAAAAATGTTTTTAAGAACAGACAAACTACTGCCCAGTTCTAGTTTCATTAAGCTCTCTTCTTTAAATATTTACTTAAACTCTACGATAAATTGTTCAGTGTTTTTTCTTTCGTCATCTTCCTTTGATGAAAATAACTACCGTTGAACTATGAAACTTGCCTTTGGGATAGAAAGTTTACCTTTTTGCTCGAAAACTTACATCATATGGTGTTGGTTTTGAGATAGAAAACTTTCTGTTCAGAATGAAAACTTTCAAGTAAGATAGGAAACATACTGTTGAGGTTAACCATATAGAAAGCGTACAATTAAGGTAGATAATCTGCTGTTGAGCCAGAAAGCTTACTGTTGAGGAAGAAAACTTGGTGTTAAGCTAGAAAACTTGTTATTGAGCTAGAAAATGGAAAAGTTACCATTGAGCTTGAAAACTTACCGTTGCGCTAGAAACAATGCTTGGATCTCTTTCTATTCTGCACAACAGAGAGTCCTTTAATCCACTCTTCAGTTCATCTGAGCAGCAGTAAACCATCTACAAAGGAACTAATTAACCCATTTCAGACGCTTAATTTTCTAAATTTTAAATTTTTGCAACCAGATGTTCTAGATAATTTCAAATTAAAATTTGCTTTTTCATATAGTCAGAAAGATAAATCTGAGGTTCATCAGGTTGAAAAATTTGAGGTAAGTTCCTTAGATAGTGACAACATTTTAAGATTATGGAGGATAATCTATTACACAAAAACAGGATAAAATTCTTTACAATTTTAAAACCCATTTTTTTTTATCAAAATAGAAATCAAGAGGCAAACTAATAAGGTACCTTCAGTATGATTCTCATGGCATCGGGATCCTCAATGAAATCCCTTAGATGCTTCTGTACGCTGTGCACAAACTTGGTACAAATTATTCTTCTTATAAAATCATTTCACATTAAAATCAAAACCATATAAACTCAAACAAATTTACCAGATTAAATCTACCATAATCAAACACTGATCAGATTAAATCAATTCAATTCATATCTATTCAATTATCAATTTAGATCAAATCAAATTATAAAAGACTTTCCAATGAGAGTCAGGAGAATTAAGAAATTGTTTACTTAACATGAAATATAAAGACAGTTTTTAAAACAGTCATATCACAGGGGTGTTTATTTCCTGAAAATCCATTCCCTCCCTTCTTTTAAAAATCATTTTTATCCCCTAAAAGATAGGAATATTTGCGCGAAAGTTCTTCATAAATCAATTCCAGGGAAGGGGATGGAAAGGTTGAGAGAACTAGACCCCTAGGAAGTATCAATTTTGTTTGTAGCAATAACTTCTCTAAAATCCATAACAAAAACCTTAACAAATTTTACCTTAGGTTCTTCAAGAGGGCAAAGGGAGACCATCTTTTCTATCAATCTTTTAAAAAAAACATGTTTAAAAACGGACTGTTAATGTAATTTCTCTAGACCCTACATTTAAAGAGTTACATACCTTTAATTCCTTGTTTATGCAAAAATTAAGACAATGTGTTTTTTTATTTCTAATTTGTTTCAAGAATTCATGCTGGCTTGATTGATTATTTTTTTAACAAAATATATCATTGCTTTTTAGTTATCAAAACACTAATTTAACAGGAAAATCTGATGGAAAAGTAAAATCAAAACATGTACTTGATTGATTGAACTACCTTAGCATAGTATGGTTTGTATACTCATTAGTGGAGAAGTGGACAATATCCTGAATCACCTGGTCTAGTATCAGACTTATCTAAAAATATATCCAGCATATTTGTAAAGGGACTGTTAAGAAATTTTGAAAAGGGGTCTTAAATGGGCAATCAATTATTTTTTAGTCTGATCTATATCTATAAAAAGCCCTGTTATTCAATTTCAAATTCACCAATCATATCTGAATTAAATTTAATTATTTATTGCTTATATCAAATATATCTAAAAATAATCATGAATTCCACGTAAATACAACAAATACAAGATTGTGAAATTGAGAGCAAAAATACAGAATAACTTTGAAATAAAATTGAAAAAAGTAAGAAAATCAAGAAATTTTGAGTTTAATCTCAGAAACACTATAAATACCTGATAGCCTTCCAAGTGGGGTAGTATCGCTTGCATAACTCTAGAATAAATAAACATACTTACTACAAAATCTCAAACTTACAGATTTTACAAAGATACTTTCATAAGGATGTTTTAATGCCGCATTTCAAATAATCTTGAAGATTACTTTATGGTTTGATTTTTTTTTACATCATGGTGTATTGTGGCACAAAGTTACCATCGTGATGGCCTAGACCTGACACTGAGGGTTACTAAAACTTTGATCATACAATTAGTGCCCAAATACTCATGCCGTGCCAGGTTTGGAACATGAGCATGGTTTGGAACTTTCTTCCCCTGGAGTAGGTACTGACAAAACATGTTTTGGGTCCGGTCAGAATATTCAGTGTGACAAGTTGTCAGAAGTGCAAATTGTAATGTCTCTACCTGGTCCCAAACTTGCTACTGCAGAGAGTCTTAACATCTTTTAGAAGGGTCCAAGCCATCTCAGATTTTTCATGAGGAAGAGCATATTCTAAAATTTGTTATAAAATTTAACATGTGAACATGATTTTTCTATGATTTCAAGGTGATGTAACATTTCCTAAAGGCAATTACAGTTAATTACTGGAGAACATTCTATTTCTGAAAATTACAGTTAAGAAAAAGGCATTTTCCCAATTGCAACTTTCAAAACATTAAATTTCTCAGTAGCACCTTTCCAAATGTACTAAATTGCCAAAGCAATGTGCAGTGCTTTAGTATATCTTACTTACCTGTAGTGCAGTACGAAACTCGATAGGAATTTTTTTTTTGAGTCTTAAAGATTAAATAACAAAGATAATAAACTCTTTGAACTCAAATGAAAAAACTAAAATCATTCAATGTTTTAAAATGGTGAACAATGTTAATAAATCTTACCAAAAATCTTCTGTATCACAAAATTTCCAAAACTGTTACAGGACAACCTGTTAAGTATATGCATGGCATATAAAATACAATACATTCTAAAATTATAATGCCAGAATGAGAATGAGATAATTCATCATGATCTCCCCCTTAAGCAGAAACTGTCAATTAACTATTGGCGAATGTTCAGGGGAAAATTTAAGATTCAGAAAATTTCTTGTTAACAACAAATGGAACCAGATTCAGATCAAAAATCAAGAGTTCAGAGAAGATTTTCAAGGCTGTTTTTCCCGAGAATTTATTTGGCCGGAAACAAGCTCAATTTTAGATACTTCTGAAAAATAATTTACTTCTTTTCCGAAATATTTATTTATTTTGTAAATATAATGGCAAACCAGATTTTGAAATGTGTTTTATTGAAAAGGGACTTCTACTTTACCAAAGAATATCTTAACCCATTAGTGACGAGACGGTCAATTAGGTTTTTTCTTTTTTAGCGCCTTCATTTTTAAACCAAATGTCGTCCTGTTTCATTCCCACCCTTCCTTTAGATATGCCGAATATCGCCTATAGGTTGCAGGCATGTTACAGGTCAATAGGGTGATAGAGCAGTTAGCAACAATTGGGAGAGATTCAAATTCAGGAACCTCCAACTCCAACAGATATAAATCTGTGAAAAATTGTTTTCAAAATTTTTTTTATTTCTATGAAAAGTTTGCATTTGATGTTAGTTCTATGCTCATGTTACGTTCAGTGTAATAAGTTTATGTTTACTGCTCTTTTTAGCCTTTTTTTCTGCCCGGTCAAAATTGCCCGTCTCGGACCAGGTCAATTTTGACCGCCCGGTCGAAATGCCGGTTTTTAGGCACACACTGTGCAGTATACACCCTACCCCAATATAGTATATTTACAAACACACCCTCCTGTATAGTACATCGGTCAAAATTGACCGCCCAGTCAATTTTGTCCGAGCCGAGACAGACAAAATTGACCGTTTCCTGCTGCAGATTGACCGTTGCCGAGACGGACAAAATGTGCCGGGTTTTGTATCTCCACAACCCTTCATTAAAAAAAATTGAAACTTTAGATCTACTCTATGGACAGTATGAGTTAACTCTGTGAATTTCAGCAAGATCAGAAAGAATTATTTGTCTCGTCACTAATGGGTTAAAACAATTTCGTAAAAAATTTTAAATTTTCAGAAAAAGTAGAAGCACACAATTTCAGAAAAATTTGCAATTTTTTCACAAAACCTTTAAAAAGCAAGAGATTATTTTATTTAATTGTCCCAAGGGACGTTAAGTAACTTAACCTGCAGCTATTAGGGAAATCATGGGTAGAGATGTTAACGTTTTCATTCTTTTAAAAAACGATCGTTTCGTTATAAAAACTACGACCAAAAATCGAAAACGAAATGATCGTTTTTAAAAACTATTGTTTTTTAAAAGTTCATTTTTTAAAAATGGTCGTTTTTAAAACGGTCGTTTTTAAAACGGTCGTTTTTAAAACGATCGTTTTTAAAAATGATTGCTTTTAAAAATGATCGTTTTTATAAAATTGTCGAACGGTCGTTGTTAACAATCGTTAACGACGAACGTACGTTAACGATCGTTAACAACAACCCTTCGTCAACGGTCTTTAACGAAGAGAGGAAACCGACCTGAAGGGCATCTGTACTAATCATTGAGTTGTTTTTAAGAAAATATCAAGAAGTTTTAGCCCCCCCCCCCACTACTGTTAAACTTCATGTAAGATGACATTCAATAATGTTGCATGTATTTTTTTCATTAACTAGTTTTTCCAAAAACGACCATTTTTATAAAGTTCGTTTCGTTAACGATCGTTAACTAAAACCCTTCATTAACAATCGTTAATGACAACCCATCATTTACAATCGTTAACATAATTGTCAATAAATTTTTTTTAAACGATCGTAATTTAAAAACAGTCGTATAAAAACGGTCGCAAATCGTTTTTATAAAAATCGGTTTCTAAAAGCTCAAAACGAGTGGGTCGTTTTTAAAAATGATTGTTTTTTTTTCTGAAAACACAATCATTTTTGAAAACATTGAAAAAAGAAACAAAAAAACGATCGTTTAACAATCTTTTTCAAAAACGATTAACAACCCTAATCATGGGTCAGTAACGATGGTAAAATAAGTTTGTCATGCACAGTTTCCTGAGAATATGACCAATTGTGAAACGCAAAACGGAACTAACATCTGAAGGTGAAGCCAAATCAATGTTGTTTTGAATAAACTGAGAACCTTAAATAGAGTATACTAAATTATCATTTCTGATATACTTTTAAATCTTTGTCTGAACAAAAGAATATCTAAAAAAAACATCCGCAGCAAGTAACATTAGTGTGTATCGATTGAATTTGTTTTACAGATAAAAAATTAATTTTTTAGCTTAAAAAAAAACTTCATTTGAGTATTTACCGTCTCGGGTGCAAGCAGCATTACATAATGAAGAGGAGTCCATTTCTTCCTAAAAATGTTTCTGTTTTTGCTGCAGGGGTAAATATTATTAACTGTATATGATACGTTTCACCCAATTTACTGTTTGCAGGTGTTCATAATAATTTTATAGGATTGTCCACATCCATGGGATAACATATACAGACTAAAATGAAGAAGATTTCTACCTGTTTTGAGCAAAACTCTTCCTTAAACTTCTCAAGGAAATTAAAAGGTGGTTCTTCCACAGAAGGCCCTAGTCATTAAATGCATAGAAAGACAGATTTGATGTAGCAATCCAATAGTATGAGTGGCCAGTGATGTTCTGCTGTGATTCATGTATCCACAACAAAAAATAAACCAAAACACTTTCTTGAAAGGGGCTGTAAACATAGTTACAAGTAATGTTCCATAGATAGATTGGCATGTCTTATTCACGACAGTACCCTGAAAAGCTTTGTGTGGTCAAGTATGAAATAGAAATCCATATTTTTTTTTTTTACTTCTTTCATTTGCATGTTCTGTACAAAGTGACGTGCTCATTTCATACTTTCAGATACAATGGAGAAATTATCAGAATTACAAACTTCAAGCCAAAAAAGGCAAATTATTTATAAAATTGTTGATCCATTTTTAAGGTATTTTTAAATGGAGGGTCACTTGAAATTACAACAACTGTCACTTTTAATATATATTGAAAGAAGAGAAAAAATTTCTTTTCACCTGAACAAAATCCAGCACCGACTTCTTTCTGGACAACCCTAAATATTACAGAACATGCTTGGTCCACATAAATCTTCTGGATCTGGCCAATGACTTGTATCTTTTATATTTTGCTGACTTCTTGAATCAAACACAAGTTTTCCTGCTTTTTTTGGAAATTGAAATCCATTTAACTGTACATTTTTTGGATTTCAATTAAGGGGGCTAAAAAGTTTAGGATGCTCCAATTAATCCTAAGAAAGGGTATTATATCATATCTGTTCGGTTCCATAGTAGTAAAGCTATCGTGTAAGAATTCCCATTATTACACGGTTCAGGAGGAAAATTTTAATATTGTTCGCTTCCTTGCGTTTAAGAATGCTTATTCTTACACTGAAGGTGTAGAATTTTCATTCTTTAACGCTCAGACCGTGTAAGAATGGAAATTATTACACGGTCAGAGCGTGAAAGAATGTATATTCTTACACGCTCCAAGCATTAAAGANAAACTCGATGAAATAATCTTGATGCATTCTTTAACTCAGGCCTGCGGCCTTCGTTAAAGAATGCATCAAGATTATTTCATCTCGTTTAAGAATTTCCATTATTACATTTTTTTCCTCATAAGATTATCATATTCCATTTTAAACCTCTAAAATGATATGTGCAAAATGGAACGATATTCCTAAGCACTGCAATAAAAGATGCTATATTTTTGGTTACCTAGCATCACTTGATTCAGATCTTCTCGCAGTCTGGAAAAAATGTATGTAGGTAAAAAATTTGCAAAAAGATAGGGATCAAATCAAATCTTTTTTAGGGATTGCTTGAGGCTCCATCAAATAGCCTTGATTTCATCCTGGTTCAGATTTGAATTGTGACATTTGCGATAAATTATTCCATTGTTTTTCCAAGATAAACTTTATGATCCCAGCAAAACAACAAAGTTTTAACCCATGCACCATTTCAAATCCCTTTCATATAAGACTCAGAGGAGAAAATTCAAGAAATGTTGCAACATATTTTAAGCACTAAGTTTAATTGACAACATCTGGCTTGCATTTTTTTTTTGCCAAAAAAATGTTGACAAATATTACTTTAAATATTTGGAGATTTTGAACTATGTCACTTTTTTTAAATCATTGAAGATGAGTGTATGCTATGGAATTTCTTACAATTGGAGCTTCATGGGCTAAATTTTACGAGGTTTTTAGAAAATTTGCCTTTGCAAAGACAATTTTTACAATAAGAAAGGCAACTTTTCCTATGAGAAAAATGACTATAGTATAATATATTCAGAAAATGTACTTGAATTATGGTTAAAAGGCTCATACTCCAACAAATAAATTCCAAAAAAAACCTAACTGGCAACAAACTAGTCTTAGGGTCACCAAAAAAACTGACCCAAACTGGCTCAATTGTTTTTACCTATATTGAATCCAAAACAATTTTATTTCTAGTTTCTAATAAGCAGCGCTATTAGGGGATGGCGTCAAGTATCTCTGGAGCTTTTGAAAACTAAAAATTAAACACAAATGTATGCACAAAGTATCTAATCCTAATAACCCCCCCCCCCCCTTACTTGCTTATACCCAACTGCACTATTTTAGAGCAAAAAACATTTTTTTTAAAATCTTTAAAAAATAATTAGGGAAATGACTGAAATTTTTGGTTTTATCATTAAACTTTGAACTTTAATCAAAGAACTATTTACCGGCACTAAGGCAAGAACAGGGTTAGTGGTCAGCCCCAAGCTCATTGCCTGAAATAACAAAAATAATCAGTGATTAGGATGCTTTAATATTGAACAAAGCAAAATTGTCAAATTATTTTACTTCTTTTTTTCACTTATTTTTAAGTTGAAGCTTGATAACCTATTAAAGGGAGTGTTTGCGAAAAATGAATGGGCCGGTGTAGACTTAAGGCAAAAAAAGCGCTTTTAATCTCTTCTAATCTTACTTTTATCTTTTGCGTCTATAAGAAGAAAATTGTTAAAAACGATCAAGACTGAAAAGCGTAGTGTCCATACAATTCAGAAAGTTGCAACATACGAGTGGGATCATAATTCATTAATTTAATTCCAAACAAATCATTCCGATATTACAAGCTATAATCATCAATAATTTTTCCACGCATTTGTAACAAGTTGATATTTCATAATATTTTTATCTTTTATGATCCGAGAGTTACTATTGAAAACATATATTCCTGTTTCGAGGATTTTTGATAATGAAGACGAAATTATCAAATTTTCCAGGAATGTTCAAAAATCCAGCGCAAGTTGTGAAAACAAGTTTTAGCTAAATATTATTTTTTTTTTATCAAAAATGTCTGATTCACCATACAAAATTTTGCTTGACGAATTATGGAAGATGGGTTTTCTAGATTTAAATGACTTTAATTCACGATTAGGCATTTGTCACTTATGTAGAGAACCCAGAATTGAAATTTATTAGCTTTCAAAGTTAAAAACTAAGATTCATACTTGATCAGTCAAAGTTATAAAGCATCATGTTGTGGATCAAGGGTATATGGGTCACTTCAAATTAAGTTAACAGAGGCCGAATTTAAAGAATTTAAGCCACGGCCCAAATAAAGTTAGTTCCACTTAAAATTGTATGCAATTTTTCAAGATTTAAGCCGGCGCTCCATTGAAACCGGTTTTTGGCAGATTTAAGCCACAGCTCAAATTCATTAAATTCTGACACTGACCCTTTAAAATGAAGCAAGCCTAAATAACGGACGTTGTTAAAAAACTAATAGTTTTATTAGCATAGATCAAATTAACTAAATGAAATTTTCTTTCCAAACATATCTCATTTTCAAAACTCTCTAAAATCAAAACTAAATAAAAGATCGAGACATAATTCTATTTTAAAGTGTTTTCACTATAATAACATATGTGAGGAAGCATTTAATTGGGTCACTTAAACTTTTTTCTGTCTCCATTTCAACTTTGCTTATTTTAAGATGAAAAGGAAAATAAGCTGAACTTTTTTTTTATAAAGAAGACAGTTTTTGCCAAGCACTTGGGCTCTCCTATAATCTGCAATTTTTTGGCAACTTTGCAAACAACCAAAGATCTTTTGCAAAATGTTCTCATGTGGATAGATTTTTGAATAATGGTTTTATTAGATAATAAGGATTGGGATTAAGATAAATATTGAAAGGTCAAAGATTACAAGGTAGTTGGGATGGAAAAATGACTAGAAAGTGGCTCAAACGAGACATTAATGTGGCTGGTCTTTCTCCATTTAGTGTAGAGAAAATTGTACAGCAAATACCTGCTTCATTAGTAGATACTGCTTCTCTACTAATCTGGAGAGAATTGGTTCATATTCAAGCATCTTCTCCTTTAATATTTATTGCCATTACTGTTTTAATAACCAAGTTACCCCCCCCCACCCTCCTCCCCAAGAGTGGTCACCACCTCCTGACCCTCCCATGTCTTTAAATATGGTCATTATGTATTTTGTACATTTGTCATATGTATCAATTCAGTAAGCTTTTTTTATGATTTTAATTAACATTGCTTTGGTAAATAGTTGGAAAAAAGGGGAGGGTCAGTTTAGACCAATTTTAATACACTAGGAATCCTTTATCATTTTTAAGAAATCTGAATGAAATTTTACATATTTTTCCACCCTTTTCCTCGTTTTTTCATGTTAAATGTTTTTTAAGACTTTTTCACAAAAATGTCTGATTCAAATGCCAGCAATTTACCCCCGTTTCAATCATATTTTCCCACTTAATATTTGCACATTTTCTAGATTCATGAATTCATTTTTCATCAAAACTAAAAAATCTTTTATACACAGGCCTTAATCAGGTGAGTCAAGAATCTTATTACTAAAATCAGAGCGAAGTTTAAGTTTTTTTAATTTGTGATGCAACACATATTATCCAGGCAAGAGATTAAGTCTATTAAGTTGATGCTGTGGCTTTAGCTTCTTAGTCGCTGTGTCCTTCTGACAATAGGGTTGAGCATCATGGAGGAATCCCAAACCTTGAGAACGTTTGTTAAATATGTTAGACATTGCTGATGTAGCAAATATTTTCCAGGTTAAAGAATTCATCCAGTTGACTTGATCTGCTGCTTTGGCTTCATATTCACTATGTCGTTCTGAGTTCTCAGCACAAAGGGGTTGAGGAGCAAGGAAGAATCAATGAACTGGAGAACATCTGTTACATATTTTATACATTAATGATGTAGCAAACATTCACTGGGTATGGGATTCCTCCAGTTAAATTGATCTGCTGCTTCGGCTTCATTTTCACTTTGTCATTCTGAGTTCCAGACACAAAAGGGTTGAAGAGCGAGAAGAAATCCCTAACCCTGAGAGCATCTGCTACATATTTTAAACACTAATGACGTAGCAAACATTCTCCGGGTAGGGGATTTCTCCAGTTAACTTGATCTGCTGCTTTGGCTTCATATTCACTATGTCATTCTGGGTTCCAGATGCAAAAGGGTTGAGGAGCCAGGAGAAATCCCTAACCCTGAAAACATTTGCTACACATTTTAATCACTAAATATGTAGCAAACATTTTCCAGGTAAGGAATTCCTCCAGTTAACTTGATCTGTTGCTTCGGCTTCATTTTCACTATGTCATTATGAGTTCCAGATGCAAAAGGGTTGAGGAGCGAGGAGAAATCCCTAACCCTGAAAATATTTGCTACATATTTTAAACACTAATGATGTAGCAAACATTCTCCAGGTAAAAATGCTTAATTTATAAATTGAAAGCATATTTATACTCAACTAGTTAAAAATCAAAACAAAATTATGTAATAACCTGAAAATATGTTTAATTCACAAACGATGATTATGTAAAAAAGATAACACCACCCTGTATGTTTGCAACATATAGAAGGTTAAACTTAAACTGTTTAAAAGTAATAAATATTTAAATATTAAAACTGTTGTTGATCACCTTGTGTACACTATTTCGAATATTCTGATATACTTTTCTCTCTTCTCTCTCAGACAGCCTAAACAAGCTAATTGAAAGAACTAACAGGGTCTTAACAATTTAAAGCGACTCTCCATTTTAAGTGACAGTTGTTGTTACGTGTTATATGCCTCTACATTTAAAGAGAGCAATGCCTAATTCACAATAGTACCTTATAAACCTATATTTAATCGATAATATGGAAGATATTAGTTTTCAAGTTGGAAAATTGTTTAATTCTCACAGTTTCTTACATTGTTTCTGTAGCAAGCAACCTGCAAATCAATTTAATATGTTTAATTTTCACAATTGCTTTCACAAATTCTTGAGTACCTGCAATTGATCAGAATTAATTTGTTTTAAGAAGAACAGGGATAACACAATCCTGTATCAAGTTAAATTGGCACCACTGTGTATCTGACATGCACCTCTATAATTGGAGGTATACTTTAAATTACTTCTCCAGTACCTTGTTAGGGTTACACACCATACAAAATGTTTACAATTTTTACATCCTATGGATCTGGATATGTGTTTTCTCTTAAAACTCTATAACTTACAGAATTATTTGATTTATTTACTCTGGATTAAGTGGCAGCAAAAGAAAAGGGAAATAGGAAGCGTCTCTGAAAAAAGATTTTTTAAATTCATGGCGCTTGTCCAAGTTTTAGACTGAACCTAATCTTCATCATTGTAATATCAATCTAAGGTTATATAACAGGAGTGCACAGTGCACACTTGCAACCAGTGTTACAACATATTTTCAATTCTCATTTTTTCTTTTTACACCTGAAAAGTTATTCTAGCTGAACAATTATTTTTTTCTGTATGTTAAACTTCAACCACAATCATATTATTTGAGGGTTAGGTCCGGCTTCCTCAGGCGCTGAAGGAGCCCAGTTTTTTTTTATAGGAGTTGGAGTGCTGCATCCAGGGAAGTTTAAAACCCATGAAGAATTTACGAAGGAAAACAGATGTGTTAAATAAGATGTTTTAAAGAAGAGTTTCTGGAATAAGATTTGGGTTTTGGGTTCTGACATGGCTTACCAATCTAGGATCACTCTCTGGTGAGGATTAGTACTAGAGAATGGATGCAGGATAGGACGATCTTTATCTAAATACAGTGAGTTTATAAGATAAAAAATTGGAAAAAATTTGATGGACTATTAATGTAAATTCATGTGTCACTTTATTTAAAAAGGACAATGCCTGTTTTACACTGGTATCCTTACACCCTTTAATAGATCAATAATTCAAAAGATATCAACGGTTTTCAAGTGCAACCCCCCCCCCCCCCCTTGTAAATGTTAATTTATTTCCCCCTTCAACACATTTCTTTACTTAATGGATGGAGCAAGATTTAAAACAAAATATATACCCCTGTCTGAGCACTGTATTCTTAATTGTTGACCTTCTTTCTCATAAAAGCTTTGTTCTTCAATATTGGCATTCACACCAATCCTTCGCTTAACTCCCTATGATCATTTTTTTTAAAGTGAGAAGTAGTAAATCTAGGAACAGAATAAAATAAAATTAGATCTCCACAGGTATTACCTAGTTTTACTACTTCACACTATTAATAAAGTCTTGCCTCCTCAGGACAATAGAATAAATGTTTTGTTATGTTAAAGGGAGTGTTCGCGAAAAAATGAAAGGGGGTATAGGCTTAGTGAGATAAAAAAGCGCTTTTGATCGCTACTAATCTTACTTCTATCTGTTGCGACTATAAGGAGAAAATTGTTAAACTGAATAACTTAGCGGCCATACAAATTGAGAAAATTGCAACATACTACTTAGACCGTAAAAATAAATTTAATTTCAAACAAATCATTCAGATATTACAACCTATAGTCATCGATTATCTTTCGCCACATTTGTATACAGTTTATACTTTATAATATTTTTTAATTTATTTGTTTATTTCTCTTGTCGCTTGTGCAACTATCTAAGAATGCCGCACACCACTCAAAATTTTCCAAATCCGTTGAAAACGTTTTCTAAAAAAAAATATTATAAAATATAAACTATATACAAATGTGGCGAAAGATAATCGATGACTATAGGTTGTAATATATAAAGGATTTGTTAAAAATTAATTGATTTTTTACGGTCTAAGTCGTAAGTTGCAATTTTCTCAATTTGTATGGCCGATAAGTTATTAAGCCTATACCCCCTTTCATTTTTCGCGAACACTCCCTTTAAGTAAGAGGATGATTCAGGCTAAATTAATATTTACCAGGACTTATTTAAGGGATTAACACTTTAACAAAATATACTATAAAGAGGGACCAAAAAAACAATTGAATAAAAAGACGAAAAATAATCAATCTATATGTATACTTAAAAAACAAATAGTTAAACCACTGAAAAATAATTTTGTTTTGAATCTTCATGACGGAAAAAAATATCAAGAACTGAAGAGGGTCCACCCAGACTGATATATATTTTCAAAAAGTGTGAAACTAACATATTTTTTTACTCTGTGAGGTTTGGAGCATCTTTAACACCGAATTCTAAATCTTATTAAACTAGATGGGTATTTGAATAGTGAAAACTGCTATATTGAAAGATGATTGGCCTATTTAGAATACATGATAACTAGAAGCTTAAAGTCTTCCTATTTCAAAGTTGAAGGGTCTCACTGAGAATAATAGGTTTATTTCTAGAAAAAGAATCATTTTTAAGAGGATGAAATATTCAGACTTGAGCCAAAAATAAATTAGTTCGTAAAATTAAAAACATTCATTATCAAACTCTAAAATGTCATTTTATCTAGTTTTTCAATCTATATTAAAGACAAATTTCTCGTCTTGTTTGAGTGACTTGCAGATTTTTGCATCAGGGTAAAGAAGAAAATTGTTAGAAATAAAGGTTTAAAAAAAGACGATATCTAATCTATCTATTATCACTCCCCAATAACACAAGTGTTACCAGGTAACCACCCCTCCCTACAACCCAGACAAAAACCGACCATGCTGTTTTAAAAAAGACCTGAGCAGGTTTCAGAACTGAGGACTGCTTCCACTCTCTCCAGTTTGAAGGATCAGATCTTAACAATATATTTAAAATTAAATCAAACAAAATTAAAACAAAATTCAATCCCCATCTGTTTGTTATACGGGGCATGCGCGTGCAACATAAGATGGCAAATGCCTTTCTTATATTATTATTCATTTCTATATTTGGTTAACAAATGCACATTATAAGAATTTTTTAAACAGATGATAAGCATTTATATTCAAAAAATAAAAATAACAGTTTTAACAAGTTCACATTATTAAACACTTTTTCATAAGATATTTGTTCTCAATAAAGTTGTTTTCCTGAACAATTTACTATAAAAAATACGTGAAAACTCTGAATGAAAAAAACAGAAAAATATAGAAAAAAGTTGAGAGAATCGTTATTTTCGAGATTAATCTACCTGTCTGAGGAATTGTTATTTGAGTGAAAGTAGCTTCCTGAGAAAAAACTGTTTCCATCTATGCTGTTCTCTTTTTGATAACTGCTAGTTTTGGTGTGGCAACTATTCTCTGGCCAAGCTTCACTCATATCCGAAAACCAATCAAAGCAATCCTAGAAACACAAAAGAGAAAAATTCATTGCTATTCAAATATAGATAGGTTTTATTGTTTTCTGCTATTAACTTTAATGACAGGTTTTTTTTACCAAACAGTTGGGTTAAGGGAGAATTGATATATATTCAAGTGACTCTCCATTTTAAACATGTTGAAAAATCCCCAAATTGAAAGTTGTCTGTTTTAAAAACGCTGATAAATAACTCCAATCATATGTTTGTTTCAACAAAGCTAGGGTACCGTCCTGATTAGACAGCCCCNGATGTAGTGGTGTACATGAATAACCCTGTACATGAACAAGGTTAAGGAGGATGTAGTTGTGTACATTAATAACCCTGTTCATGAACAAGGTAAAGGAGGCATGCAGGAAATACTTGGATTTTGAGTATTATCTCAATATTTTGGCGTTAAATCATTGATACAATCTAATATGATATGATCAATTTTTTTTCAGTGATCCACGAAACTTTTTTTGACTGGGCTTTGGAATCAGCACCGTATCTTCCACGATCTTTTCTCTTATCTTATAGTCCTCACCTGGTTATACTCGTCCTCCATTGTAAGTAGAATTATGGTTTTGAAGAACTCTACTCCTAAGTAGAGATATCTTTTAAAATTAATTGAATTGGTTGCATGGGATAATTATTAAAAGTTTAATAAAATCTATTTTAAACGTAACAAAACGTGTATGCGTATATATCTGTATTGTTAACATCATTTTCAATTTTGAATTGTTGAATGAAAAAATAGGAGGTGAATAAATTAGGGACCATGGTCTTTATAATGTAAATCAAATTTCGCCATGAAGTAGAATAAAAGATTAATTTAAAAAATTAAGAAAACTATTAAATTCAAAAAGGGGGGGGTTAAAGTAGAAGCAATATACCTAAACCTAGAATTACTCGGTGATTCACTCTTGAACCGTTTAGGCTCTAATTTGGTTATCAAGAGCTGAAATAGTTTTATCATTGATTTTTCAAAAATTATTATTACAAATTAAAGTACTAACAAATACTAGATATTAAATAAAAAAATTTTCTTATATAAAAATACTCAAACTGCAAGCTCCTGCACAAGCTATCTTGTTTAATTAAATTCTGTAGTGTTTTTGAATAAAATTTGATATCAAATTTAGAAAAAAATTGAAGAATTTTTGTTTCAATAACATCATTCTAAAACCAACCATGACAAAAATAATCAGTTATATGCTAGCCTAACCTAACCTAACCTAACCCTGAATAAATACTAATTATAAAATAAGTACAAAATTGATAGGAGGGGGGGACCAGTTCTTTCATCATTCATGGCTGAAATGGCACCATGGATAAATAAGCGTGCTTTGATTTTACCGAGGGTAACTTCCTAAAGAACGATTTTTGGACCCAATTATTAACAATTATTAACAAGGGTAATAGTGATTATTTAATTCCAATCAAAATTAAACTGTATGATTTTATATTTAAAACTCGTCGTCTTTTTTTCGTGATTGGATTTTGAGTGTGCACTGTGCAACCGGTTTCTGCAATATTCGGAGAAATGTCTCAAGAGTACATCTGTACGCTAATCATATTCATATTGCGTACACTTGTACAATGTAGTAAGTGTACTCTATAACCTAAACTTTGGAAACACTTTCTAACAATTCATTATTTAATCATAATTTTCATAATAAAATTTTTTTTTTACATAATCAATGAATCGCAATAAATTCTTGTTTTTAAAATTTCGTAATGTCAATCAATCATTCACTATAATTATCAAAGACGATATTTGTTCCAGACCATTAAAAAACCGCGGCAATCTCCCATATTATGAAATATACGAATTCTTTAGCTAAACTTGACTTCGCAATTAATTCAGTGGCAAAAGAAACAAACTGCATATTGTCAGTATCTAAAAAGCGTTTGCAAGAGGAGACTATGTTTATTTTGTCACTGATATGCTGAAGAAGGCATGTGAAGCAAAGAATTAGTATTTCTCTCGAAGTATCTCAAATTCACAAAACGAAGAGAGAAATGTGTGTTAGTGTATGTAAATAAAGTCATCTGAGATTTAAAATCGAAAAAAATATGAAATTAACAAAAATTCACCGTTATTAAAATATTATAAGAATTATGCTAAATGTTATTTCGATAATTTAAGAGCATTGCATGATTTATTGCGCTTGGAGAACTGACTATAATTCTCATTTCAGATATTTGAAAATGTCGAGCGTATCAGTTTTGTGCCCAAACGGGCACAGAATAAAAGTATCCACAACCCCAAATATGTCAATTCTTCAGGTGGAGAGTAGTAATTTATAAAAAATATAGTTTTGCTGTTGCATCACATATTGGAAGCATAATCCCTTCTCTGGGCCCTAATTATTTCCCTCGGGTCCGTCCTAGAGAACGATTTTTGGACCCCTCCCCACCTTCTCTCAAGCTTTGTACATAACCACTCCTTTTTCAGATAAAATATTATTTTAGGTTAGGTTAGGACAATTTCTGGGCCGAGCGCTGCGAATAGGACAGGCTAGGGGGCCGAACGCTGCAATTATTTCATCTCGTTTAAGAATTTCCATTATTACATTTTTTTCCTCATAAGATTATCATAATGTATAATGTATAATGAAACTTAATAATTTCCTAAAATATTTATGAGAAAATTTACATTTTCCATCTCCCCCTGTATATTTTAGGAATTTTACTTTTTATTATTTCTATCAAATACTTCAAGACAAATATTTCCCCAAGATTTACTTACTTGTTTTACTCTATGCAGGAGGACGTAGAGGCTGTGATAGTTCCTGTAGGACCCAACGAGGCCATAATCTACTCAGGGACGGAGGCTGTTAACAACCCAGTTCTCGAGGATGATGAGGATGAGACATTCTTTCAACATACACTGGAGGAGATTAAGGTGAGGATTTCATTGACCTCGATAATCGATATCAATGTTTTATCTATGTGCCAAAATGATAGGGGGGGGGGGGTCCAAAAAACGTTCTCTAGGATATTACCTTTCCTTCCCCCTTTAAAATGAATAAACATACTTTGTTGTGTTTGGACTGCACGGCAATTTTCTTTCATCATATTTTTGTACCACTTTTCTTTCAAAATGTTTATTACATAAATCTATATTTATTTATTTAGATTATTAAGTGTTTCACCAATTATATGTTTGATCAAAATTGTAATGCATATCATATGGGTTCAGTCCTAGACAAAAAATGTTGTCCCTCCCGGGCTTATTTGATCTATTTTTTATAGAATGTATCTTAGTATTACCATTTATCCAAAAGTATATATACGAAATTTTAAAAAATGATATATTAAATATGCAAGAAACTCTCTTTCTGTTACAAAGTGTCCCACATAATATTGGATCGTGTTATAGCTTTAATTGCGATTTCCGGGACTAACACGTAAATTTGTTAAGAAAGAGTCATTTAAAAAAAATTGTAATTGCTAGCATGAAGATTCGCATGCAGGAAATACTTGGATTTTGAGTATTATCTCAATATTTTGGCGTTAAATCATTGATACAATCTAATATGATATGATCAATTTTTTTTCAATAAATTTTTATAGGTTTTGGAAACTGTGTGTGGAAAAAAAGGGTTTGACTCTGCCCGTCATCGCCTAGAATACTACAACAAGCCTCTAGATAATACCAATTCTATCAGGGACTTTCATCTTTTCAACAATCAGTTTCAACTTAGAGGGACTTTTATCTTTTCAATAAGATTAAACTTAAAGGGACTTTTATCAGTTCAATCAGATTCAACTTAATGGGACTTTCATCTCATTAATCAGATTCAACTTAAAGGGACTTTTATCTTTTCAATCAGATTCAACTTAAAGGGATTTTCATCTTTTCAATCAGATTCAACTTAGAGGGACATTTTTTCAATTAGATTCAACTTAAAGGGACTGTAAATGTAAATGCATGTGACCCTCCATGTACAAATAAAAAAAAGAGTGCATGTACAATTCACAACAGCACCTTTAAAAAATTGCACATTGCTGCTTCAGCACATTGGAGGATTTATCTGAATTAAACACCTTTCAGGCTAATGTCTTTACCTTGTTTCACAATAAATGAAGCAAAAGAACAATTTCATAGATTTGCCGGTCTCTCTAATAATGCAGAGCTAGAGATGGTAGAATTAAAGGTAATCCTCAAACCCTCATCCTTTCAAACAAATACCCCCCTTTGTGTTGAAGAATTTTCAAATATTAAAAAATGTAAGTTCAATTTTACTTTCAAGAATTTTTAACAAAACAGAATACGAATAGGAACCACAATTGGATAAGTTTGGACAGTGTTGATATGGATCCAAATCCTGATCCAGATCAGTCGAAACTTACCAATAAAACATTCTCCTCTAAATTAATTAATTAATTAATTTGTTTAGGAAGAAGAGATAAAGACGAATATTGAGAGTAAAGTAACCGTCTGCCTTCAGGTTAAATATTCGTCGGATTTGATAATTTATATTTTTTTTTAAATTAATAATAAAAAATGTTTTGGCATCAGATGTGTGTCCAAGCAACAACAAAATAAATAGAAAAATGAAATTAGTTTCGGATGAAAATTCTCAAACTCATTTGGAAAGCCATCATCCTGACTGAAAATACCATCAACCTGACTGAAAATACCATCAACCTGACTGAAAATACCATCAACCTGAATGAAAATACCATCAATCTGACTGAAAATACCATCAATCTGACTAAAAACACCATCAATCTGACTGAAAATACCATCAACCTGAATGAAAATACCATCAATCTGACTGAAAATACCATCAATCTGACTAAAAATACCATCAATCTGACTGAAAAATACCATCAACCTGACTGAAAAATATCATAAATCGGTTCCTAATTTATGGTCTCCCCTTTTGAATATCTATGCAGTATGTAATTCATGGACGAGCCCAGTCTCTTAAAGGATTTAAACAGCTCGAAATTTCGGGAACTCACTTTTTAAGTATTTTCCACATCTTGTAATTTCTTGACTCTCCCATTAAATATTAAACCGCTTGAAATTGCTTAACCCTATCTCTGCTGGGGTACTTGAAAATCAGGATATCTAAATCCCATTTTTGATGTCCAAATATGACAAATGATACATCATTGAAAAGCTCTTGTGCTCTACTTTTAGAATCTGCAAAAAAAATTGTAAATTTGCAAAAATTTTATTTTTTATCGCAAAATCCAGTTATATAGTAAAAATGTTTGCAAAAAAAATTTGTCACCCCCCCCCCCAGCAGGAAAAGGGTTAAACTTTATCTTTAAACATTTTAAGACAGCTCTTTATTCCTGTATAGTCCCTTTTATATTAACATATGTTGTAATTCATGAACTGTCCCATAGAATATTTGTTAATAGGTTCCCAGTGGTGAACGGTTAATCCAAGAGTTCCCCTCAACTTCAAGTCTAGAGGAGGTCATCTCAACCTGGACCAATCAGCTCGGAGATAAAGCAGAGGTAAGAGTTTCCTTCAATCTCTAGATTGGAGGAGGTCATCTCAACCTGGACCAATCAGCTCGGAGATAAAGCAGAGGTAAGAGTTTCCTTCCACCTCTAGCTTGGAGGAGGTCATCTCAACCTGGACCAATCAGCTCGGAGATAAAACAGAGGTAAGAGTTCCCCTTAGCCTTTACATAAACAAGGGTGAGGAGCGTGAGTGGGTGTACTTGAACTAGGGTGAGGAGGGTGTAGTGGTGTACATGAATAACCCTGTACATGAAAATGGTGAGAAGGGTGTAGTGGTGTACATTAATAACCTTGTACATGAACAAGGTTAAGGAGGATGTAGTGGTGTACATGAATAATCCTGTACATGAACAAGGTAAAGGAGGATGTAGTGGTGTACATGAATAACCCTGTACATGAACAAGGTTAAGGAGGATGTAGTTGTGTACATTAATAACCCTGTTCATGAACAAGGTAAAGGAGGATGTAGTGGTGTACATGAATAACCCTGTACATGAACAAGGTTAAGGAGGATCTAGTGATACATGAATAACCCTGTTCATGAACTAGGGCGAGGAGTATGGTGGTGTACATTGTACTCTAATAACCCTGTACATGAAAAAGGTTAAGGAGGATCTAGTGATACATGAATAACCCTGTTCATGAACTAGGGCGAGGAGGGTATGGTGGTGTACATTGTACTCTAATAACCCTGTACATGAAAAAGGTTAAGGAAGATGTAGTGGTGTACATGAATTTCCCTGTTCATGAACAAGGTTGAGGAGGATCTAGTGATACATGAATAACCCTGTACATGAATTAGGATGAGGAGGGTGTGGTGGTGTACATGAGAAATGAAGTAGTTGGACCTGCTCTCAGTACAACAACTCTTAGAAGTCTAGGGCTGGCTAGTGGAAAAGGTCTTTTCAGGTGAAAAAAAAATAATTCTCATTTTTGGGTTTTTGCTTCCGACCTTTACTCCCCCCCCTCCCCCTCCTCTATCATCCATTTTAGGCATGTCACATGCATAAACAGAGTGAAACCTCTAAATTTTATGATTTTTAAGTTTTTGTGGTCTTTTTATGATTATGTTTTGGAAACTATTTACGTAAATATATTCTAGTAAAAAGGACAAAAAATGTTCTTCAAGAGCTACTATGTATATATTTGTTTAGATTTAAATATTTTTCTTTTCTTTTTACACCCCTAAAATGTGACAAATATTTTTTTTCAATTTATGTTGAATGTTGATTTTAAGTTTTAACTTTTTGTTCAAGCCAAAAAGAAACAGGATTTGCCCACAGACTCCGACCCTAGAGGTCCCCCCATCCCCGAAAAAAAATAAGAAAATAAAACTTGTTCTTTTCTTCTTCTAAATATTAAGCTGCGTTTAAAATTTCCAAATCGGAGTTGGATCACTTCCATTATTTTCCAACATTTTCAGATTTGGTTTGGAATGGCGAGGAACGTATTTATATTATTAATTCGCAAGTTCTTTTCAGTGTACACAGAACAATAATTTGTTTTCGTAGATTTTTCTACAAGAAACCGGAGGTGTTGAAGGATCAAGCCAAGGTTTACAGCATGAAGGTTTCCGAGAAACCTGAAATTAAACCTGAGGTTCGTCATTTACCAATGCGCCTTGAGGCTGCCCGACTCCCACATGTTGAGGATAGTGGAGAACTAGGTTCGTAGATCGATGTTATGTTCGGAGAAATATGACAATAGTGTCTGATTATACTCGGTCCACATTAATGTGGAAGATAAGGTCGTTTTTCTAGGTTTGAAAGTGATTAATTCAAATAATTCCCATTTGTTTTACAGTGTACAATGAGTTTTTCAAAGCATGAGAATTTTTTAGATTGCAAGAATGATATTAAAGAAACTGTAAGCATAATTTCCCCCCCCCCCCTATGTTTTTTCCCTTAGAGTTGAGTTGGGGGAATGGTATACATGACCCTAGGTCAACTTTTCAACGCCTGCTCATTAATGGTTAGGGTGTAAGGGAGGATTTTTAATGAGTTCAAAAAGTATGTCAAAAATAATTATTTTTACTTTTAAAAATATCAACATATGGCACATATTATTATGTCCATTTTTCAAGGTCTTTTCAGATATATAAGTTTTAGCCCTGTAGCTTAATTAATAAAAAAAGTTATTGATCACTTCTGAATTTTTTTAAACACCGACCCACCGTTTGACCATTCTCCATCCAACTCTATGCATTAAAAAAAAATTTGGAAAAATTTGTTCACAACTTTGATGTTGAAAAAATGAAGTCGTTCTTATATAAGCCATTTTAAGTTATTCAGAATTTATACACCCCTGTAATCTGTTTAATTTTGAGTGATTTAGAACCCTTTCCTTAAACACTGTCCATAGCGATTCACACCGATATCTCTTAATCCTATGTGTTCAGAAAAATCTGACGAACATCCAACAGAAGCGGAACCTGGTAAGTATTTTTTATATTCCCTTTTTTGGAAATATTTCCTTTTAATAACATGGTCTGCTTAATTCAAACCAGTGCTTAGGATCCAGATCCGTTGGATCCGCAAGATATTGGCTTCCTGGATCAGGATCAGGATCCGCAATTGGTCCAGGGATTCATGAGTTATTCTGATCGAATAAACAAACAGAAATTGCTAGTCTTAATATATAAATGTATATATATGTATATGAATGTTTTTTTTTCTCAGTTGCCGGCCCTTCCTCCGTGGGTAGTAGTAGTCTAGTCCCCGGGCCCAGTAGAAACCAACCTGTATCAGATACAACCAGTGGGTCAAATATCAAGGAACCGGTTCCAATCCCAGATTTAACACAGGTCTGTAACATAGGGATATATTTTCAGGCTTTTTCTACCCTTTCTGATAATGTTCCTCTGATAATCGTTTGAAATTTTTTTTTTTTTTGTCATTTTATATCCAGAGATAACACTTTGTTTGGGTGTCTGTTTGTTTGTTTGTTTGTTTGTTTGTTTGTTTGTAATCGATAAACGCCAAAACGGCTGAACACATCAGGCCCAATGAATGCATGGTAAGAATTGAAAAAAAAAATCGATAAAAGAGCACAAAATTGAAGATGGGTGCGAAGCGTCCTAGAAGCCTAGTATTTAATAATATTATATATTGAAAATATCCCATATATCTCTAAAATTAATCTCAATTTAATCGTTTAAATAAATTTTTTTGCTCTGGATTAAGAGTACAGTCTTGTGACTAAGAGCTATCCCAACCAACAAATATTGCCTTTAAAGAATTATACTATGTGGGGGTGAAATAGATAATGGATATTATATCATATCTGTTCGGTTCCATAGTAGTAAAGCTATCGTGTAAGAATTCCCATTATTACACGGTTCAGGAGGAAAATTTTAATATTGTTCGCTTCCTTGCGTTTAAGAATGCTTATTCTTACACTGAAGGTGTAGAATTTTCATTCTTTAACGCTCAGACCGTGTAAGAATGGAAATTATTACACGGTCAGAGCGTGAAAGAATGTATATTCTTACACGCTCCAAGCATTAAAGAATGGAAATTCTTACACTAGTTGAAGAATATTCATTCTTACACGCTCCTTATATTGATCTTTCAGTATAGATCAATATAGATATTAACTTAATTATTTTGTACTGACAACATGCACAGGGCAAACTCACCTTTTTCTTTTACATTAATACATACAAACTTACCTTTTTTAACTTAAAAACAACATGCTCACTTACCTTTTTCTTTTATATCAAAACATGCAAACTTACCTTTTTTACTTTA